ATAATTATCAACTATATTAAAACACATTCTTCAATAAGGTTTGAGAGTTCCCTTGCTGATGCAGGAGGGTCAGATAAGCAGACTGTTAGTGGTCTAACAAGAAAGACTCTGGTGATGATCCAGGACACTCTACATTTTACAACATTTATGGACATTTATCAACATTCATGGACATTGGTCAATTCCCTATGGACCAATAACCAAGAATACTGTATGTGTTCTATATTTTTTGTGTCTTAACTTGTGATTCTCTGATCTGTGTTGGCGTTTTCAACGGTTAACTCTGAGATGACTCCTCTGAGGTGACTACTGTTGTGATTTAGGGCTGTACAAGAATAAATTGAATTGAATCAGTGCTGACAGGGTTGGCCTCTCACTAGCCAGTTGTTCAGTTCACTTTACTGTATGGATTCTTGTAGAATTTGATTTGGATGTTCTACAGGGCCTCCTTGTTTTAAAAAGATACAATCCCCCAAAACATAAGAGCATGTTAGGATAAAGTACACATAATTAAAATGTCATTACAAAACCAAGACACGAAACATTAATCATACACAATCAAAATCAATGAATCTTTATTGCGCCTTTCCTACACAGGGTGCCTCACACAATGTACAAATCATCACATAAAACACCAAAATGACCATTACAAACACAATTAAATCACTCAAGTAATTAAAAGCTTTAACACTATAAAAGGGTTTAAGATAATTAACAACAACAATGTATTATAAAGAGTAGAGATACAATCCTTCAGTTGTATGCACAGGCAAACAGAACCGTCTTCAACCTGATTTAAAAACTGTCAGAGATTAAATCTGTCCAACATAAATAATTAATTGATTATTTTTTTTGCTTAACTAAACAGCGAGTGACAGAGCTTGCAATGAGCATGGATTTCATTTCTACAAATCAACATTTCAGGTTTTCTTTGGCTTTGCCTCTGTAGCCGAGAAGGAGCAAGTCCTATTCTCACAGTCTGATTAAAAAATGTTCCAAATTATCTCCTCCGTAAGATAGTCTTTTTTGATGTTCCTCATATAGCCAAACAATGCTTAGAATGGCATGTTTTTCAATGCACGTATGGATGACAGCACGGCCTGTTTCTCATGGGGTAACATGGGCTGTCACAATGACCCAGTTCCCCAACGGAGACTTCGTCATTCTGTAATTAGCTGCTACTATCGTGGGAGGTGTTGCTGTCCCAATTGAATGAACATAATTGAAGAAAGTGGCCTGTATTTTTAACCCACAAGCCATGTTTAATGAAAAAGGATATACGAAAGCTGTTGCTCAAGAGTGTAATTAGTATTCATGGCTCTGGAACCTCAGATTCAGATTCATTTTATTTGCCATTTGCAGTAAAACCACATTAGAATACACTTGCAACAGTAACCAGTGTGCACAAGACAAGTACAGAAATAAACAAGGTTAAAAGTACTGAAAAAAAGCAAACCAAAAAAAACAAGAAACAATTGATACAAATCGCTCAATTAAAATAGTTAAAATACAAGTGCAAGATCAAGTGCTCTAAAGCCGCGTTCAGACCGGATCATGCGTTGTGTTGGCTTTCAATGCAAAGTCAATGGTGAAGCGCGTTCGAGCGTCAAAATGCATGCGCAGTAGAGACGCGCGGACTGCGCGGGAAAGTCGAAGGGGAGGAGCAGGAGCGGATAGTCGACGCACGCAGGAGATAAACTTTGCTGAACGTTTCCTCGGACGCTCGTGCAGAGACCAATCAGAGAGCCGCAAAGTGGTCACGGGGACATTAGCGGACTGAACGAGCAGACTGAACATACTGTAAACAGCCAAAACAGGAGCTACACCAGGACTAAACCAACGTTGACAATGGGGGACATAGTGCTTGTGAACATATGCGTTGTCATGCTCCTGTGACTTTATGCAACTGCTTCGAGTGTGTCCGCCGATGCAGAAGTACCGTTTAATAATAAAATAAACTTATTTCGCACCTCTGTGAACACATACTACTGTTATATAAAGTCTGTGGACGTTTGTATGCCTCTCTCCATGTCAGAAAGGGTTTCTTTGCAAATAGGTCTAGACGCTGCTCTGACGCAACACTCCTGACTTGTGGCATTGAAGGATGGCTCAAATGCAGATTACAAACTTCCCTAAAGCGACAATAAAGCACACGTTTATCAAAACCAGTTTAATGACAAATAATCCACTTGCCTTATATTGCATTCAGAGCCTTTCTGCGCCCCAATTTTAAAATTATTCTGGTTGCACTCTCTAGCTCGGCCACATGGAGCTGGCTTTGTTGGTAGTTTTGTGTGTTGAGAAACTCAGCTGTCGGCAGAGTATTTTAATCCCACCAGACATCGCCAGAATATGTGCCTAGACAGACACAACAGCAGCAGCAGCAGCAACAGCAACAGCAACAGCAGGCTGGAGGACGAGAACATGCTATGAGCCGATGTAGAGCTAGCAGCCAAAGCTCACCTTCTTTCTCTCTAATGATCGATCAATCCAGAAAAGATGGATGTAGGTGACTATGCAGAGGGTGGCTTGATACTTATTGGATATCTGTGCTATTTTCTCAGACTGCTGCTGCTGTAATGCCCTCTCCCACCAGTTCAGTGACTGTGGTCGCATTGATGCATTTTATTCATTTTGCATCTGGTTACACAGTGACAGAAGGCGAATCCTCTGTCATTATATTTGATTCTTGATTAATGAAGACAAAGTGAAACTACAAACAATGTTTTTTTTTCATCTTTTTTCAGCATTAGTAAACATCCACACACACTATAAGATTAGGATTAAGGCCCTGTCCACACAAAGTCAAGCTCAGGCCTAAACGCAAAAATACTTTGTCAATCCAGTGTATCGTCCATACGAGGCCGGCGTTTTGGGGGGGTGTAAACGAACATTTTTGAAACTAGGTCCCAGAGTGGAAAGATTTCAAAACTCCGTATATGCCGCTCCGTGGTTACTGCCTCTCCGCAATGTATCTGAGACGCTTGCGTCATCGCCCCGCCTCTTGTTAAAGCACGCATGCGCCGCACTCAGAAAATAATGACAACAACAATGTAGCTTGTTGGTTTTGTAATCCAGTGTGACCCGAAGCAACAGTTCAACCTCATCGTCCGTCCATACTAATGTAGTACCAGCTCGCCCACTCGCCATGTTGTCTGTTTACAAAATTCCGCGCATGCCCACGGAAGTTTGGGCTTGATCCCGTCATTGCGTCACAGCGCCACCAACAGGTCTGGCATAGTTTCACAGCGTTTTCAGGCGTATTGACTACATTCATATGGACGCACACATTTACTGAGCTAACTCTGTGTTTACAGAAAAAGTTTCTGAAATTATAAGCGTTTTGTCTTCGTGTGGATATAGCCTAAGATTAGGAGATTTTTTATGCCCACAGTGGGGGATTTTCAGTGTTGCATCACCAGTTACAGAGCAGTAGGAATGAGGAACACACAATAACAATAACTCTTTTACTAAAAGAAAAAAAGAAGAAACAGATCCATTGAAACATACTTTACATGTATAAATAATTTAAAAGTTAAGTTATTTTGTGTTTTATATCTGATAACTGGAACATGGCATATTAAGGAACGGAATAACAAGACATTATTACCCGAACATCCAAAATGCTTATTTGAATCTTCACTACTTTGCTCAAAAATAATGAGTTTACCTTAACTTCTCGTTCAACCTAGCTCTGTGAAATATGCATGCATTGTCAATGTTTGGTCCGTGTTTCCCTTCCCTTCCATATTCCCTGTATACTTATTTATTGATGTTTCTCTTTGCTGAAAAAGCTGCATTTCCAGTGTTTCCACAATAACATGATTGCTGACAACTCTAGCTCAAAAGACACAAAATCTAATGGTCCTGACATATTTTGTTACTGTTAAAAATACTGTTAAAAAAGTCTTTTTGGTGGAATTAGTGGCTTTTATTTTATCTGATCATTTTGACTGAAACATGCAACCTTCAAGATAAATGGTGAAAGGAACAAGTTTGAATTTTAAATGATGTCACATGCTTGTATTCCGCAAGAAGCCTCAGATGTGATCTCAGAATTGTAGATGTGACATGAGCATCTGAACATAATGGATTTAGTCTCTGTCCTGTCATGCTGCTTGACAGAAATGAAGAGACATTAATTGAGTCTGCTTGTATTCTTTTGGAACAATTTATTGTGCTTTGCAGACTTGAATTGACACGGCCCTCCCTGTGTCATCATTAATGCAAATATAAATGCTCGAGTCCATGCTAATGTGCAGCTTATTTTCAGTTTACCCTGCTTAGCTTAAGATAGCGTGGAAAGGGTAAGCAGCTGACAATCTGGTTTTAGTAATTATTTTAGGCTCAATTCTGTCTCTAGAGTGATTTTTATCTCAGAAAGCTTTCCTGTCTGACACTGGTGTCTTTTCTGCATTGGCAAGATCTGAGTGCCTCTGTGCAATTCTAATCAGTGCAGTGCGGGTAAAGGGAGAGAGGTGGTTTGAGGTAAGAAGGAAAGAGGAGAGTAAGTATGTGTGACTGTTTATTCAAGAAAAAAGGGTCAAAATAAACGGCAAAGGCACGCGGCAGGGATGGGGTTGAGCGTGTGTATTCGTGCATTTGTCGTTGCGTTACAGAACAAGAGGCAAGGACGAGACAGAGAGTGCAAGCCAGGGAAAGAGAGAGAGAGGCAGTGGGAGGGACTGTCGGAGAGGTGGTTACGTGGAGCAGCACCCCACTTCATCAGGCAGCATACGGCAGCCCTGCAGTGCGATCACACAGCACGGGGATGGGGCCACGAGACTGACAGCAGGAGAAAGGAACACTGAAAGCTTGAGGGATTTGTTTGGACGAGGAGGGGGATGATCAATGAGTGTGAGTCTGTCGTGGATGTTGGAAGGACGGGGCAGCACTGGCTGAATCAGGTCTGTGGTCGTTCACTGTAAGGAGCCGGCGTCAGGACGTTATGCTCTGTGAGCTGTGAGTGTGCCAGCCAGCAGCTGCTGCGGTGACTGCTTATGCGCTGCCTGCACGTCTCAGACAAGCAGGGGATGCAACAAACCTCTGCTCTGAGCACAGAGGCTGCGAGCTGTACCCAGCACCAAGGGGAACCAGGTGGGCTGTGGTGGCAGTGGAGGGTGCTTGCCTCAAGAAAGGAGCTAGCCTAACCTGCTTTGAAGTCCTGCGTAAATCGACGCCTCAGAGTGTATTGGATTCTTTTTTTTTTTCTTTTTTTTTTTGGTGTGGTGGATAAGAAACTGGAATTTGAGACATGAAGGGCTCATTCTCAGGTGGAGTCATGCAGCTAACCATCATCTCAGCAGCTTACTGAATACTATGAATTTTGGAAAGAGAAGACAGCACTGGCTTCAACCCAGGCACTGATATTTTTCGCCACCGGCAAACAGCAAATCTGGAGCGTCATCACGGGATCTATACCTGTACCATCAATTGAGGAGTGTTGAATTAGCTCAATATTGACCTTTTTTGCCTTTTTTATTTTTCATTTTTTTGGCTTAGGATTTACAATATGTCTACCTGACGGCACTTGTTGTGGGGGGAAGGACAATGAATTTTTGAAAAATCTAATTCTTGTGGTAAAAAGTAACAGAAGTACCTCATCAGTGACACAGAATGCTGCAATCTTCCATGTTTAAGATGTATCCTAACTTTCAAAGCGGTTGACCAATGAAGCCATGGGACACAGCCAGAGCCTTCCAAGTATGTGGTGATAAGCCCAAACATTTGGGGAGCCTAGAATTATCTTTGCACCTATTTGAAATTTAGCAACTACTATGTGGTTCACTGCTGACACTAAAAAGATCTAGCCAAATCTTCTGTAGTATGCTCACTGTTTTTAGACTGTATGGTCACTGATCTCTCACTTGCTCATCTTCTCACTAAATGAATGTTTAGTGAAAAATGTTTGTTGGAAGATGCCACAGTGGTTCAATCCAACAAAACTGAAGTTTCCTAATTTCAGATGGGCTTCCTTCCTTGCACTACCTCCATCTACCCTTGCTTGAATTCTCCAGCCAATCACTAAACACCTGTTAAGTGTAGCCAAGTCCACCCTAGCAGGGCTTAAGGAACCCCAGCACTTCCTCCTCTCCTCTTTGTGTTTGAATTAGCGGGCCCCCGCCAGTACCGTGGGAGCCCCTCACCCCAAGCCTGGACCCTGTCTCCCCCTCACCCCGCCTGGTGCTGCTGCACTCGGCTCTGCCTCTGCTGGCCGAGGATGATGTGGCAATGCCATGTGTCGTCCTCTGAGTGCCGCTGCTACCGGCTGAACGGCTTCTCCCTGCTGAAGCGCTTCCCTCTCTCGGCAGATGGGGCCTGTGGTAAAGCCCTGGACCAGCCGGTGGGAGAGTGGCTGGAGCACGTGGGGCTGCCGCAGTACGAGAGCAAGTTCCTGCTCAATGGCTTTGATGATCTACGATTCATGGTGAGTCACCTGCAACATGTAATTTCACCGGTCACATCCACTTTACATCATGGCCTCAGCATGTGGACCAGTGCTCGCTCTGCACATTACAGTAGAAAGCTACCATCACTCTGGTTATCTCTTCGCTTAACCTTATGTTCAGTGCATGCTCCTGCTTTTATTTATGGCTCAATACTGGATCCTGTTAAAGAGCAGTAGCTCTTACCTTCTGTAAGACAAATAATAACTCAAAGCAATATGCTTTTCACCCAGTGTTCACAGTCGACCTCATGGCGAACATGACAAGTTGAATATAGTTCTACATACAAGTCTAACACAATCTTAAGTCTTGTGCACAGCTTGTTAATGTTTTTAAACATTAATACATATTCTCTGTGGCACAATACTAGCACTGTTAAATAGTTGTTGTTCCAACTGAATTTGATAGGACAAGACAGTTTCTGCTTCTTCTGGAATTCATAGAACCTGCATATCTACCTGGTGCAGACATCTAGGTATTTGGCAATTTTCCTAAATGCTTAGAACCTTAGCCACAGATGTAACTCTGACAAAATACTATATGTATTTTTTTTATAGATCTCACATGATCTCACATGGTCTCACATATAGATGACAAGATGTTGCATTCAAAATCCCTGGTTGTTTCCATGCAAACATGCATGAACACAAATAACAAACCCCAAAGGCTATTATAGACATTTTTCAGTCCAAAGCACTGCATTAGCAGTCTGGGCTAGTTTATGTTACGTCCATTTGTCACAGCTGAATACAGTTAAATGGAACCAGTAAGCCCAGGGGAAAGTGCTTTTTTTCATGTGGATTGAGTTAATCTGGCGGCTTGTTTGATGTTTGCTCGTATTTTGTTTATTGCAGGCTCATACTGGCTTTGTTTATAACTGACATCACCACGTTCTATACTTAGACCCCATGACACACTTGTGTAAAGGTCAACATGCGGATTACAGCTGGACAAATGCATGTTCTGTTATTACTTTAGGGGCTGCAGATTGGTGGGCATAATGTGCTTCATATGATTGAAAGAAACAGAACCAACAAAATGACACAATAGAAAGACAAACACAAGCCCACAAACTATTGATTTACAAGTATTTTCATAATGATAACATGGGTTGATATCATTGTAACATATCTCTCAACAAAACTTCAAGCAACTCAGCGTCTGGTTGGCTGATATTCACGATGGATCATTAAGCATTGTGATGTTCATGCCATGACTAATATGTCGTGGGACTTGATGCGTGGAGAAGATAAATCATTAGCTTTACATGGGAAATTAAGCATTTCTATTTATATATGGTTGTGGAGGCGGAAAGGTCAAAGGAGTCCAGCACAATGCGAATGTTTAATATTGTGCCCTTTGTGCCAGACTGTATTTGTAAGTGATCAATATGAGTTACAGAGACACTGAAACAGCCCTGATGCAGTGTGTTGTGGACCATTGTTTCTTTCACTTATCCCTTTTCAGGTTTGACATAATTACACGTAAATATTGTATTATTATATATGGGCCAAGATAGAAGCAGACTAGACTGATTATCCCCAACCTCTAATGGTAGTCGGCTGAATTTGTGAGTGAAAAAAACTTATCCCATGCAAAAGATAAGATAATGCCTATTGATCTCATAATGGAGAAATGTACATGTCACGTTGAAAAAAGACGTGGTGATATTTGATTAGTATATAATATTGGATTCTTCATTTAATGTTCAGGACATGTGTCACCTCTCATGTTAAGTCCTGACTCTGGGCACCAGCAGGAGGCCAGTCCCTGTGCTCCTCAGAGTCCCAGATGGTTAATGTACCACTAACATGCCATTGTGACATGTTGCATCATGTGACTCATATGACTCTCGCGACCCATATCAGGTCATGTGGACTGCCTCGTAAAGTTTAGAGACTGTGAATGGATGGTTCCTGGATACAGCTTTTGCAGAAAAAAATAATTAGGAACTGTTTTGGGTTTATTCTCCTTCATCCAAACAATCAGGACCAGTCATAATTAACCGTAGGATAATTAAATATCCTTTTTTGCAATAAAAAGTGGGTGGCACATTTCTGTTGTCATGATAATTGCCAAGAAGAGACACCACTTTACACATCATTGGTCATTGTTGCTTTAATCTCGTTTGAATTATGACCATATTTTGATTATTTAACTCTTGATTTCACCATTGAAACTGGCAAATCAAACAAAAGAGATTTCTGCTTCTGATTGCATCCTCAACTTGAGGAATCTTCCTGTAAATAATATGGCTATTGTGCTCACTGTTATTCTCATTCATAATAAATTGATAAATCAGCATTAACATTTTACCCCGTGCCAACCTAGCCCTTCATGTGTGGGGTTGCATGTTTATTCCTTGTCTGGATGGATTTCCTCCAGGCGCTACTGTTGTCATGAATGTGGTGAGTAAGAGAATGATGACGGTGGTCAGAGGACTGGCTTCTGTCACCCCACTCCTTTTTGTACATGAGATGTACAATACAATTTATTATTTTATTTTATTTATATATACTTCTTATACAGTTGAATTGAATATAGATAATGTATTTATGTAATGTGTTGTGTGTTATGTATGTATATCTACATTTGTCTCTGAGTATCTTGTTTTGGTTATGTTTTGTAAACAATGTGAAATTAAAAAATGAAAATGAAATAGTTTGATGATATGAATTTTGTTCATTATCATTTTCTAATCTATGCACAATACATTAATGGACATACTTGCATGCAAAAGCCAGTTGTTGTTGTGTCCTTAGGCAAGACACACTTCCATCCACATTAGTGCCTGCCCCAAGGTAATTATGGCTATAGTAGTAGTTTATCACTGCCGTGTTTGGAGTGAAAGAATAATAGGTAAAGATAAAGGTGCACTTTGTTTTTCCCCATAGGGCAATGCATCCTCTGCATTTGACCCATCCTGATGCCACTAAGGCTTACGTCAGGAGCAGTAGGAACCCATCTCCAGATGTTGCTGCTCGGCTTGGTCAGGACTACCGCAGCTATTGTACATGTTTTTAGTGGTAGGGTAACCTACGCAGGCATGGGGAGAACATGCAAAATCCACTCAGAAAGACCCTGTTCCGACTGGGATTCGAACCCAGAACCTTCTTACTGGGAAGCGAGAGTACTAACCACTCAGCGACCGTACCTCCCATAATGATTTGTGAAGCGTCTTTGAGAGTCCAAAATTGCGCTTTGTAAAACTGATGCATTATTATTATATTTATATGAGGGAGAAAATGTCAACATTGTCCCGTGCATTGCTGTAATGGTGTTTAATTGAACTCTCGTGTTATTACATTATTGCGCAGCTGAGGCGTCCTCACAGAGTAACAATTCCTATGTTGAACAAAGCACTAGAGCCATCTAAATTCACTGTTGCAGCATTTAGTCAGATAAGGACTTCTCCGCCGCTGTCTGAAAGTCAACTTAGATTACATCAAACTATCAGGGCTCATAAGCTATGTATAACCCTACAGTCCCGTCACATGTTTCAAATGTAGCATGAAATAATAATGTAATCAGTTGGAGAGTCTCCAGAGGCATAATCAAACTTCAAACTGTTAATAAAAATGAAAGACTATTTTTGAACGTTTCTAAATAAAACTCTTCATTTTGGCCTTTTTTTCTAGTGATCATTGAGTAATCCCATCTGCGCCTCGATACAAGGCTCCAAATAACATCCTATCGTTCTGCTCATCCAGCTTCAGGGGTTGGTTTCAGATTAGGGGTGTCCTGATAAGGGTTTCTTCGCCCCTAAGTCCGAGTCATTTTAAGTTTGAGTATCTAATAATACCTTGTACCGATCTTATGCTTTGATGATATAATATATATCATCATTTCTTAATTTTTTAGGGATGTGTGTTGGACCCCAAAGCAGAGACAGGGACAGGACTTGATTCAAATACGGATTTACTTTACAAAAAACTGGTCGGAAACTGGTCATTCAAAAAATACAAAAGATGAAGCTGGACAAAAACTCACATTGACCCAACACTGACTTCTGTGACACTGACATGGAATAATCTGGTAGAGATTGTCTGGACCAGAGTAAGGCCAGAGTGATGAGAGCCTCACACCTGCTGCAGCACCAGCCACGCCCCTGTCACACACTTGCCCTGAAAAAAAAACAGAAAGGGGCGAGGCAGAGCAAAAAACACAAACCCAACATCAAAACAAGAATACATTCAAAACTTTTCGTAAATCCAGTGTCCATGTTCCCTGTGTGTTTACTACCCAAGATAAAATGTATTAAGACATTTAAGACATTGCATCAGTTGTATGAATTTCATCAGATCAAACCCAATTGTTTAGCTCTATAACAATTGTATGTTGAGGTTCATGACACTACATAACAAGTAAACATGCCATACAAAGTATTAGAGACTTGTCAGTTTGTTAGTGCCAACAGATTGATTCTATAATCTTGTTATTACGTTATTTTGGCCATTGAAAATATGAGACAAAAAACCCCCCAAATTCCCATCAGCTTCACATCTCACTCACAAAAAGAGCCTGCGTCTGTTCTTATGATTAATCAGTGAGTTGAGCAAAGTTGAAGAATTGTTAAAGCAATTATCGCCATAGATGTGCTTTAAACCGTTCCTTGCGCTGCAGCTGTTGGTTGTCTGTCCAATCATGGCTCTGTTGTCTTCACTTGCTAATGTTACATTTTATGTTAATGAAACATCTGTCATTTTATGTAGGTGTATGCAGGATTTCCTCAATGCTTAATTGTAGTGGGTACCACCATGGGCACCGAAAGATTAGCGGAACTCATTTGGTCATTTCTCTGGTCCTCTTGGTTCTGCGGGGTGGACGAGATCCCATAATGCTTTGCGCCAAATACGCGTGTGTGGCTCTCATGCATGTGCACAGAGGGAACCGGCGTGTCCTGACCAATCAGGTGCTGCTGTTCAGAGGAAGACAATCAAGCTTGTCACACTAATGTGTGGATTTATAGAAAATTGAGGCATTTAAGAAGAAAAAAAGTTCAGGATGACAAGGGACACTAAAATCCCCACACACTCTGACCTTTATGAAAGCTGTAGGTTGTCTGTCAGCTGAGTTCCAGCTGCTTTAGTTTACATTGAGTTCTATGGGGAATATGTCTGTGTTTAGTCTTGTTTACTCTGCTGTACTGCGAGAATCCACCAGCACATGAGGCCAAATTGACTTTGCATTTGACCTGATGAGCACGACATTGTTTATTTTCACTAAAGATTTAGGCAAAAAGAGCAATGTGCTCAGCTTCTTATATATATATTTTCATATATATATATATATATATACTGTATATATATGAAAATCATATGAAATCGTTCTGGAGTCCTACAGTTCTCGCCGCACACATGTGAAAACTGAACGTTCATTGTGGCCCTCCGGGGGGCACTGCATTATGTGTTGGAAATTGAAACTTTGAAATTTCATCATCATTTCCTGCAATGACGTTGATAGCCCCTGCTTTTTGTGTTGTTTGATACTTTTTTCCTGCAATAGATGTGTTATTTCTCATCTTGGAATGTCGCTCAGTTTGGTTTATAACATGTACATGTCTCAATTATGGATTTATTTTTTTAATTGCATCACCTGTTTAAAGCTATCCGTGTACAGGCACAGATCGTGGATGTAAAGGCAAAGAAATAATAGTCTGAAGTGTTTTTTCTTGGACTGTTCATACTGAGTTCTCTGTTAATGTTGAGTTTAAACGATTCCGAAAGAAGCTTACGGCGATCTCTGCTGAGTAGTTTTTCCTTAAGCCAAATTGCGTTTTGTGGAGATTGAATGGGCTGTCCATTAGATGTCTTACAAGTTGATCTGTAACACATTCTCCAGACTCTTGGGCACTGCGGACAGGAAGCTTGTAGGTCTGTAGTGTTTCTTTCAGTGTAATTACTGAAATTTTCCTAGAATCCGGGAAAATGCTGGAATCTAGTGATTTACAAATACTGCTTGGTATTGGTGATAGTAGTCATTCTTTGTGTGATTAAATGATCAGTATTGTCAGTCAAGTACATCTTTTTTTTATTTGCGGGTTGACCATACACTAAGATACTTTAAAAGTCCCGATGGGCCCCTGCTTTTTGTGTAGTCAGATCTTTTTCCTTTTGCATGTGTTATTTCTAATTTTGGAATGTCGCTCAGTTTGGTTTAAAACATGTAAATTCCTCATTTATGTATTTTATGGCTTAAAAACTGAGAGAGAAGACTTGCTTGTTCAAATATATAGCTTGTAACTTAGCTGTGGTCACATGTTTCCATTGTAAAAAGAAAGCTTAAAAACAAATTTATGTTTTTTATACACAAACAACATTCAGCTCTTACACACACGTACTGTACACATGCTCTCTTACACACATGCACACACATACACACATACAACCACAATCTCTCTCACAACATTCGGACGCTCTCCTTGTGTGTAAGAGAGCGTCCATGCACACACACAGACGTGCTTTCTCTCTCTCTCTTACACTCACACACACACCCTCACACTCACACATTTATCAATCAATCAATCAATCAAACTTTATTTATAAAGCGCTTTTTATACAATAAAATGCAACACAAAGTGCTTTACAGCTGAGTCAAAACCAATACAACATGTCCAATAAACCCCAAAGACCCACCCATAAACCACCCTAATTATTATATATACATCGAGATGCATATACCCGTACACACGCACACGCACACGCACACGCACACACACACACACACACACACACACACACACACACACACACACAAAGGCATATAAAATCACAACAGACAGGTAAAATAGGTAAAACTATGAAAAGATATAGGGCTGGGTGCGGATGTATCCAGCTGAAGAATTTATGCTCTCTTGCTTGCACACACGCACACATACATGCTCTCTTACACACACACACACTTTAACCCTGACCTTTCCTCTGCATGTGTTTTAGCATTTTAGTATCCAGAACATTTGTTCACTAGGACTGTTGTGGTGCTAACATTGATTTCTCACGGCACAATTTATCTGACTTCATTGTCCTCCCACTCTGCTGTTATGCCTCGTGTCAGAGACGTGCTATTTTCCGCTCTATGGCAGTGGTTCCCAATGTGTGGGCCTCCTTCTATTCTCTCTGATTAATAAAAACTCTATTTTAAGAGAAATTAGGTCAGATAACACAATGACTTAATCAACCAGAATCACAGAGAAGGCAACAGTTTGTGATGCTTCAAATTACTACTTTCAACGTTGTATTGATCTAGTCACATGATTTAATTTGCACTTGCTTGTTTTGTCATTTATCTATTTATTCATTTCAATGACATGACAATACACCACATATTATTGTTACATTTCAAATAATTTTAGATGAACAGAAAGAAGAAAAGAATTGAATGTTGTTGGCGCCTTTCTAAACCAAAGGAGTGCTAATTAAGTAATACACTTATTCCTTTCTTTTTTATATAACCTTTTATAGCCTTTACCAAATGGTTGAGATGCAGTTTTATGTAAAAGGGCCTAAAACCAAGTGATAGAGAAAGCCCCAATGAAGTAGATTTCAGTTGTGACACTCCTTCTTTTTACAATTACTATTTTTTAACAGTGCATTTATTTTCTATTTTCTTCAAGCACATGGAACTTTTTATTTCTTTCAAACATGCACAAGATCCAACATTTTTATCACAGAGAAATAAGAAAATCTTGTCATGGTTTGAAAAGGAAATGGTTCGAAGCAAAAGTATTATATTGATCCCATCCCCTCCCATCCATTCAGACGCATACTACAATACACCACAAAAAAGAATCAAAACCGTACAATTGCCACCCAAAAAAAACACACATAACAGCCAATGACACACACACACACACACACACATATACACATTAACACCAATGGCAAGAGACAGACAAGACCAAGATACACCGACGGTCTTAACTCACACAGACAAGAGCCAAAACACTCACTATGTTCCAGTTGTGTTACTGTATTACTCTGGCCGCTGATATCCTCATGTGTTTCTGGGTGGTTCTCCTCTGGTTGGATTTGAGAGAGAAAATCTTTTGTACAGCTGCTGGCAACCGAGTGTCTGTGGCTTCATGCATCACAATGACTGACTGTACTTTGATAAGATCATTTAATATGAACAGTTTTGGTTGGTAAATTGCTGATTTGTATTTGTATTCAGATTGTTTCAGTGTTTTTCCTTCCACCTTGTCCGTTAACCAGTGCTTCCTGCTCATGCTAACCTGTCTATTTAATCCCATAATAGATCTCTCTGTTGTCCTTGTTGTATTTCCAGTCAGCGCATGTCTGGGCTTGCAAGTATGTCAACATTTGCATGCATGGCGTGTGTGGTGGTCTGCGTGTAAAGGCTGTTTATTTGTATGTCTCTATCTCTGTGTCTCTGTGCCTTTGCAGGGAAGTAACGTGATGGAGGACCAAGATCTGAGAGACATGGGGATCACTGACCCGGGACACCGTAAGAAAATCCTGCACGCGGCACGCAGCTTGCCTAAGGTACTTACCATCGCCGTGTCGAGGTGAGACAGTGACAGATAGCCCCCAGGGAAGAAGACTGGGCTAAGAATACATCATCATAAATGTATCAGATAGGCCAAAAACGAAATATAATGACAATTTTTCACGTATAAGCATGGTTGAAACGGGCTTGTTATCTTTGTCTTTAAATGTTCAGATGTCTTTGACTACAATGGTGGTTCATCAATCTTTTGTTGAAGCAATTGTGTACCCATGAAAGATAAATGCACCAGAAACATTGCATTTTATTATCTCTTCGCGTTCTGTGCTTGCACCAGCTGCTCTGATTCAAGAGCTCCATAAGGATGAGTAAAGACTGGCATTAAACATGCTAAAAATAGTGTCACACATTTCTTTTCACCTGAGTGCACAAGTATACACTAACTCTACAACAGTCGATATGCCCAAGAAACTACAGCTATAAATCTGTACACACAAAGGATGCAGAATACCAGTTTATTAACAATTAGAATAGATATAGACTTTTCATGAATCCTACACCACAAAAAAATGATTTGATATGAAGTAATAATTGTTTGAATTGAGTGGATTTCATTATAATTTGAGTACATTCTGACTGTCTTAAAATAAGATTCACCAATGAGAGTGTTTTTTCAAAAACTGTTTCTTTATTTTCGCATTCCAAGGAACAAAAATCTTGTTTTAAGGCAGTTAGAGTCCCCTGCGCTAAGATCTATAGGTAAAAGTCTATATATTATATTATATTGATTAATATTATATTAAATATTATAAGCAAAGTGAGATATATCAGATAGATATTTGTTTGTCAATGTTAACCACATCGTCAATAACATGTATGAAATTACTAATAACCAATATAACTGTCTTTTTAGTTGGATTTAAACAGTCAAAGAAATAAGTAACAGCAGTAACATCCTCAGTGTTCATGAGGCGTCTGGCGAGATAAAGCCAACTAATAACGCTAATAATGATAATAATGCATAGGTTTTATACAGCATGTTTTTGTGACATTATTCACTCACTCCATATTGAAACTAAGAAGAAATAAAAAATTAAATAAAAAGAACTTTGCATAAATCCTAAATCTTCATAATTAACTGATACTCCCACAATCTTTCATCCTCAGGGTCTAATCCCAGATTGAAGTATTATGTTTGTACCTCTCTTTTTTGCTGTGCAGGCACCAAGACGAATTGATACTTGATTTCTGTTTTCTATTAAAATAAATTATAACGCCTTATTTTATGATGTATTTGTGTGAGGAATGTAGCAGCAGTAGTAGTTGCATAAGAGGCTGAAAATACATGATCCCACAGTGCGGAAATTCCAGTGTTGTATCACCAGTTACAAAACAGTAGGAATGAGGAGCACACAACACAAGATATATGAACAATGCCTTTATACTAAGATAACATTTTAAAAAATCTCTAACTTAGCGTAATAAATAGCCAGTATGAAATCTCTGGCTTTTGCATCATAAGAAGTCAGTAAAAAGTTTTATCTTTAATATTATAAAGAAGCAAGTGTAAAATGCAATTAATTTCCTTTTTTTTTCTTGTACAGGCGTAAAACAGTAGTTATATCGAAAGAATTCACAAAACCGGTGAATTCGCCAACACAGATCAGAGAATCAAACACAAGAAATGCAATTATTAAAAAAAACAAATGTAGTCATTGGTCCATAAATGGCCGATAACCGATGCTCATAAATGTTGTTGAATGCCCATAAATACTGTATATTGTAGTGCAAGAAATATATAGTTGTATGGATAAATCAGTACAAGTTGGAATGTAGGATCAAGTGGCTAAGTAGAGTGACGGTGGACAAATTGTATATTGCATATTCTGATATTGCTGTTGCTTTTGTATTGTGAAAAGAGAAGGCTTTCACGTTAATATTGACCTTGCCATCTGTCAATCTGGAAGGATCATTCACTCGTCATTCAGGTCTGTTCTGTTCAACGGAGCTCAATGTTTCACATCTTTTACCCGCACACTTCACCTATACTGCAAAAAATGACAACAAAAGAGGTCATTGCTTGAATCAAGTGTTTTTTTCAAAGCCATTTAGTCTTGTTTCAAGAACTGTTGCTTTATTTTCTCGTTCCAAGGCAGACATTCCTTGTATCTTTTTAAAACAAGATCATTTTTCATGCTTGTCTTACTGGCAAATCATGTTTTAAAGCAGTAAAAATGTCTATATTTGAGCAATTTTTGCCTTTTTTTCAGCACCATTTTTGCTGTGTATGGCTGAGTGACAGGCCGATAGCTGCTACAATATATTGTAACCTAAGGCAAGAAATACATAATATAGTTCTTGATATACCTTCTTTTCTTTCATGATTCAGAAAAATAAGTTTTGGAAGGTTCATCTTGTCTTCCTAGTAGAATAAGGTTATTTGGTTCTTCTACACCAGACAACTATAAGATACTGATGTTGACCTTGACCTTTTTCAAAGGTTTACTTCAATTCAATTCATTTTAAATGTATTGTTGTATAACCCTATCGGAGGACTTTACAAAACCAGAGACAAACGTCCATACATTTACATGACTATAAATGTAATTGAATGTCAAGTGTCCTGGATCATCACCACTGTCCTTAGACCCTTCTGCATCGGCGAGAAAAAACTCTAAACATGCGTCTTCAACAGTGTAAATGTAATCAAGTAAGATCAATGATAACTTTTTGTGATCTTTGGCTGTTAACATATAGGTTAACATAAAAAAAGGTAAAAACATCTTACAACTGTGTGGTATAGAAGACACAAACCGTATTCAGCTAAAGACGGTGGAAGTTCATCAAATGGACACAGGTTTCCCTCCATTTGTATCAGTTCAGTTCTGATCCATTGGTAGATATCTCTGAATGAAGGAGATAATAGTACTAAACAAATACACTCTCAGTCCAAGTCCTCGTTCTACAGCTTGAGTCCTGGATCTATAGCCTGTTTGTTGGTGGACACAGATCATTGTGGGCCTCCCTGAGATTTCCCACTTTTCTCCCAATGGATTTTACAGCTGTTCCTTGCAGACGCAGGAGGGTCTGAGGACAGTGGTGATTATGCAGGACACTAGACATTCAATGACCTGGCAATCTCCCCTTTATGGACCAATGGCTCTATGTGTTTTTCATTTCAGCATTTGCTGTGTTTGAACGGTTTGAATCTCTGATCTCTGTTGGCGACAGTTTTGTAAAGTCCTCCAAGAACTGTTACTATTTTGTGCTATACAAAAATTACATTGAAAATAATAGCGTTTATAGCGAAAATAATGTCTACACTCCACTCTCCATGTTTCTCCATGCTCTTGTCTGGTCCAGGTGAAGGCACTGGGCTGTGATGGGAGCTCGTCTCTCGCTTCGTGGCTCGATGGCCTTGGACTCCATGAATATCTGCCCAACTTCCTCACGACAGGATACCGCACTCTGGAGTGTGTCAAGAACCTGTGGGAGCTAGAGATTGTCAATGTACGTATGAATATATGACCTGGAGTTGTTTTTTTAGATCCACCCACGCTAGTACCAGAAACTTTTAGCTCAAGCATGTTACTCCTCTTCAGTCTTAGTCCTGTAATTTTTGGGTTTCATATAACGTCAGGGCAGTGGCGCGAATAACAAACGTAGGACAGAGTGTGACGTACCTTGGCGGTGCAGTCTGCCGGGTATATACACAGAGATATAGTACTTTTTGTGCGCTGTTCGCTTGTAGCAACCGCGCAAATAGAGAGAAAGACAAGAGTTTCTTCTGTGTTCTAACTGTGGTCTCATGTAAAGGAGTACACTTTGAAAAAATCACTCGAATGAGGCCGGCAAGGTGGATCAAGGCTTTCCCAGATAAGTGCCCCCTGCAGGCCACCCAAATGAAACGCAGCAATTTCTTCTGTTTTTCTTTCCAAAAATGCCCGAAATCAAGACTCTTTTGAGAATTATTTTTTAGTACTCCCTTAGAATTGAGTGTCCCCGATTAAGACTGTTACAACAACCGTACACTGCACAGGATGAGAGCCTTTTGACTGGGAGCAAAACTGAGTTGTCCCACCTCTGCTCATTCGCCCCCTACAGGCCAGTTTAATGAAACCCAAGAATAGTACAGTATGATGTTATTGTCCATCCATCAATCATTTTCTTCCGCTTCATCCTTTGCCGGGTCGCGGGGGCAGCGATTTAAGCAGAGACGCCCAGACTTCCCTATCCACACACACTTTCTCCACACTTCGCCCATTTATTTGTAGGATTAGGTTTGTTACAATGACATGGCTTTGGTTGTAGCCAGTGATTTTCTAAAAGGAATTGGGCAGGTGGTGGTGGTGGTTCTCTAAATCCTATTTAATTTTCCTACACACAAAAATGCGACACTGCACAAGGGGGCTGTGTGTGATAATGTAGTATAAATACTGAGCATCTGTGCTTGTGTCCAGCAGTCTGTGTTGTTGGGAAAAGGATTTTGTTGGTGAGAGAAGCAGAACTGCCTTGGAGCAGCTTGGCACACACCTCTCTCTCACACACATCACACTGGAAACACGACCAAACCACAACATCTATAGTCTCCAAACTGCCCCCAATGCTTGTCTTGTCTGACTCTGTGGATTAGTGTTCACAAAGTAATGAGACCCACACAGGGAGTACTTCAATTACAACCTGCATAATGAGTGATCGAAAATGCAGATATTGAGCTAATACGTTACACAGAAAATAAATTAATAAATAAATAAATTAAAGTAAATGTGGGTTTAAACATATTTAGGGACATTGTGCGTCATGCATTGCTATGTTGTGTTAATTGTGTAACCAGAAAAAACAAAGCTGCGTGTTATTTCTGTAATCTTTCTGTGGTAAAAACTAGTGTTGCAAAAATATGGGAAGTTTCAAATAATTAACAGTATTTAACAGGAACTAACAGGATTTTATGGGAATTCATTTTCTATATTGATTGTGGGCGCTGCATAGGGAACTTAAATAGATAGATATATAGATACTTTATTGATCCCCGTAGGAGAAATTCAGGTGTCCAGTAGCATAAAAAATAAAAATTAAAATGGATAATTCTAAAAAGCTAACTATAGTGATAATCAGATATAGTCAAGGAAAGTTTACTTTAGTAGAATACTTGGAAGAAAACAAACAGATACATTTCAAATACACTTGAGGATCCATATCATTCCTAAATCACATGCCCAGAAGATTTCCAGGAGACTTTTGAGCCCAAAGCACAAGACTGTTTAGTCCACAGGCTCAAATGTGTGCGCACAAGTTCTACTCACAAATAATTATGTTGAAAAATCTGTCGAGACATTTTGAGTTAGGGTTTTCTTATGATGTATGTGTACATTTACGCTTGGATGTGATACAATTTAATTACATTACAATTAATTCCCAGCCATGTAATATTCCCAAAATTTACCTCCTATGGAAATTTACTTGACACTTTCCCAGAAATTTCCCAGGCATTTTCCATTTTCAACCTTAGTAAAATCCCCATATGGTGTTGATGATTTTTATTCAAGTCAAAACATAAAGAAACATTTTCCATGGGTCAGCCCTTTAGGCGCCAGAGTAACAACATCCAGGACACTTTCAATACAGCAATCTGACTTCTTATAAATGTTCCTCTAAATGAGTCCTTTCTACTGACCAACATCATACATATGCTTTTTGAATATTGTCACCACTTAAATACACCTTTGCAAAAAATGAATGAGATTATAGTTGATATTTTTTAAGATGTAGAACAGTTTTTGTTACGTGTGGAGAGTGTAGATCTATACTAGACTTTCGACTGTGACCAACGATTTTTAAGCTGTTCTCCACCGCAATGTTTAACTATAGGTTCTCTGGAATGTTGTGATGTTGCACGACCACAACCTTTTTGTTTTAGTAGTCCTCAATCTCCACCTTTTGTCAGTTTGATAGGTAGATAGGTACTTCATCAATCCCCGTAGGACAACTTCAGGTGTCCAGCAGCAGAAACCCATCCATCCATTAAAACAAAACAAATATATTTAAAAGTTACTAACAATAACAATCACATCATCTTCAAAGTAAAAGGTTTGCAGACCGTAACATGATCGTAAAACATTAAACATAACCCAAAACGTTGTGCTAAGAGATCAAATTGAAACATAAAAGCTGTTTCTATGTTTTTGCGTTACGTAACTCTAAATGGCAGTGGAAGTCCAAAAATGGATCTCCAGTTATAGTGGATCTCTGGAAGAACATGGTGCAGTACTTACGGCAAAATAGATTGAGGCTGAATTATTGACAAGAGTGGTTTCAGTTGCTGCTGCTGTGGGCTGCAGTTCCCCGGCTCTGCGTCCGAGAAGGCGCTGGATAAATGCTCGTGTTTGAGCCAGTGATGAGACGAGACGCAGGGAATTGTGCTGATGCTGGTTCTTTGTGCAGGTTCTTAAAGTGGGTCCTCTGGGACACCGCAAAAGGATCATTGCCTCGCTCGCAGAGAGACCGTACGAAGAGGCGCCCTCCAAGTCCAGACGTCTTTCTCCAATCATGGTAAAGTCGGTTGAGCAGAACTTATGTTGATAAACTCTGACTGCAAGATCATAGTAGCCCGGGATTCATCAGGGGTTTTTAATGCTGTAAAAATTTGAATTATTTATTTAGATCTATATATGTCTAGATATGTAGGCCCGAGCGCCAAACTGGCATAAGGGCCTTTTGCTTGTTAGTTCTGGCTACGCAACAAGGAACGGCAAGGCAAGTTTATTTGTATAGCACAATTCATACACAAGGCAATTCAAAGTGCTGAACAAAACAAGAATGCATTAAAATCATAAATAATCACAGTACATTAAAAAAAAAGATAAAAATATAAAATCCCTCAGTTGCATACAACTGAGGGACACACTATTATGCAGGACTTTTTTTCCCCAAACTTTGAGAATTTAAAATGTGCTCCTGTTTACACATACACAGTCTGATCAGCACCAAATGTGAATGGGTTGTTGGGGGTAACACATGAAAATAAAGCATTAGTATTGAACTTACTGTTGTACGTTTTACATGGTCATGAAGACATTTAGTTTTGTCAATGCTTGAAATGTTTATGGTGTTAGTGAGTCTGTTAGAGAGTCTGTGTTTGTGAGTCTGTGTTACAGAGGGTTCTAGGGCTGGAAGTAGAAGAAAACTACACAAAAGACCAGCAAAATTCATCTGAAATTCATCTTTTTTAATCACTGTGGCGGTCCCTTGTAAACCCTTGTTTGAAATAAAACAAGAAATGCACACATTTTTCAATTTGATGAATATTTATGAGATGTACTCCTTTTGTGTAAATATGGTCCAGCGTTATATTCACATATTCATGTTCTCCAAAAGAATATAACAAAATAATAGTGGTTGCAGCCCTATTATGATATAGTGTGAGCCTATGCACCGTCATGGTTACGATTGTGTAATGACCAAAGTATGACATCATCCTGCCACAAGCGGACACGCATCAAACTTCCTCATGTTCTAATCCTCTGCCAAAATATGAGTAAGAATCTATAAATAAATACAATTATTTTCCTCAGACTAAAACATTACTTATTCAAATCCTACACCTTCATAATTAACTGATTCTCCCAGAATCTGCATCCTCCTCAGGCTCAGAGCATTATCCCAGATTGAAGTATTATGTCTGCACCGCTCTCTAGTTGCTGTTCAGGCAGTGAGACAAATCGATTCCTTGATTTCTGCTTAAAATATTTAAATTGAGTCTTAATTTAGTTCCTACTTTTACTGACTTCGAGAAATCTGTATTCAGTCAGGAAGAACTGTTTGATATTTGCTTTGTTATTTACATTTCATTATATTTTGTTTCCCTTTGCATGAGATGGAAGTAGAGTGGAGTCGCACACCAAGAACTAATTCCACATCAATGGGGTTTTGTGTGTTTTGGTTTATTTCCATCATCTGAGAAAATCTACTTTGGGAATGTGATTCTTTAGTATAATTTGGTTCACAACAGTTTTTCAAAGCAGATTAAAAAGCCAAAAAAAGAAAGAATGGAGACTCTCTATGGAAACTGATCTTTTGAGGGGGATTTAACTCGGCTGCCCAACATCAGTCATTTTCTTTTTGAATATTTTCACCGCTTTCAGACACGTTTAAAAATAATGAGATCATAGTTTATGTTTTAACAAAGAAAATGTGGGACTTTGTAACAGTTTTGTTTAGTGTGGAAACAAAAACATGGAATTACAGTAGGTTACCCCCAAAAAAATGCTGCCCTCCTTCACAATGTGAAACTATTGGCTCTTTGGACTGTTGTGATGTCACATTAATACAACCTATTTGTTTTAGTAGTCCTCAATCTGATTCTTTATTATATATCGGTTCACAACAGTTTTTCAACACTGCAAAAAGTGATGAAATATGAGGTTGTAAATGCCTAAATTTGTGGGGGTTTTTTAAATCCTAATTTGGGTTCATTGTTACAGTACAAGAAAACAAGATTTGCCAATGGGACAAAGCCATTTAGTCATGTTTTTAAAACAAGATAATTGTGCTTGTCCCATATTGGCAAATCTTGCTTTAAGGCAGTCAAAATGTGCTCAAATTGAAATAAATTATTGCCATTTTTTTTTTTAACTTATTTTTCATCACATTTTGCAGTGACAGCAGATTAGAAAGCCAAAACATGAGAATGGAGACTCTCTATGGAGGCTGATTGTTTGAGAAGGCTTAAAGTTGGCTGTAGATCAGGGTGTGTGGACACAATGGCCCCCAGTCATCTGTCCCGTCTGCATGTTTGTGTGTGCAGTTCCACGACCTGCTGTCCCAGGGAAACACCCCCCTGGGGCAGCTGGACCCTTACACCAGTCGCTCCATGGACATGCTACTGCCCCTGACCGAGTCTGACCGCCGCAGGAGGGGCTTCGACCAGGACTGTAGCATCTCTCTGCGCTCCTACAGTGAGAGACCGAGATCTGTGGTGAGCTTTTATCACTGGAATGACTAACGCATAAACTGTAATGTGTGTAAGGGGTGTCAAACCAGTTCCATGAAGGACCAGTGTTTTAGTTGCCACCTGAGCAGGAGCACACCAGACTCCACCCATTTCCTCAAATCTTCAGGTTAAGTCTGAAGGAGGGTCAAAGGACGGTGGTGATGATCCAGGATACTCGACATTCAACAACATTTATAGACATTTATCAACATTTTTGGACATTGGTCATCTGCCCCTTATGGACCAATGGCTCTACACTGCAAAATGTGAGGTAGTAATTGCTTGAATCGAGTGGTTTTTTACCTTAAATTGAGTACATTCTGACCGTCTGAAAACAAGATTTGCCAATTGGACAAAGCCATTTAGTCCTTTTACAAGAACTGATGCTTTATTTCCTCCACGAGGGAGGCATTTCATACATTCTTTTAAAACAAGATACTTTTTGCTCGTCCCATTGGCAAAACTTGTTTTAAGGCAGTCAGAATACGCGTAAAATTAAGATACATTTTGTAGATTTGTTTGCTTATTTTTAATCACTTTTCACAGTGTATGTGTTTTTTTATGATTGCATTTCTTGTGTTTTAACGGTTTGATTCTCTGATCCGCGTTGGCAAATTCGACAGTTTTGTCCTCAGAGATAACTACTGTTGTAATTCAGGGTTATACAAAAATAAAAAGAATTGAATGGAATTGAATTGAAGACTGGACACACCTGAGGAAATGGGTGGAGTCTAATTTACTCTCGCTCAGGTGGGAACTAAAACCTGGAACCACTTCGGCCATTTGAGGACCAGTTTGACACCCCTGATTTATTATCTGTCTTGTATAAGTGACTGTTCATAACGTTGTGTCTTTTTAAAGGAAAGACACAGTGAGAAACAGAAAGACCGTTTTAATCTTCGACCCACAAGCCATTCTGCTACCTACGCCACAGTGTCTGCATGGCATCATCAACCTGAAAAACTCATCCTCGACTCCTGCGGATATGAGGCTTCTGTAATTAAATCCCTTTTTTATTATTTATGTATTTGTTTATTTGACAGGGCACAATAAATCAGTCCGGACATAGATATAAGCTAATTTTCCTCCGTAGTCCCCGGGAAGAGGTAAAGAGACTTAATACATAGAATGGCATAGTTAGAACTAAAATACAGGTAAAATACAACACCCCTAACCACAAAGAGACACAATATATACAACACACAATTATTTACATCTGATTGAAGGCTGCAGACTTGATTATATATGTTTCTTTCAGTATTTAGGATCGTTGATAATCAGGGATCTACGAGGGATCGAGTCCACGCAAGATGCCTGCGCAAAAATTAGGGTACGTTCAAACAAGTGCGCAACTCGAGGCTATTGGACATGGCTTTGATATTCTGAAATATATGGATTTTTTTTTAGAAATCAAAGGATTCCAAAAAGGGACCAGTCGTCATATTATCTATTACCTATAGAGGTGTCAAGTTCATTGATGCAGCTTCAAAGGTAAAACACATCTGTCTATTGATGTATGCTCACTTTGTCCTTGGACATTCTGACGCATAATGTCTTTTGTGTTTAGACCATTATCGCGGAGCATGAAATCAGAAACATTTCTTGCGCCGCACAAGACCCAGATGACCTGTGCACATTCGCTTACATTACCAAGGATCCGAAGAGTGGTCACCATTTGTGCCATGTTTTCAGCACTGTTGAAGTGGTGAGTGGCATCTCAAATCTCATCTTGAATTAAGATTAAGATTATCTTTTAAGATCGTTTATTCATCCCACAGTGGAGACATTTCAGTTTTGCATCATGAGTTACAGACAGTGGAAAGGAGGAGCACACAGAACAACTAAAATCAAATCTTCAACTTTAGCATGAAAAAGAAGCAAGTGTATAATCTATAGCCTTAGCATAATAAAGTGTCATGGGAAGACCCAAAGTACAATACTGCAAAAATACTATAATGTAATAAGCAAGGATCCAAAAACAAAACTCATTTGAATGCAGCAGCAGTATAATCAGTATAATCAGTATAATCACTTCCTCAACAACAACATCCTCATCAGGTCACTGCAAAGACGTGAAAAATTGCACCAACATCATTCTGCATTTAACAGCAGCTGCAAAAATGGAAACTGAAACTACAGCTTTGCGTGATTTCTTTTGGACAAACAAAGAAGTAGAATTCTCCTCCGTGTAGCGCTGGAAGCACACGTAGCATTGTCAACCTTTACGTTTGTTCTCGGCTACTGCTCATGTCCAAATGTAGGTGGAGGGAAGTGGTGAGGTCTTAGCAGGCAGAGAATTCACACTTTTTTTTCACGCCGAGCAGCATATCTGTTCTGATCCACTCTGGAGGCAGTTTCTCAACGCTGTGTTTTCACCCCCTTGGAACGCTATCTCCATGTAAACAGAAGCCCAAACCGACACCCAACTCTATTGTTTTACTGTTGCAGCGTCTCCGTCTAAGGCCCTGTTTATACTGAGACGCTGCGCAGACGTTTCCAGGCTATTAACAGAAACGACCTGGCTCCTAATGCAAATTTCTCAGCGTTCACATGAGGTTGAAAAACGATGTAGTTCTAGCGCCCGGCCAGTAGTGGGCAGATAAACTTAACAACACGACACACGACCCCCAGCCCCGTGCCCAGCCCCCCTCTCGGCAGTATACTCACTTCCTGTACCAGACCCTCAGAAAGCACCAACATCATTCTGCATTTTAACAGCAGCTGTGAAAATGGAAACTGAACCTAGAACATCGTGTGGTCTCGTTTGGACAAACGAAGGAGTAGAATTATCCTCTGTGCCGCGCTGGAAGCACACGAAGCTAGTTAGTTTACCGGCCGCCATTGTTGTTTATGTTTGTTCTCCGCTACTGCGCATGTCCAAATTTACGAGCGGGGAGCAGCGCGGAGGTGGGGGTCAGATCAGACGGGATTTCACACCTTTTCCCTTACGCGGGTGTGAAAGAGCTCCCCGCTGTGCAGCGTATTTGAGCCCTCCCATTTTGCAGGCTGGATCTGAACACTTACCCCCCTGGAACACAGTCTTCGTATGAACGCTTGATGGCAACCGACATTCAACTATACCGTTTTACTGCCACATTGTCTCCGTGTAAACTCAGCCTAAAAGGGGCCTTAAGGGACTGATAACCAGAGGGAAAGATCACATGGAATTTAGCTGGGAGACACAGGTGTGACACAACAGGGCGGGGCAATCAACAGAACAGGAAGTAAATCTTGAAAAGACACTACAAAATAAAACAAAAACATAACATAGTAAGTAAGTATAAAAACCCAGCTTTGGCATAATAAATAAGTAAGAATAAAACATTGTATATTCTAGTGCAAGAAATATTTAGTTGTATGTATACATCTGTACATGTTAACAGCTTGAGGTATGGGAAAAAGCGACAGTGGTCATATGTGGCTCTATATCGCGCTGATCCATGATTTCAAGGTCAAGTGTTTGTTAGTCCTCATTGTTCGTTGCACAGTCTGACATTGTTTTCTGATTCTCACCGGAACTGTATAAAGAGCCTTTCTGTCGAGCGATCATTAGACATTTATGAGAGGGAAGTGGGTTGTCAGGTATCCCACCGAAAAGCAGCGTGTAGCAAACTGTGGACATGTTTTTCCTTGATTGACTTTCTGCTTTGTTTGATTCTCGCTCTGATCCTGCAAAGTGACATTTTCCTCCACATGCAAACTTCATTTTAATCTCACACTGCAAAATATAAGGAAATAATTGCTTGAATCGAGTGGTTTTTATCTTCAATTTAGAATATTCTGACTGTCTCGCAACAAGATTTACCATCTTGTTTTTGGGCAGTCGAAATGTGCTCAAATAAAGATGCATTTTTGCCAAATTGTTGTTTTGCAGTGTAAATGCTTTAAAGGTCAATGGCACTTTGCGCAGTTGTTCAATTAGTTTTGAAGCTTAATTTGTCGTGAATAATAGTCGCTCTCAAAAACAGGCTTCCAACATTATCTTCATAAGTAGGCACACTGCAGATCAACATTTGGCAGTTGTAAAGCTATAGAAATAAATAGGTTGGATTAAGAGGTTTTTGTCTTCATCTCGATTTGTTGAAATAAGATAGAGACTCTTTATTTGTCTCACAGTGGGGAAATTTCAATGTTGCAGTGCACGTACGGGACAGTATGGTTGAGCATTGGTCTTTGGACCTAATGGTTGTGGGTTCAATTCCCCTACCACCCATGACATCTGCTTTCACTGATGTCTGCTGTCGTTGTGTCCCTGGGCAAGACACTTAACCCAACTTTGCCTAATGACCCTGACCCCGCTGAAATCACCAAGGTCATATCTGCGTTGAAAGAGCAGCCGTCTCCCTTGGACCCACCACCTGCCGGAAGATCAGAGGAACTGGTGCTTTGTTGATTGGGTGGCAGCTCTGATTACCACCCCCCTCACCCTGAAAAGTATAATAAACGGATGAAAATGAAAATGAAAAAGTAGCTGCAATGTTTCTGAGCTCTGACAGACTGAGTGACCTGCAGCGGGTGACAGTCATGGTCCAGCAGAGATGTTATGGTCCTGTCAAAGCTCACAAAGTTGTGGGAAGAAGTGAAACTACCAGGACTAGTTTGTTTGCACAAAGTTAGGGTGTGGTAGATCATCATCATCATCAGGTCTCTTCTTTTGCTTCAGACTCAGACATATGAGATCATCCTCACCCTGGGACAAGCCTTCGAGGTGGCCTATCAGGTGGCCATGCAGTCTAGAGCCAGACACTACGCCCAGGCCTCCACCCCGACCCCAGAGGTTGTCGAGCCAAAGCCCAGCCGCTCCATCTCCCAGTCCTGGAGCAACATCCGCAGATCCGCAGTGAGTTGTGACCCTAAGATTCTCTGGTAAAAGCAGTTTGGCAGTGACGAAAGCACAATAAATGGAGACATTTCTTGTATTTTTTTAAAACAAGATCATTTGCCTGTCTCATTGGCAAATCTTTTTTTAATTCTGTCAAAACGAGCTCATATTACGATACATTTAGCAGAATTTGAGCACTTTTTGGCTTGTTTTTCTTCACTTTTTGCAGTGCATTGGGATACTTACTGCCGTTCATGAGGTTAAAATGATGAATCAGTTCTGTGTACTCCCGTCCTCTTTGAGTCACGCTTAGTAGCTGCAACTATATATTTTCTTTGCCGCTACAGAAATGATGAATGAGAAGGATTATGTTTGTCTTTCTCACTATGTCTGTCTCCCGGGTTATTTCTAGAGCTTTTTTCTGTGCTTCTGTTTGGACCTATAGTCACTTCTTATTCACAGTTTATTGCATTTATTACATTACGAGCACATTTTGTCCCCAGACGTGTGTGGATGCATTTATCTCTTAGGATGTTAGTATATACGGTATAAGAAAACAGTCACCTGGGTGAGCCCTGGCCTTCTCACGGCTGCTGCACTCACACAAATCACCTTTTACTGCCTGCTTGCACACTTCATATATGAAGTGATCACCCACTGGCATAATGAGACAGCTTTTAAAGGAGGTCGGATCTTTCACCTCAATCCGTCTTAGAATTATCGAACAAAAACACACAAAAAACATTGTTTTATCTCTGTCATACAGTATATAGAAAACAACACTATCCTTACGGTTTTGTTATGAGTGGCTTAAAAGTGCACTGTGTAACTTTTTCAAGGGTCCATTTCTTTTATCCCATTTTATAATGAAGTGAGAGGGTTTAATAGAATACCTCACTGATTCTTCAGTTTGGCACAAAGCGTTCACCAATGTTAGTATATTTATATAATTTTCTCTGTGCTCAGACAACAAATAATGGACTTCCTGCCTCGATGTGTCAGAATTATTCATGTCCGTAAGCTTATTTGCTAGAACTGTTCATTGTTCATTGCATTGTGTCCACATTAACTTCCTCTGACCCTGATGGCATAAGCACATGGCTTCTGAAAGATTGTGAGATCCAAACAAGATTAGCTCGCTGATGCGGCTGCAGCGCTTTGTGTCAAGGTTAACGGGACTTTGCCGGCTCCTGATTGGTGTAAAAGGGGCTCACTGCTTAAGTCCCCTCCTTCTACAGTCTATGGTCAAGACATACTGAGAAATACTGGAATAATATTATTACACATCTTTCTCTTGGGAAAATGAAGTTTGAATAAATAATACAGATCTTTTTTTTGGCGCATAAATCAAAGATGCGTCTCCTAATGCGACCGTAGGATGGAGATTTCTTGAAATGAATGCAAACTTTCACTAAGTTGTTGCCTGATTTGAGGTGGAACTCTTCTTTCTTTGGTCATTAAGTTCAACTGCAGCAGCTCTTTTATCCCTGCACCAATCTTTCACCCGAGCCATATGTGAAACTTGAAAACAATTACAGTATATTTAATGTTAGTGAAGGTGTTAGGAATTTCATTTATTTGTTTATCAGAAAAATTTACATTATATTAATCATCAAGCAGAGGCGCTTGTAGCAGACTGGAGCTTAATAGTTCATTTCCATCTGCAGTCTCACAGGGGACGGTTCAAAAAATAAATAATGCCCTGCCACTCTTAAGTCATTGCGTCTCGCTGGCTGCCACTCATGCCTCACTGCAACAGTACCACAGGTTTGATTCTTGCGTCACGTTATTGTTTCTCTCCGTGTTCCTCCGCTGCTCGGCACTCAAATCCCTCCAAAACCACAGTATGAAATAATTATCGTTTTTTAAAATTATTATTATAAATTTGCTGATAAAATACTACCATAGACCGTGGGCGTGGATATTTCTACTTGCCAAAACGCTTTTCAGATCAAGTAGCCCTCTGATTGGCTCTTTGGTTGCTTGGTAGTTGCTGGAGATAATTTTGCTCTACATTCCCGTCTATTGAGCCTGTTCCTTGGAGGGAAATAAGGGATACACATGGTACAGCACTGATGCAAACCAACCCACTGAGGCCTTGGTTGGACAGTTTGCCACGGGAGAACTCGTACTGAAGACCTGTTATCTGGAGTAAGCCCTGTTGAATGATGGGATAAGCTGCTTACCTAGTTCCCAGTTTAGTTTAGTTTATTTGTTGGTCGTATAGTTTTCAGACACAGGGGTCTTCAGATCAGAGGTCCTGGCGTGCGCCGGAAGTGCCGGAAGTAGCCGACGAGCTTTGATGCTAGCAGAGTTTAGCGGCTTCTTGTGTACAGATCTTCTCCAATAATGCAGCTTTGCAGCGTGTCTGGGTTCAGAGACCTTCCACGGACTTTATATTACAGTAGTATGTGTTCACGGAGATGCGCAATAAGTTTATTTTATTATTAAACGGTACTTCCGCATCGGCGAACACACTCGAAGCAGTTGCATAAAGTTACAGGAGCATGAAAACTCACATGTTAACAAGCACTCTGTCCCCCATTGTCAATCCTGGTTTAGTCCTGGTGTAGTTCCTGTTTTGGCTGTTTACAAGTATGTTCAGTCTGCTCGCTCAGACCGCTAATGTCCCTGTGACCACTTTGCGGCTCTCTGATTGGTTGCTGCTCGAACGTCCCGAGGAAAGGTTGAGCAAAATCCATCTCCTGCGTTCCTCCCCTTCGACTTCCCAGCGCGGTCCGTGCGTGCATTCCGAGACGTTCGTGCGCTTTGACGCTCGAACACGAGTCACCATTGACTTTGCATTGAAAGCCGACGCAACGCATTATCCGGTCTGAACGCGGCAATAGGCCCAGTTTAGTTGCATTGTGGTCTAACCGGCCGGGGTGCAGTTTGGGACCCACCCGACGACTTTGGTCAGGGTCCTGCTGCCCGAGGTTAAGGGTGATCATTCAGGGCTCAGTGGGAACCCTGCCTATGTTTAAGAGAGAGGTAGCAGAGACACAGACATACTGTATGTCAGTGGCCCAGTACACTACACTGGCCTCGCAGGACAGCCCTCAGCTGCCAGACAAGACCCACGCCTGGAGGAGTAAACGCCTTGTGCAGCATCGTACGTCGAGAGCCCTATTGCCCTGATCTACCTTAGTGTAGCAACAACATAGCCAGAGGATTACATGGGTGGCCAGGACACATGGATCCAACCTCGAATCGCTGAGTGAAAAAGAGGTTGTGCAGATCATAATTTTTACAGGCATTTATTGGATCCAGGGGAGGATTTGTGATTGAAGCAGATAGATGTTCAGATCTTCTCTGGACCATGACCATGAGTCTTGCTTGTGCTTCAAAGATTTGAAGCCAATAAAGAGCGTTTCACATAAAATATAGAGTTCTTATTAATATCAGCGTCAGTCATACATTTAAAGAGAACTGTGCATTATTTTTGTATTGTAAGTAAAATATGTCAGTAGTTCTGTAACGGCTCTAGATTGTTGCCGTGTTTAACAAAAAAAGGGTTGGAACCAGCTTATGGTGCTCTGAGGTCAGTAACACAGCACTTTGGTTTTACACACTTCTTACATTGTGCAGGAGTCGCTGGGTCTCACCCCAAGTGTATGCAGGCATTCTCGACAGCCATGTGTTATGTAACACGCAACGATATGAACCTCGAGAGGAAACAGAGGAGATGAGAGGGAGTGAGATGAAGGGTAGAAGGGGGGGAACCTGTGTGGCCCACACCAACAGGGACAAACAGATGCTAGACATATGAAAGTGGGCATGTTGTATTTAAGCCAAAGAGAACACAAGGACAAAGAGGAAGAAAATGGATGGAGAACACAAGGACTCATGAGTGTAGAAAATTCACATGCTGCCTGTGTCTGTCTTCCTTCTTCTATCGAGTGAGTGTGGGTTCTTTTAGCTAACCCTCTACTGTGGAACAATGCAAAACAATATATCTACATAGAGACCCTCCACCAAAAACGTTACACTGTGTACATTATAGGCAACTCATGATGATTATCTAAAATGTTTGAATGTTTTTTCAAATGTACAACTTTATACCTGCCTTTGTTCATTACAATAATTGGCCAAAACAACACTGGTTAGCAGAAAATCCTAACCAGTGAAGTATTCCAGAAACGTAAATGTAGTGTTGCTTTTACTGAAATCCGTGCCTGCCACATGAATAGTCACACATTTGAATGTAGTTTCCCTCTGCTGTCTTATGTTTTAACATGCACTTTGTTCTTGTCTTCTTGGTACCTGCCTCCCAGGGTGCCCCTCAGCCCGAATGCCGCTGCTGTCACTGTCACACGTGTACCACCCACCGCCCCTCCTTCCTCCCGTTGCACTCTGTTAGCCCTGGAGTCCAGGTCCTTCTCTTTCCTTGTCTCTATAACCCTGTTCTTTTCATCTGCTTTCACACCATTATTGTCACAACCTAATTTACTTTTAGTGCACTTTCTATGCCTTAGTTTGGACTCTTATGATTCAAACACAAATTGTTTTATCATTCTTTTTTCCTCACATTGCATATTCATCATTTTTCGTCATTTTACAATTTAAGTCTTTTAACTTGCAATAGTTTGGATGAGATATTCTAATATTTACGTGTTTGTGAGTACTGTGGGCTTTATTGTGTCAGGGATAACCATAAATATGGCTGGAGTTTATTTGCTGGTTATTTTTTAGATTATGAAAACCATATGCAAGGATTTGAAAGGCCTACTTTGAATGTTCGAATTCAAAGCATAAGAGCATAAAAAGCGTACAGTATGCAGGTATGTGAGTTGAAGCTTCCGGTCCTAATACCCTTCATGTCTATCTAATCCACTGGTGTAGCGCATGTTGCATTTTTAAATAATCAGTACATTCCACGTAGTTTTGGTAGGATGGTGTCAGGGAGAATATATGCAGTGTGCTATCCTCCATGTTGTGGATGAGCCCAATGTTTGTGATTCTAACCTGATCACTGGCCTCTGTACCTCTAATCCACATGCACATGTGTGACCAGGACTTGTCAGTGGTGCACAAAGACCCACGCTGCTGCCCGTCTCACGTCCTCCTCTCGCTCCCTCCCTCCCTTCCCCGGCAGATGGACCCTCTGGAGTTGGACCCTGACATGCACTCCTTGGGAAGCAACTCCTGGCTTCTGGACCAGCGGGACAGCCACAGGCGACCGGTCAGCACCAAGTACGAGACCACCATTTTCTGAGGCCGCACCCCTGGTCTTGTCCCTTTGCCCCACTCACACGCCCGTGACTGACAAGCCCGTGCCTTCTCACTGTGATGGTATAGCATCCCTCAGGGCTGTCAACTCCCACACCCTCCTCTGCCCTGCCCAGCAACCCAAACAAACCCACTTGTTCCCCTTGAAAAGACACGCTGCTCCTCTCCTGTGTCCCAGTGCAGTCCTGGCAGCTCCCCAGCCTGTCGCTGCTGCAGCCAGAGGTGGAGTCCTGACGGATGATCCTGGACTGATCGCATTTTACAGTGGCCCTGCTCTTGCAACCAAACTGCCTCTTTATCCTCTTCCTCCTGATCCTGACTATTTACATTTGCCTCTATACCCTGATAGCTCCCAAAGCTAACATCATGTTATCAATTTCTTTTGCAGTATTTGATTTAGTTTATGATTTAAATGAACATGCATGTTAAATTTGATATTTTTATATTGTTTTATTTAAATTATTAACACAATGTTATAATATACAGTACATTTATTTGACTATTATTTGTAGTTTTACCTCCAAACAGTTGAAACTTGTCCTTTTCTCCATCTGTAGCCTGTCCTGTCTTACCAGGCATCTACCACTGTGAGGCACAATGAGGAAGCTGCTATGCTTGCAGGGGAGGCAAGATGGACTTTTAATCAATGAAAAGACAAAACAGCGACATGCAGCAAACCCTTTTCTACGTATTTGTACCATAGTTATTGTAACACAATGATATGATTGAGTCTTAAGCCTATCACTGATGTCTGAACTCTTATGAACCAAGACTTTTACACATTACACACCAGGGGGTGACTTCCCTGCACTTAACCAAGGACTTACCAGCCTTACAGCTCTTTTGTTTATCTATAACCAACAAATATCCCTCATTGCCGCATTCAACCAACAGGCAAATGCACGTGCCCTACTCCTCCAAAGGACCAGGATCGTAAGACTCCTGGTGTTTCAATGCCAAGGCTAGTGCGATTGTTCTTATGGTGGTACAGTTTTGCCCAAGTCTGCTCCATATACTGCCCAAAGTGTCACAGTAGCATTGACAGTCCCAAATGCACAGAAACAACAACAACACAGCACGTATTTAAGGTGCGTCAAACAGGTGCAGATTCTGGTATGTAACTAACTTTGTGATTATCTTTTATGTTGAAATCTATTGGATCTGTAGGAGAATGGGTTACTGTGTTGACAGGACCGGGATAAAGGTTGATCAAAGACTAAATGTAGCTCCATGAAATCGTTTAAGATAAATTTCTATTTTTCCATGTCTTCTGAGCAACCGCAGTGCAATAGCGCAATGTTCACTTCTATTTGTAGCCAACGTGGGCGATGATAAAGGCCAGCTAATTGATTTATGATGTGCTGTGATTTAATGTCTGATAGCGAACAGAAGCTGTCACATTCTTAAATATTCAAACATTACTCTAATGACCTCAAATAGGTTGCGTTCATGTGACGTCACATCATTCCAAACAGTCCATAGTTTTAACATTGCAGTTGAGGGCAGCTGAAAAATCTTTCCTTGTAACTATAGTAACTGTCAAAATTTGGATTTTGCTGTAATTCCAGGGCTATTCCACTAAAAAACAATAGATTAGATAAAGATTAAGAGATCCTTAATTTGTCCCATAGAAATGTCAGTGTTGCATCACCGGTTACAGAACTAATACCATAATAAAGAAGCAAGAATAAAGTATAAAATCTCTGACTTTGTATAAAAAAAAGTAAGAATAAAAATCCTGATAATTGCACCATCTGACATTCTTATAATTATCATAGCACTCATGAGTACAGTGACAGTGGACACATGTGGTTCCATATTGCACATATACCAACTGTGGTCTGAGTATTTTATCATGAAGGTGTCTACCGGTGATATGCACGATAGCATAATGTTGGTTCGCACAAAGGACTTTCATACAAAACAATGTTATGGTGAATACTTGATTCCAATCGCTATGAAATAATGATTTTTTTTTCCTAGTATTGTATCGGCACCAGCCCTCAAATCAATTCAATTCAATGTATTTTTGTATTGCCCTAAATCACAACAGTATTATCCCTGCGCATTTTACAAAACCGTCAAATTTGCCAACACAGATCAGAAAATCAAACAGTGAAAACAGACAAAATGCAGTGACAAAAAAAACACAAAAAGAGCCATTGTCCATAAGGGGCCGATGACCGATGTCCATACATGTCGTTAAATGTCGAGAGTCCTGGATCATCACCACTGTCCTTACACCCTCCTGCATCGGCAAAGAAAAAGTCAAACTAAAATAACCTTTTCGTACATGAACGCAACCTATGCTTTTTATCTTGAACACAATCTATGACCTAGTATATTTATGCACTTATTTATTATTAAAATCAAACAAAATGCAAAGACCGCTTTTCCCTTACAGTACATTTTTCCATACTGAGCTGCCAAACATCTGATAACTGCTGCACGGTTCCAATTCTGTTTTGGACGAGGAACCCCACACAAACTGTCACTTGAAACTTAACGGCGGTGAAGGCTGAGAAGGCCACTTATCGTATGTAGCTGGTGCCATAGCGATGCAGATGCTAACGTTCGAGCCACCTCCTCCTCCTCTTGCACTGTGCTTTTGAAGATCCGTGTTGTGCGGTGGACACTTGACCCTGGGCTGTCCGCTCTCTGTGCACTATACTCCTGTGTGTGGCGTATGCTTTTTGTCTGTCCTCATGGGAGTTTGGACTCTTTTTTACTGTTACATCACCGGCCACTGTCCTTGTTTGTGTGTTGCTTCTGGAAGAGTGAGGCGCTGGTTACTGATGTATCGGCCTGTGTGGTCTCGTGGCTGTCTCATTGCCACTTTGTTAACTGTTAGCTTCAACCGATGATGCATGCTGGCACTGTTTTTGTGTTTCGTATACTTTGATGCACTTGGCCTGAGCAGTCTCTATATATGTACTGTGGCAGTGTCTTTTTCATGTAATATCTTTGTTTGCCTTTAGTTCTTTACACAAGAACACAGATTCATACTCTCATGCTGCCATAGATGTCATTTCTCATTTGTCACATATGTTCTTCCATTCAACCTGCTCTTGTATGAATGCATTGTGTAAAAGCATTACGTTTTAATGAGCAGCTATTTTAAGTCAGTTTTGTGGCATGATACGGGCTGTGCATGTACCGATCTTTTAACATCCATGTTCTCCTTGTGTAGCTCACCCCAGCATTCAAGTTTCCGGATACCAAGCTGTGAGTTGAAGGGGAGCAGCCGATGTGAGTGTGTTTGAGTGTGTTGAAATAGTGGACAGAGCAGTCGAGAGAAAAGAGAGAAAAAGAGAGGTAAGCTTCCACAACAGGGCGACTAGCACTACCCTGTCATTTAGAGCTCTATTAGCCCCTGTCCCATGATATAAGCTCCACATACAGAGGCCCCTGAACCAGAGGCCCCAGAGGACCATGTACCAAAGGACCCTGTGCCAGAGAAGCCTCCTGCCTCTGGAGCGGTCTCCATCGAGCCCCCGGGGCCTGGCCTCATGGAGACTGCTCGATCCTGTCATTGTAGCTACTGTATGTTTAGACGGAAGACCATTACTATTGATTCAGGTCTATTGAAGATACTTCCTGTGGAAATTATTCTGGTGAAATGTTTCAAAATGTAGAGAAAAAAAACTGTACCAGCATATAATGCTTTGTCCTTGTTTGTGGACAGAGGTTTGTCAATGAAAAAAATGTGATAATGTTTCAAATTTCAAAGCAATATTATACCAATGAAATTAAATAATGACAAAGGATATAATGCCTGATTGATTTGATATGTGGTGGTCAACTGAAAAATGCCAACATTTAAAACGCCCCCAAATGTATGATGTAAAATATGTTTAATATTTTGTTTTGTTGAAAAAAGGCCTTTATTTTAATTTATTTTGTGATGAAGATGAACCACAGATGCACTGTTGGGATATTTATCAGTCACCCACAATCCCCTAAAGATGAATATTTATTTACTAATACTATAATAATAAATAAATATAATTTCAAGTTCTCAATTTTGGGTTTTCATTAAGTACTGATCATCACAAGTGATATAAATTAATATTTGAAATGTTAAGATATATGTATTGGATTGTTGTAATATTGCATTTTTGGAAAATACAAAACGTATGATTTTTGACACTGTCGGCACTGACATTCTTCCATTTTTCTTCGTCGAAAGAATTGAAATTGTCCTATATACAATCAATGTTTTTAGTGCATAATATTCTTGATGTTTTCAAAAACCAAATGAATACACAATGTATTGGTCATAAAAGTTTTATTCACACCATAAAGAAAAAAACAAAAACATGTATTTTTATTTGAAAGAAAAAAAATAACATAACTATATCCACTTACTTTTCATATTTCATTTATTTAATGTAATTTACAGTACAATCACCGTTTAAAAAGCATCAATACAGATAAGAAAACACATATTTACACCATGAACTCCCTAATATCAAAACTACCTTTTTTTGGCTTAAGCTTTTTCCCGGTCATTTCACAGATAAAGAGAGAAAAAAAGATGTCAACATTTGAAATGGATAATAGTGTTATTTCAATAAACATATTTTTATAGGTATGTATAGAAGTAAATAAAACTATTCAAAAGAGTCTATATTGTTTTTTGTGCCTCATTTTCAATTCAGTTCAATATATTTTTGTATAACCCTAAATCACGACAGTAGTTATCTCAGAGGGCTTTACAAAACTGTTGATTCGCCAACACAGATCAGAGAATCAAACAGTTCTAACACAAGAAATGCAATGATAAAGAACATAAGGGGCAGATGACCAATGTCCATCAATGTTATATTTTGTTATTTTCATTGTTGCTGGTTGTGGTGTTGGTCCTCCTCTCACTGCTGGTCCTCCCCCTCACCGCTGGTCTTCTCCGGTCTCTGGCTCCGCAGATGGGAACAGGGCGCTCCTCAGGATGGGTGCGTAAAAGGGCCCGAACACGGAGCGGTTGAAGTGGACGATTTGCCCAAAGGCCTTCCCCAGCTCGGTCAGGTCCGCGCTGAGCAGCCTGAGGGGGGAGGCCAGCTCTGGACCCCTTTTAGGAGCCCCCCCCTGCAGCATTGCCTGGAGGAAGCCCTGTACTCGCTCTCCTGCATTATACAGATGTCACAGAAAGACCACAATCAGCACTTAACCAGACACTAACTAGTATGATGTAATAACCAAGCTGGTGAGCATAACTTGGAAACCTCATAAATGTCTACACTGCAAAAAATGATTAAAATACAGAAGTAAAAAATGGCTAAAATTTGGCAACATTAATCCTAATTTGAGAAGATTTTTACTGCTTTAAAACAGTTCAAACTCTGGAAATGCAGCGATAGAAAACACATAGAGCCATTGGTCCATAGGGACAGATGAGCAATGTCCATAAATGTTAATAAACGTTAATGCATGTCGTTGAATGTTGAATGTCCTGGATCAACACCACTGCCCTGAGACTCTCCTGTATACATAAATACTAATAAAAAAGCTGGAGAACCTAACTTTGAAACCACAATAAATTACCTGTGTATTAAAATCTATGCAACTACTTTGGTTTGGTTCTAGCACTACAGTGTAACAAATCTCTGTTAATTTACCGCCACTTTTCAACACTAAAATACTGTGTGTATAAACAGTTAAGTGCTGTACTTAGAGCAATGCATTGTGGGCTACCTTTCTTGAAATAGTATGTCAATGTTTTAAATTACTGTATGCCACGTGTAAAAAAAAAAGCTTGAGTTCTATGCTCTAAGCCAGACATGGCAAACTCACAATAAACATTTTTAGTGGTCGCTTAAATTACTGCATTTACGGTGAATGGTACTATGGCATGTCGTACATCATTTTAAAGTCTATCGTCTGAAAACAACCTAATAATTGTATCCGGTCGGACTAAAATGTAATTAGAAGTTACAGTTACTTAATTATTGCTATTATCAGTCTTCCAATACATCTCTTAATTATATTTGATTCAGTTGTGGTTGAATGCAAACCCCCTACAGAAGATAATGTGCCATCACTTTTGTCTTCTTTGGGCTTTGACAAAAAGTCCACAGCGGCTAAACTAGGCTGGTCCAAAAATAAATATATCCCCCCAGCCTCGACACGCATCTGGAACCAGATGCCAAGAGCCGACTTTTGGACCTTCCTGTAAAGCAGTTTTTTCGAGAAGAAAGAAGGCGGAATACAAAAGCATTGGGTATAATTCTCTTTCTGGGATCACCCCGACTGGCAAGGGTTGAGATAGCAAGCATCTCACTGCATATGCTCATGAACCTTTTAGAGCCTGGAACCACCCCCAATGGTACTGACTGAAGCAGATGGAACCAAGTTAGCACAAACTGATTATGAACGTGACTTTGAGGTAAGTGCTTTTTTATCATCTTTTCAAGTGTTTACAATGCGTTTCTCTGTAAGCAGTGTAAAGGTCTCTTATGATTATCCATATTTCACACGTTATTGAACAGGTAAATAAACACGACAGCACGTCAGTAACACTTTTGTGAACCAATGTTATCTTTTGTGTAAGAAAGGGCTCCGAGTCACTATTTGACTCTTTGGGCTTAGAGCTGATTGGCTGAATGAGGGGGGTTTGTCATTACATGTATCTGATAAAGTTAGTAAGTCACCTTTAGATTCCAGACCCTTGTGTTGGAGCCAGTGAGGGCGGGTCCCAGCTCAAAAGTGGCCAAAATGAAGTGCGCTGACATGCTTGCAATACCACCCCGTATGGACCCGGAATAAAAATTAGCCAATGCTAACATATAGCATTGGCAGACCTCTGGAAAACGTCTTTACAGGATGGTCCAAAAGTTGTCTCTTGGCCCAAAGCTCCGTTCCACATGTGTGTCAATGCTGAGGGGGGTGAGTTTTTTTGGACCAGTCTAGTTTACTCGCTGTGAATTTTTGAAGCCACTCGTTTAGATGAATGGAGCTTGTTCAGGAAAATGTGAAAAAACATGCGCAGATGCGTTTTTTCACATTTTCCAGCCCCCGTGGCCATTTTGAATCGCTCCATGAAGGCCCAATTTTTGGGCCATTAGTTAGAACGGCGGAGATAGGCGTGACTAGAGCCCTGCACTTGAGCCCTTGGCCCGAGGGCCCCGACGGCCCGACAGCCCGAGGGCCGGGCTTCGGGCCGATGACCGCATAATGACCTCGGACACGGGCCGGGCTCGGGCTCTTCATTTTCAGGGCGGCAGAATACATTTACGAGCGCACCCACTGAATATAGCGTTCTATCACGCTGTAGTGTTTGTTGTTCTGTGTAGTGTTGTCATTGACGGCACATAGCATCACTTACAGGTGTGTTGCAGCATCTGGGCATCATACAGCTGTGTATCATACAGATGCGGCCGTTCACTCTGCACCACTCCGCACACACAGAACTCATTGCAACACATCACTACCATGTATAACTCCGCCCTCTAGCTAAGTCTGCGTTCATATCAGTGCGCGGCACTATATACTACGCTAAAACATTGTTATGGGAGGTTACAAAAAAAAAAAAAAGGCGGGCTTGATGCGGGTTTCGGGCCTGAAAATTCAGAAACCATATCGGGCCGGGCCGGGCTGGGGCGCCACCCCCTCGGGCCAGGGCCGGGCTCGGGCCCAGATAATAGGCCCGTGCAGGGCTCTAGGCGTGACTACGTCCGTTAATATATACAGTCTATGGGTGGAGCTCAACGAAACGCCTCTGGTGGAGCATGGCGGAACTACAAGGGTCTGGCCGCTGGCGAGATTTAGAAACTCCTTGTTTATGTTTTCTCCCGAGTACATGCAAACTCCACACAGACATTCTTGCTGGTGGAATTTGAGCCAGGAACAGCTTTCTGTGAACCACTGTACCGCCCTAACAAAGCTTCGATAGAAATGTTATGTTCCTTCAAAAGCAGCTTGTACGATATCTTCTACTGTAATATTCTGTGCTGGAACATTTGGAACTTTGTTCCCACATAGAGCTACTTTTAAAAGACAGAGAGCGACTCCTTTGGGCAGTTAAGAATAAAGAGAGTCAATTGGATTGTTTTATTGATATTAACGGTAAACAATTGATTGTTTTATGGTTTTAATGTTTTGTTGAGCACCTTGAGTTGCCTTCTCTATGAACAGATAAACTTGCATTTCCTTGCCAACAGTTATAGCTATTCAATGCACGAAATCAAAGAAGTATAACAGGTGGAGGCATATAAAACAATAAATATTCAAGGATTCTTTAAAATGTCTAAATCCTTTAAGAAGCCAAGAAGGGTGAGTTTTCCCATGTGTACATTTGTCCAATCTTTGGACGTCTCTCTGAATGTATAATATGTGTTATCTAAAAAGATAAATGTAGCAGGTTGTCGTCCGATTTGTTCACAAAATATAACTAAAACAACGTGTTAAGAAAGAAATTTAGATACTATTATTAGTTACTATTATGGTCAAATGTACCAAATTCAGCTTTTACTTAAGTTTACAATATTAATTTATTTTACTTCAATTATTCTACTTTATTGTGATTGGGTCAGTGCAATAAAGAGGTTTTATATAGCAGTATGATAAAGAAGTAAGAATGCAGTATCAAATGCTTAAACTGGACTCACCTATTATAATGCGAACCGAGTTGTTGTCCTTCCACAGTTCTTCTATTTGTCCTTTCAGAATCTCTTGGATCTCTTGAGGAAGCGGATTATTTTCTTGGCTAAATTGTGCCTCGTTCACCTCCTGCACCACCCTTTCTCCAACTCCCAGCAGTGCCCTCCTAAGGTCAGCCTCACTACAGCATAGAAAAGACAAATTAACAAAACATGCCACGTGCTTAAGACGTCACTGGTTTTTCTAGCTACGACACCACAGTATCATCAGAGGCTATTAGCATTTAATGAAACAAATAGTTCATGATCTCCAACCTTTTTACGGGGAGAGATACCTTTACCGGACATTTTAAGCTTGATTTGAAAACATTTCTTAAAGGTGCAGTAAGCGATTTTGTTAGCTTAGCCGTAGCACCAACTCAAAACCACTCCCCCCTCCCCTCGCCTCTCCACCAAACCAAACATCCAGCATTTTCTTTTCTTTGTCACAACAGGAAGAGTGGGCGGAAAACGTGAAATTGACATTTTCTGTTCAGCCATTTTAGGTTTTAGAAAATCCAGTAACTCAGGTGCGCGCACTCGGAAGAAACAGAGGGTGAAGGGGGTAAGCCAATCCCATTGGTTCGTTGGGGATGAACGAATCACATTGGTTTATTTTTATCGGTCCGCTCCAAAAAATATTTATTGTTATTTTTGGAGATTATGAGCATCTGGTCAATTCCATTACCATTTGAAAACACATAATAACTTGACTACTTTTAGGGTTTAGGGACGTTTTCCCACAATATATTAAAAAAAAGCTTTAGTGTTATTTCAAGCACAGATATAGCAACGGAATGTCTTATTTTGTCGACAAATCTTGTTTTAAGACTGTCTCTAAAGTTCTCAATCTCCAAAAGTAGTAAAATTTTCTTTTTTTGCATAAAACAATCCATCACAATGTACTCTTCTACATTTACTCTTTGAAGAGAGCGGCAATGTCAGTGTTGCATCGCCAGTTTCAGAACAGTAGGAATGAGGAGCACACAACAAATGAACAATACCTTTACTAAAATTAAATTAAATAAAATCTCAAACTTTAGCAAAATAAAGACGCAAATCTAAACCTCCAATTTAAGCATAATGAAGAAGCAAGAATTAAGTTTTTTTTTTTTTTTTTTACTTAATTCTTACTCTTCTTAATTCTTACTACTACTCTACTCCTCCTACTACTCTATTCTCTATATAAGAAATATGTATAGTAGCATATATACATCTGTACATGTTAGCAGCATGAGGGTCTGGGATAAAGTCACTCAGTAAAGGTTGGAGACCCCTGATTGAGGGAAGGCAGTTATACGACACACACACAAAAAAAACAGAAATAACTTGGCCTCAGGTGAACACGCGTTTTGAATACCCAAAGCTGCTGTTCCACATCTGTCCACTAATCATGACAGGGCCACTCTTAAACAGAAAGAATGAGGTTAGCAGGATCCCTTTTGACAAGCGGGTAGCCTCCTGTCACCTCCATTGGTATTCTTCTTTTGCGATACCTGTTCCCAGTGACAGGCTGAACATGCATCATCTCGTTCCTCTCTTACCTGCTGTGACTGCCTCCCAGCAAGGCACTGATGGACTGCTGCAGTTTACCTACAAACCCAGGCAGCGACCACACCGCCCCTCCGCACTGAGCACTGGTCAGCAGCAGGACGGAGGCTTTGAGAACCAGATCCCGGACTTGCGCACCCAGAGAGTCCAGCCGGGACCGGTCCACCCACACGGTCTGTGGAGGCAAGACACGTTTTAAAGCCACATAGATACATAGTAATAATAACACAATAGAACTACACTGTAAACAATTATAAAAAAGGTGGTAATAGTTTGAATCCAGTGGTTTGAATCTGAATTTTAGTGCATTCTGACTGTCAAGATTTTCCCATGGAACAAAGCCATTTAGTTTTATTTCTAGAACTCTTGTATCATTTCAAAACCGGATCAATTTGCTTTTTCCATCTCGTTTTAAGCCAGTCAAAATGTGTTCAAATTAAGATACATTTTGCAGAATTCGAGACATTTGTCGATTTGTTTTTCATTTTGTAGTGAAGTTAAATGTCCCACTGGGTTTTTAAGGTCTTTGCCAACGCAGGAGCCATTGGCAAATTGGTCTAAGGACAGTGTTGATGATCCAAGACACTTGACATTCACGAACATTTATGGACTTAATCAACATGTTTACAGTAGACATTAGTCATCCGCTTCTTATGGACCAATGGCTCTATGTGTTTTTTATCATTGCATTCTCTGATCTGCAAATTCAACAGTTTTGAAAAGTCCTCAGGTAACTACTGCTGTGATTTAGGGCTATACAAAAATAAATGGAATTCAAATTTCTGGGTGTTAGCAATCATTTTCTGTGAATCAAAAGAACTGTAGTCATTGACAATGTTTAATCGTCCAAAAGGGAACTTGGATATGAAGTCTGTGTACACGTAAGTTCAGGGTTGTGTAAGCATTTGAACATTCTTTTCCAGTTGGTCTCTGATGTGACTGATTTTCCGCACAATGTGGCAGGTAAATCTCCCCGGGCCCCTTCTACTGGTGTATAGATTCATAAACAACAATGCAACCTATTTCAGAAATCACTATTATGAAACTACTAAAAATAGCATGTTCTGTCTTATTCATATAAAAAAGAGCTGGGTTTTCTACATTACAAGTGCAGTGATGCGCCGCCTCACGCATCAGCGAGCACGGGGTGAGGAGCGGAGCGTAGAGAGACTGAATATTCCCTCATTATCAATAAAACATTATTCAAATGAGAGAGGATGATGTAATGTGCAGCTGACCTCGGGATATTTCTGCTCGAGTGGGCTCCAGTGCAGCAGACGCACGTACGCACGGTTCAGGACGGACATGGCGCCGACAGGAGGACCGCCGCCGCTGCAGACTGACGACAGCTCCTCAGACGCAGCTGCACGGAGCCAGGCTTTGGTGTTGTCCAGAGACGCTGCAGGAAAGATGGAGGGTTCAAAATAGTTTATAATACAACACAAGAACACCCCTAGAGCAGTCAATATGATGGTTTTTAGTTTTGAAAGTATGATTACGATGCAAATGTGCATTAAGAGATCCTTTATACGTCCCACAGTGAGGAAAATTCAGTGTTGTATCACCAGTTACAGAAGAGTATGAATGCACAGCACAAGAGGTGAGGAATACTACTATAATAATAATCTCAAAACAAAATAAAATCTCCAACTTTAGAATAATAAAGAAACATTTGTGGTCTTCATAACGTGACTTTTTTTAATCTATATGCAGAATGTTTATAGATCTTTATTTGTGTGAAAATCTCTTTCACTTTTGAAGTGTTGGCTTGGTTTTCTATCAGAACAGAGCGAGTGCTAGTTACCATAGCAACACACTGTTTAATGTCACAAAACACCTTTTTTGCTGTATTTCAAGTTATATTCACTACTTCACTCACTTACTAAAAGTTAGTAAAGACTTTTTTTTTAAACTTACTAAAACTAGACGTTTTGTGGGGGGAATTTTTGAGAACTCCAACAGTTTGAAAGGGAGCAGTCAAAATGACGGCTCTGGGAGTTCTAGTGTTAAAAAAAAACTATGATGCATTAATTAAAAAAAGACAACATATTTATTTATCAAAGTCAATTTACTGTTTTAGAATGCGTTATAATATCCAATGAGAAAACATAAGTCAGAACAAACTGAAAATACGTTCATCCTGTAATTCTTTATGCTACCACCAGAGGGATGAGTTCAATTTGTTTTTTGAAAATTGCCAGCTGCAAACAAACCCATGTGATGCGCAATGCTGCCTTAAACTGCTCTGATGTCATAGTGGTACAATAAGACTATAAATGACGGCTACTATGACGTCGTACTATCACAGGACTGAGACTCTTGGTCTGTGTTTTTTTTTTTTCATTTTTATGAAGGAACAATTTTGTAACATGGTAAAAACTCAATCATCTTTATTTTGCATATGATTCCTACTTTTCAGAAGAGCATGAGGGAAGGACATTGTTTTGTTGACGTTTGTAACCCACACTTACATATTCCAGAGCTGACTTGTCCTATAGCTGCAAGTTAATGATTTTGGATATGGGGCATGAAGTTGTATTTTACCGCCATAAATAAAGCACAGCGTAAGACATAATCAAGGATATTAATTAAATAAATCAGCAAGATTCCAATATTCTTTTAAGGAGAGACTAATAGCCTGCCTCAGATTGCTTTGTCAGCACATTCTCCTGTCCTGTGGCCAATAACTGTGATTACTCAGCTGTCCTTAGGTAATATCGGAGCCAACGAGCCTTCTCCTCACAGGCTTCCTCTGAGTCATTCAGCGCTGTAATTAAAATCTACAAGTTTCTCTACTCACTCGGATCCTGGTCCAGAATCTGCTGGAACTTGGCTCTCTCGTATTGCACCGCCTGCTGCATCAAGTGAGGCCTCAGCGATTGGACGGTGAAGTTCACCATGTCCATCTTCATGAGGCCCAACACACGGAAAATGCCCCTGTTCAAAAGAAGAAGAAGAGCAGTTATGTAACAAAACAGTATGTATCTTTACTGACAGAGAAGCCATCCTCCTGTGGACTCACCACCTGCAGGAGGGGCCGGTGCTCTGAGCCGGAGCTGACTGCCACCCCTCGACCCAGAAATTTATTAAGGGCAAGAAGATGGATGAATAAATAATAATGATCGTTTATTCAAATAGTCAAGATTCTAAAGAAATATAGTATAATTATTAAACCAGACCGAGAAACCAGAGGCGAATCTGGTGCAATAGAATACTGCTGTGTGCAGGGGTGAACTGGCCATCGGGCGTACCGGGCAATGCCCATATTTGGGTCCACTGTGAGCCTCATAGAAAAAGATATTTTTGAGAAATGTGTAAGTCTCAAAAACGGGATTCCACATCCTCCGCAGCCTTTTGGAGCAGCTGCGGCCGCTTTGGACAGCGGTTCCCGCGTCCGGCGGCTGTGAGCCGCTCTGACAACAACACGGCAGCGCGCAGCCGTAACGTGGCCATGCACCCAAGACCATATACACCCACAGCCACAGGACCATACTCTTCCCAAAGCGCAACTAAACTCGCTAAATTAAAGCTGGGGTACGTACATTTTCCTCTTGCATTAACAGTTCATGTTGGTTGTGCCCAAAAGTAAAATGTTGTGAACAAATCAGACAGATTTAATGACAGCTATTGGCTGACATTATACATTTCAGACTTCTTTGAAATGTCCCTCATCCCTGTAATAAACAATATGGTGCTATGTCCGTCTCCCTCACTCTCTAGTGATATGTTTATTTAATCTCAATGTAGATCATTGCACTTTATTATAATTGTTAAAACTGCATATATCCTGAGCCTCTACACAGTATGTGCTTCCGCATACTGTAAAAATAACCGTAAAAAAGAAATGGCTGGGCCGTCAAGGAGGCGAAGATGCCCGGGCCGTTTTTTGGTCCCAGTCCAGCCCTGGCTGTGTGTGTTTGTGTGTTTGCGCGCATGTGTGTGTGTCTGTGTGGACACATCTACACAGATACACACACACTGTTAAGTGCAGTGAGCTCTGTGACAACTATCGGACATTGCCGCTGGCTCCTGGTGCAGGCGATAGTCCATTGTTTCTGTGGCTTTTTGGAGGTTGTGGATCTTTGTCAGCTCTAGTTCCTGTATGTTTTCCTTCAGGCCTCGCTTCACATCTCTCTATCTGCACCATAGACTGTGAATATTAATGGACGTAGTCACGCGTATCTCCGCCGTTGAAACTAATGTGCCATCACTTTTGCCTTCTATGGAGCTTTTTCAACATAGCCGCAGGGCAGGAAAATGAGAAAATACACGTTTGAGAAAATTCTCCTGAATCTGAGATTTGACCAGGACAAAGTCTCCTCTCCAGTCCCTAGGAGGCCTTCCAGACCTTACCGGGGGGCTGAGGAGTCTGATCCCACAATGATACACACCCTCCCGTGCCCCTTCTTGTAGAGAGGGACCACCACCCCGGTCTGCCACTCCATCGGTACTGCCCCCGAGCACCACGCAATGTTGGAGAGATGTGTCAGGCAAGACAGTCCTACAACATCCAGAGACTTTAGATAGTCAGGACGGATCTCATCCACCCCCGGAGCCTTGTCACCATGGAGGCTGCCAACCACCTTTGTGACCTCAGCCAGGGAGATGGAAGTTACCGCCCAAATATCTTCAGCCTCTGCCTCCGGATGGAAAACGTGACGGGTGTATTTTTTATTCATTTATTTATTTTGAACCTGCACAAGACATATTTTTACATAATAAATATAACAGACAAATTACTCTTACCTAGTTCGAAAAGGATTTGGGAATCAATTCAAATGCTTATTTGGTTCCAACCCCCATCACACATACGCAGTTTTAACAATATCATGCAGTAGAATTCTCAAACACACAACGGTACATTACAGTAAAACAATACTACCACCGATGGTAGAAGACAGACAACACCACCAGGGAGAACTCCAGCACATGGCGGCTGAGATGAAGGGCAATGAGTATGGCTACCCTCGCTCACCGCCTCTCTCTGCGAGAAACACCAGAAAAGTGGAGCGTCCAACCCCTCTCAAGGAGTTGGCTTCCAGAGCCCAAGCTCTGGGCTAAGGCCCGGCCACCAGACGCTCACTCCTCTGTATGTTTGTTCTTTGCATTTCTCTTGATTGAACAATTTTGAAGATCTGTCATCTTTTGTCTTGTTGTCAGGCAGGAGCATTATTTTCTCATTCCAAAGACATGTTTTAATTATTTAGATGAACTGTCAAAATGTGTTGCATAATTCATTGCATAATTCAGGTCTGACGGTAAGAAATGTTGTGAGACAAGATAAAAGCCATTTAATTCAATCATCTATAGTTGAAGCATTTTCTTAGTCGTGTGCAATTGTGCATGAGGTAATCGCTTTTTCAAATAGAACACATAGTGAAGTTACTTGCACTCAGAATAAGCTTAGACATTTGAAAACATACAGGAAATTCACAATCGCAACACCCTGGGAGCTGCCTCAGTCCTGCATCACGTGGCCTCGGCCCTCTTTCTACAGTCTGAGTTCTGGTTCTATAAATAGCCCTTCTCATTTTCTCCGCTGGGGTTTTTAAGAGTTGTTCTTTGGCAGTGCAGGAGGGTCTATGGACAGTGATGATGGATCCAGGACTAGTACACTTAACATGCATCAACTTTACACAACAAAGCAATGTTTTCTTTTTTGAATTCATAAGATTTTGGAGCACTAATTTGTTATTACGTTATAGTTCTTTTTAACCCCTATTTTTATTTTTTATAGGTCTAAATTCTGATGGTAAAAGTGCCTAAAACCAAGTGAGATGGCCCGAAGAGGTAGATTTTATTTCCAAGCTTGCTTAAAGTAGATATATCACAAAAGGTGATCTACTGGGGGAAAAACCTCCAAAGCGCATATTAATGAGCAAAACGAAACAAGCCATTATTACGGACTTAAACAAGATATTTTGCCCGAATGTGAACAGACCTGTAGAGTTCCACGGGCTCCTGTAGGTGGCGCAGTGCCCTGATCTCCTGGTCTCTTACAGGGGCGCACAGAGAGCCCATGGTGTTGATGATGTAAGCTGCCAGCCTGCTCAGGTCCAGTGCTCCCTGACTGACCTCCTGCTTCACCAGCTCCATGTCCAGCACCTCGTCCAGCTCTGCCCTCAGCCTCACGTGGCTCGGCAGCAGCAGAGACTGAAGCAGCTGAAGAAAGAGAGAAAACGTTCACTGTGGGATTATTTTTAATTTATTCCACATGCTTCTACCGCTTCCATCGGCCTTTCTCCCTGGTTTTCCACAGGTGACCGAACAGGGTAATCGTTAGCATCTAGAACAGGTGTCTCCAAACTTATTCACCCAGAGAGCTACTTTCCTGGGACAATAAAGGCAGATAGCTACTCCTTTAAGCCGCCTTAGGAAAAAAAATGTGTGATATATTTATGGGAACAAGCCTGATTATGGGTACAGTCATGATTTATCATCACATTTTGATTACTAGTGACAAAGTAAGTGCATTTACAATCATAAATAATGATAATGAATAATACAATCGGAAATATTAAGTATTTGATTGGATGTGTTCATAAAGGCAGAGAGCTACACCCTTAAACGGCCCTGGGAAAAATGGGGTGGCATTTACATTAATAAATTATGATTAAAAAAATACTATCTGAAATATGAGGTATATTATTTGATTTGTTCATTTCTTAGGGGTGCAACGGTTTGAAAAAATCACGGTTCGGTTCGTACCTCGGTTCAGAGGCCACGGTTCGGTTCATTTTTCGGTTCATTTTTCTAAAAAAAAGTGTTGTCTTTTTAATAAACACAGCTCATGTGGACTCGGCACCTGCTCTGACTGCCCCCCCTGACCTAGAAATGAATTAAGGGGAAGGAAATGGATAGATGGATGGAAGGCATATTCCATCCATCCAATTATGTCTATTTAACATAATTAATGAAAAACAACACAAAGTGCAACATAAGAAGGCACTTTATGAGGATATTTACCCTCATATATTACACCACCTTCCTGATTCTCCCAAGGAGGGGGTCCATTCTGGGCCCAGCCTCATTCACTGTATTTATTTAATTTTTGGCATTATCAGTTGTGACTGGGATATTAGTACTGGGCCTTTGTCTTCCATTCCTCCGCTGCTTGTGTCAGTACCTGCGCTGTGTGACTTTGTGACTGTCGTAGAGGGGGCGTGTCTGCAGCGCCAGACTTTTCATCTCCCAGACAGTCTGCGGTGATGAAGTGAGCGGTTCCGCTCATGGATCTATTATAGGTTCCGCGGGACGTCCAAGCGTCAGTCGTGAGCGCAGCTGAAGATGCGCGGGAGAGTTGACTTTAGCCCGGTCTGACTGTGCGTAAAGGAGCTGCTTAAATGCCGCGACAATAGGCGGTCGTTGAGACGCTTTTTTCACTCATGTCTTTCTTGTGCCACAGTGCTTACACATCGTGACAGTTTTGTCAAATATTAATTATCAGTGTAGTTACAGTGAAGCCAAAATGCTCTCATACTGGGGATTTAAATGACGCAGGGCTTTCAAGCATCTCCGTTCCTCCGCTCGCAATGACCGCGCTGTGTGTGGACTGAACAACGTGCGCACAACTTTTTTTTCATAAATCAAACCGGATCACGTCTGTACCGAACCGAAGACGTTGAACCGAACGGATCACGGATCAGTGATGAACCGTTGCACCTCTATCATTTCTATATCTTTTGGCAAACGACTTGGAAGGGGGTGGTGAGCTACATGTTGGAGACCCCTACTGTAGATAGTAAAAATTTAGAATAAATTAGAGCTGTGTATATTTCAGAGCCATACAGCCATACGGAGACTTGCAATCCCAATCTAATGCTCGGTCCCAGTTGAAAAAAGTTACGTTCATTGGAGGGTGTCAGGATTTACCCAGAACCCTCTGCATTAGAGCCCTCAGCACTGGGGGCTATAAGAGATATACAAATAAAACACACAATCATAACATCAGTGTAGTATTCTAGTGCTTGATACTACAATAATTGTTAGTTTCAGTTCTGGGTCATCTTTCATATTTTCTCAATTGAAATTTAATTTAATAGGGAACAAGTTAGATCTAAAATGTGCATTGTTTGAGATTGCATTCCACAAAGTGAAATGGACCCACTTCTGTACAGTACAATAATGTATGTTTTGCTTGTGCCACACTATTCTATCCATGATTATTATTTATTTCACTCTTACACTGGTCACGTCTTGAGAAGCACTAATAAACCTATAAATATGTGTTAATGTTTTCTTTGCTTACCGTCTTGGTCTCCTGCAGCAGCACCAGGGCTTGACTATAGTCTGGAGGATCACTGCTCAGTTGTTGCTGCAAACAATCCCAGAAGGCTCTGTGGACTATTTCAGTCACTCTTCCTTCCAAACTGCAGAGGAAAAGGCTGTTACGATCTCTCACAACCATTTAATTAGAGTGCAAATAGCCGCAGCCACTTAAGCAAAGGGCTTTTTAATTTCTTGCCTGTTGGCGGGAGGGTCATTAGGTTTGAAGCAGAAGTCCCTGTTCACCACTATCTCATGTGCAAGGCTCAGGTTGGACACACACTTCTCCAGCTCAATCAGGCGCGTTAATGAGGAGTTTGGAGGGCTTCCTGAGACATAATACACAATAATGCAAATTTAGAAGTGCTGAACTAGTTCATCAGTACTACCAATTACAGGCTTAGGCTACCTGTTGGAGACTCGAGTTTCTGAAGTGGTGGCAGGTCCTCACTGGTGCCCTCTGTGTCTTCTCCATTATTTTGCATTTTAGCACAACCTATCATATTACAGAAAATGTGAACTTTTTATATCATCAAATTGTAATCATCAATATTAGAACTGTCAGAAGAGATTTATGAATCACTACTAATCAACCCAATGTATTAAAGTCATCTCTATGAAGATGTTCTACAGAGGCATCACTTGAGCTTTGTCTTAATCAAATGTACAATATAAAAAAGCCATTATGCTTTAACCTTTCCAGATCCAAACAATTAATAATCAGCCAACTAATCGAATATCCAAATCAATGGCTACAAGACGATCCTTTGCAATATAGTCTACAATATAGTTTATTTAATTCATGAATTACTGCCCTTTTAAAATAAACAAATAACTAAATGTGTATTTATAATATTCATATCAGGAAATCTTAGTAAAAATCTAGTTTAATCCTGATATTTTCCTGTAATAAGAATTTTATTTTGTTTAGATAGAATTTTTCACTTTCAGTTGCCTAATTCTATTTGATAAAAAATAACATTCAAGACGTATAACCACGAAATGTCTATCAGGTTACAAATTGTGACACTTACCTAATGTCAACAGATGTATACAGCCCCAAACAGGTGGTCTTCTGTGTCCTGTACTGTACTACGGCAGATTCTACAGTATATACAATGCTGCTGCCTAAGATCCACTCCTAAAGTCACTGTACTCGAATCCTGGTCTAAAGTATTGACTGTAAATAGTTCTGATCCAAAGTCAACTTTTAAAAAGCGGACTGTTCCATGTGACAGCGGGGGTGAGGGGCGGAACTAAATATTGTATGGCATTTGTAGCCGCGCTGCACTTTGTATGAGCGCACCGCCCACTAAGAACGTTTCAATGTTTGTTTGAATCTTACGTTTACATTTTCACAGAATAATTGAAAAACGCGAGTGAGGAAAGTGGTTTGCCCCGGTCTTGAATCAAAACAAAAGGTGGTGACGCTTTGACCCCGCCCCCTGTGATTTGAAAGAAAACAGTGCCGTGTTGTTACGTGGAACAAAAAACTGGAAATGTCCAGGGGCCATAGAAGACTGTAGTTATTAGTCCAGGCTTATGACTATTGCAGATGCTCAACGATCAACTAAGACAAATTTACTAGGATTAAAAGGTAGACGCTTGAAAGAGATCAAGCTCTCAATACGTTTCTAATGGAGCAGTAACATAATAGAGATATGGGGCACACTATAATGTCAAATGAGGATTTATTGTATTGTGCATTCACTACATTCAAAGTAGGCCTGCTCTGCATTGGTATACTAAATTAGACGTGAGATGTGTTCAGATTTTAGAAGAATATTGTTTGTCTAGGGTCACTGTACTCGGTAATAATACGTTGATTAATGTCAGAATGTGCAATATGGAACCACACGTGTACTGTTACTTTACCTAGCCACCTTGTCCCATATTCTAGTGCTGCTAACATGTAAAAATGTAAACATACAACTATATATATCTTGCACTAGAATTTACAGAATTTTATATTTGCTTCTTTATAATGCTAAAGTAACATAACAGTATAGTTATTGTTCACTTATCTTGTGCTGTGTGCTCCTCATGAAAAGAAGAATAAAGTATCTCTTACATGTTTCAGTATATGTACAGCCATATTGAATTCTAGTTCAATTTTCATGGACGTTTTCGTTAAATGGCCAATTTCCACAAAACATTTTACTTTTAAACTAACATATTGCATACTAAATTACATACAGAATATTAAAAATGTATCCTCATTCATTACTTAAAGGATAAACAGATGTGATTTTAAGAGCAGTAACAATGGGCCTCATTCACGAATAACTTCGTAAGAAACTACTCAACTTTCTTCTCAAGTTGTCCTTAAGTAGATTTCTAAGAAGTCCCCACGTGGGATTCATCAACGCACTCGTAAGCCGCTGAATTGTTCGCAGCTGTTCTCTCAGATTGATGAATCCCATTTCCTCGTAAGTACAGCGCGCGTGCCAGGTGCTTCATTAGCATAGGTACTTAGCATAAGTAACCGCCCACTAATGCCCATATAAGGGGATGCAGGGCCGTGTGCAGACGGCAGAGGGAACAGCAACAGGCCTAAAGCAACCCTTTTTTCTTCTTTTACCAGACTGAGAATAAAGTTATAAAATGTTGACTTAAAAGTCGAAATATTATGATAATAAAGTCGAACTAGCAAAATTATGAGATTAATCTAAGAATATGATGAGATTAATCTCAAAATGTTATGAGCTTAATTTAAAAATATATTATGTATTATTTTAAAGATGAATCTCAAAATGTTTTGAGATTAATCTCAAAATATTTTGGACCCTGGAGGAGATCCAGCGCGGACCAGCGCTGAGACCAATGCAGACCCGAGGAGAGACTGGAGTGGACCAGCACACAGAAACCAGCGCGGACCTATAGAGAGACCGCATAGACTGGAGTGACCTGACTGGAGAGACCGGTGCGCAGAGACCAGCGCGGACCGAAGAGAGACCGCATAGACCAGACTTGAGAGACCAGCGCGGACCTGTATGGATCCAGGAGCATGCAGCACGGACCCGTATGGAGAGAGACCAGTGCAGACCCGTATATGGGAGAGACCAGTGCAGACCCGTCTAGATCCATAGGAGAGACCAGCGCAGACCCGTATAGATCCATAGGAGAGACCAGCGCAGAGACTCAGCGCGGACCCAGTAACCTCCTGCAGCAGCAGTATATATGCCGTTGTTCTGTGGCCCGTGGATAAAGAAATGCCCCCTATAAATAGGAAGGGGTCACTAATACACGGCAAGATTTCCAATGTATTTGATAAAGCGTTGGCACATTTCATTTCAAAATGAATTAAAAAGTAGGCCAGATCTGCAGTGAAAAAGGCGGTATATAAATAAAGATTACTAATAAAGATTACTACAAATAAATAAATACATACATCGATATGACGGACATATCACTGGAATGTTGTATTTTTATTCAACTTCACCAAAGAGGACAACCCCGGCGTGTGAACATGTCGGCACTGAATGCGTACGAGTGCTCCTGAGGACTCGTAGGATTTGTACTTGCCCAAGAGAAATTCTGGTTACGAGAAATATTCGTGAATGCCACTTTCTTCGTAAAAACCGCGTAAGTAGGATTTACGTACAAATCTGTTCCTAAGAACCGTTCGTGAATGAGGCCCAATATGTGTAATAGCTTTCAGATTTCAGTCTTCCTTTGGAATGTCTTCCAGTTGTTTCATTTGTCTTCATTGACTCAAATGAAGTTAAGCTCATGAAGTCAGGTTTATAAAAACTAATCAATTAATCCAAATAATATACTACTATAGCAACCGCACATCATCAGTATGGTAAAAGTAACCTGTCTCACATCCCTTATATAATTTATGTATTCATTATATATATTTATAATTTTTTTATAAAGTGTGTTGGCCATGAGGTGCTTGGAGCCACTGTTGTGGTGATGCATCACTGGCTTCAGCAGCTTGCTTATTTACATGAGCAGTGAGAGACACAAAGAAAAAGATGTCAAACACTTCTTTCTCCAACAAATGTATTTGCAAAATGTATAACAAAAGATTTTGATAAATATTAGCATAGAACAAAGCCTCTAGAAAAGTGTATCTTTCATTTCAGGCGACAAAAACACATCAGAACAAATTCCAGACAATTAAAGAGTATTTATACATTTGCATATTTTAAAAAAATATTTAACATATTTGCTTTTAACTTAAAGAAGACAGTCACTGTTATGTACATGCATTCTGCAAACACAAACCAATTTAAAGATATAACATAATATTGAATAAACAGAATTATTTAAGTGCCAAAAGAGGGTTGTGAAACTATCAGAAATGCTGCGCAAACGGTCGTCTCTCTAGGACTTAAAGGAATCAATAGTGTTTTGAATATCTTTAGAACAGAATAAAATCTATTTATATGCACTTACATCTGTAGGAAAACCAACTCATGAAGAAAAACAAATCAATGTTTCAAAAGAAGCTGCTTAAATGGTTTCCCAGCCTTTCGAGCTTTGCACGAGAGCCGCGAGTCTTACTGAGACGGACCACGGAGGATCTACTGAATCAAAATGAGCAAATCAATGAATACATCTCTTGGTTCTCAGACACACACATAACCACACCTCATCCATTCACTATGATCAAACAGTACAAAACAGCTCATTCAATTAAGTCAGCCTCGCTCAGTCTCAAACCTCAATGTAGCCGCAACAGCTATTGTGCCTCTGGCTGTGGTTTACAGTCTAATAAACCTGTCAGACTTTGAAGAATGAGAAAATTGGCATTGTATGTCAATGTGTAGATCATTTCATGAAACTAAATGATGGTTTGTATGATTCTTTTGACAAGCTGCTTACAATCACACCATCGAACCATAGTCTTTCCACAATTATTATTAAACACAGCAAAGAAATTCATTCTGTTTAGATCTACGGAGACTTACACAGATGTATCAGATGTTATAGTGAACCCTCTTTATCACATTTACAAGAAACTAAAAAACGTGATATTCTATTGTGATTGAACACACAATTAAATGGATACAATAAAAATTGTAGTATTGCGAAATTGAATTAAACAATGTCTTTTCTCTGTGATTACTCTGGTAATTTATCTCTGAGGAATATGTTCCTCTATGATGTCTGCTTTTTGTGAATCTCTTGTATTTGAATGATGTAAGTGATGTGCTGAGAGTCGTCTAGTCAGAGAATAAGGATGTCTTGTCTGTAATAGGGTCTTGTGTCCTGAATGTTCAAAGCTTTTGCATTTCCCTCCCAAGTGTTTGCTTCAGTGAATGTGCAGACCATGTGACATTTGAGCTGGGCAGTCTTGTTTTCCATTTTTTTTTTTGTAAAGCCTTTAAATAATAAGAGGAACATGAATCACAGTATATCGCAATGTTCAGAATTGTAATAATATTGAATTGTGGCCCAAATATTGCAATAATTCAAACCGTCACAATTTTGCCCTCTCCCACTCCTACTAGAAACAGACATAATGGTAAAATTGGCACTGGTCCTTACATCCAATTCCTCATGAACCAAATCACTCCATTTATCCAACTTGCATACTTTTGGCACACAACTGCGGTGGTTTCGGCCAGTAACTGTAAACAACACATATTGTACAACACTAGAAACAAATTTCTCAAAATCATCAGCATCATTCAAACACAGATCCAACCTGAAGTACAAAGTGAGGTGAGGCTGTAGCGAGAGTCCGGGGCCACGGCGTGTCCTGCTGCTGCTTTAGGAACCGTTAAGAGTCTTTGAGCGAGTTTATACGTGCAAAGATCTTGAGTGCAGGTCCTAGTTTAATGTTCATCGTGCTCATGAGATGGTCCTCTTTGAGAAGGAGCAAGGCCTGTCCATCGATCTCCTGAGAGCGAAACTCCTCTGCAATCTCCTGGCAACCTGCAACAATAAGATAAGAAATCCTTTAATCATCTCAAATTTGTTAAGTCCTCCGAGGTGACCAGTGTTGTGATTTTGAACAATAAAAAAAAGAAAAAAAGAATAACAGTGCTTGATATCAATGCACTGGTTCTATTGACAAATGTGATTTTAAAATAGTACTTTGAAAATAGACAAAACACTTCTTTTTTTCTGTTCTAAAACCAGTAATGTTGAATTGTGACCTAAATAATGACAGTGATAGATGAGCAAAAAAAATGATGAATAACAAAACGAAACAGAAGAACCATGAAAGTCCTCCAAGGACAACTACTGTTGTGATTTAGAGCTTTAAACAAATATGATTGACAAATATGAAAAAACATGAAATTGAATTGATTTTGAATAGAATGTGAATTGAAATTGAACTGAAAGTCTAACCTGGTAGTGAGCGTATGAAGTTGTAGACCTCTCGGACGTTCCACTTGGTCGGATCGTTGGGGCCTGAGCTCTGGATGGGGGCTTGTGCGTCTCTGCTGGGGCTGGAGCTCGGTTCCGGCTCCAGGTTCCTGCTGGGCTGGCGGTGGACTGTAGGGGGCGCTGGTGCTTGTGCTGCAGCTGGAGGCAGAGGCCCAGAGCTGGCTGCTGACAAGGGGGACGGGGCCTCTTCAAAGCTGGACATGTCAGAGCAGGGGCTGGACTCTTCCTGGCTCGGCTGGGAGGCGTGAGGGGACGACACGGAGCCCCCCTGAGTCTGCTTCGGGGCCGGGGAGAGTTTCTGAAAATATGAATGTGTGTTGAAATAAACAAAAGCGGGAAAGAAGTCACTATAGAACTGCATGTGTCCACTGTCACTTGGTAACATGTACAGATGTATGCATACAACTACTATATATCACTTGCACTAGAATAAACAGTATTTTATTTTATACTTCTTTATCATGTTAAAGATATAGATTTTATTCTATTTTTTGTATAGGTTTATAGTATAGTATATATAGTATTTATAGTGCTGTGTGCACCTCTTTCCTACTGCTCTGTAACTATGTAACTGTATTCAAAATGTATTATCATTCATATACAGTCAGAAAATCTACAGCTTAATCCCAACTTGCTCCTTATCACCGGGTAAAACTGGGACCAAGTTTATGTATATTGATGTTCAAATCAATTTGCGAGATTTACCCGTTTTTTGGCATCAAGAGGGGGTCTCCCTGGTGGTCTTCTTCGCCAGCGGCTTTTTGATCTGTCCGGATGGAAGAGGCCGACGCGTTTCGAACAGCCCACGTTGTACCTGTAAACGGAGGAAAGGTGTGAGACGAGGATTCCTAACACTGCGGGACAGTGAGGGGCCTGCGGTGGTCGTAGTACTCGCCTCTTGGCACAAGGCGTGGAGCAGAACCTTCTGGATCCTTTGAAGGTGAAGGCAAAGTCCACCCAGCCGCAGTACTCGCAGGTCAGCTTGGGCTCCTGCTCTTTCTCTGTGACGTGCAATAAGCAACAAAACGGGGAGTAGTTCAGAAAACCATTCAACAACATTTATGTAATTTATTAACATTTATGGACACTGGTCATCTGCCCCTTATGGACCGATGGCTCTGTGTGTGTTTTTAATCATTGCATTTCCTGTGTTTGAACAGTTTTTGATTCCCTGATCTGTGTTGGCATATCGAAAGCTTTGTTAAGTCCTCCCAGATAACTACTGTTGTGATTTAGGGCTATACAAAAATAAATCATATTAAATTAAAAACAGTCATATTGAAAAGTAAATCTCCTTTTTTGTATAAATACATTTTGTCACAGCAGGAACTTTTGAAGTAAACTTTCATACAAATCAGACCAAACCTGCCTTTTTTTCTCGTTGCATCTTCATCAAATGAGGTTCCTCACAGATAAATAAAGTTATTTGAATTGAATTGGATCTTTGAGGAAACAAAGTGTCAAATCGTGCCTCACAAAGCTGAGGTCGCTTTTTCACTTCCATAAATGGATGGAAAGTGTCCAATGAATAGAAAACTGTGTTACAGCGAGGAATGTAGTTGGAGGGATTATAAAAAGATTATTTTTTTGGTGTGACTTGGAAAATAAAGCAACAGTTCTTGAAATAAGACTAAATGCCTTTGTCCCATTGGAAAAACTTGTTTTAAGTCAGTCAAAATTAACTCAAGATAAAAACCACTTGATTCAGGCATATTTTAGACACATAACTATATTCTTGTCAACATTCACAATATCACATTTATTTTTAGAGAACACACATAATGCAATATCACCAATGTGAGGTGAATGCAGTATATAACATGACCAAAAAGGGGACCCCTGCAGACTGACCAGGAGGACCGACGTCTTCAGGTTCAGAGTCGGAGTTGCCGGCGTTGCTCACGGGGCTTTTGTCTGGGTCTGAGGACAGCTGCTGGTCGTGTTTGGTTGGACTATCGATGAGGATGGGCAGACGTTCCACCTGGACACCCCATAAAACCAAATGAAATTATAGACAGATACTATATTGATCCTTGTAGGAGAAGTTCAGGTGTCCAGTAGCAGCAGAGACACATCCTTCCATACAAACAAAACAAATAATTAGATAATTTAAAAGATAGATAGCAATAGTTTTTAAGGCAACAGCAGTTTAGGTCACAGCAGCAGAGGTGGAGTAGCCGCTGGGTGGAGCATTTTCTCTGCTCTAGTTAAAAGTAAAATGCTGAATGCTTTGCTAGCATTTTCCAAAAAGTTAGCATTCCTCCAGTGGATTTTTGCCTGATCCGCTTGTTTTGGACCAGGAATCCTCTCCGCTCCGGTCTGGATCAGTGTTAAACTATGAATACTGTACTGCAGCAACCTCTCAGATAGAAAAAAAAGAAAAGTAACAATTGTAAAGCACAAAACAACTGTTTCAAAGCTACTTACGAGCGTTTGCGGTGTATTATAAAGTACTATGCTAAAGTTGTACATTGTATACTTGCTTTTTTATTATGTTTAAGTTAGATTTTATTTTATTTTAGAATAGAGTTGTTCTGTTCTGAAAGTGACGATGCAACACTGAAACTTCCCCACTGTGGGACAAATAAAGGAGGTCTTCATCTTAAATGATCTATGAGCAGAGGATGAGGAACTGTGAAAATGTCATCTCTCCATATATTCTCCATTCCCATTGGATTGTGCGTTGTGTTATTGCTTACAAAATGTATATTTGTAATAGTTCTTCTAGAAACGATGCAACAACAACACACAATAATGACTTGGGTTGAAGTAGAAGAGACTGGACGGAGATGAGGGGAAAAAAACACGAAGACAGAAGAAAAACAAATGTGTTGGAGATGACAGCTACAGACATAATGCAACATTTGTTTTTAACTTTTGGCGTCAGCGTTAATTGAAACAAAGATTCTCATAACAAGCTGAAAACGCATGATCTATGTCGCAGCCTGCAGTAATGAATGGGTCGGTCACAATTACAGTAGAATGCGACAGCTCCCTTCAGACCTGAGCAGCGGGAACGTGGCCCATGGGGAAACTCATTACTGCGTCTCATGTGGCGCAGACAAGACGCCGATGCAATTCACGACATGTTTGTTTAGAGCCGACACAGCAGTAAAAGTGGTGTAGGTGTGACATGGGTGTAAAAACCTATTTAAAAACAAAGTAAATGCAGGAGAGAGCACAGAGTAGGTCATGGGAGAGAGGGGTAGGGACAGAGAGAGTTTGGGCCGGTGTGTGCGTGTATTTTGTGTATCTAATACCCCACCGTAGGGTATTGTATATTACTGTAGGTGCAGCACCGTCTCATATTTTCTGTATGTTAATAGCATATCATATTCTGTGTATTATTGGGTGGAATGGTGAGAGGGGTTGGGAACAAATAATCTTCTGCTTCAACCAACCCCGTTTTCAAACCTGCAATAGTGTAAAGGTATGTTAAATTGTGTTCCGTTTCTATAATCATTACTAATTTTGACATTCAGTAATGATTACAGAAAATACCAGAACCAATGAGCTTTCTGTTGAGAAATGTTCCCCAAGTTTGTACGTTCATTATTTAGCAAAGCAAAACTGTTTGAATTAAGTCAATAACATTTGATTTGTTAATAAAATAGTAATGATTAAGATCCATTGATCCATATAACTTCATCTTAAGTCGATGTTTCGGGCCTCATCAGTGCGACAGTGGGTGAGAGGAGGTTACTCACACACACTGGGAAAGGCTCGGCTCCCTCCTGGATCACAAATCCCTCGATGACGTGGGTGAGGACCTGGGGCTTGACGATGGCCTGAGGCGGTTTGCTCTCTCCATTGTGCGGCACGCTGCCCGTCACGGTGGGGACCTCGCTCTCGTTTCCAGAGGTCATGGCAGGAGGCGGGGTCCCAGGTGCCGCACTCGGCCTCTTCACAGAGACTCCGCCTGATGCACACAATCACCAGCATTAGAAATGACATACAATGGAGGAGTACTTACAGTCATGGCCATTGCATGTAATTACAATTGAATGGATGAAATGTAATCAGTTAGTAATTAGATAACCTTTATTTGTCTCTCAGTGGGGAAACCAAAAGTATATTATAATATTTAAATAAATAGACCATAGATCAGCAATGACATACATATTGGAAACATGTTCAATTTCATCCCATCCGTTTTCAGCCATAGCCCTACAAAGAATTTTCTATTGGCTCAATGGCACAGTGTTGGGAAGTAATTATTCAGATTTTTCTAAAATTACTTTTAGATAAATCCAAAATGTTATGTCAGACGGTGAGATGTGTTTTTTGGTGTTTGCATAGTTTCAATAGTATGTCAGGACGTTTCATGTTGGAAGCTGACCAAGACTGTCATACACGTTATGACAAGAGTTTTAAAACATTTACAACACTCATACATACATCGCTGACAACAGAAAGGAGCTACAGGCAGCAGCGGATCGATATCAGTCTGTCTTCAGATGAACAAACCTTGTCAAACCGCAGCTAAGGCGAACAAAAACAAGTCCAGAGTATTCAGAGGAGATCGGTGTTCTTACCGCGGGGACTTCCGCTGTTAAAGCACAAACCAGCGGCGCTTTGTTGCTACACGTGTTCGCACTAACACCAAACTGGAACATGACTGAGCCGTAATGGAGACAGCGGAGCTCTGTGTGTGAGGCTCCTGTGTCAGCTGCAGCCACACGCACACACACACACACACAGACGGACGCGCACACACGCGCTCACTCACTCACTCACGGACACGCGCACACAGCAAACTAAATAAAGGCTCTGGCTCTGCCCCCTCGGCTCCACGGAAACATCAGTGGCACGTGACTCACGGAAACTGCCGAGCGCTGCCGATTCAACCCATGGACCTGGTTCTAATATTTACAGTCTGTGATCTGGTTCCGGCCATTCAAGCGCGTTTCTATGAACGGTTTTAATGCCCTTCATGTTAACTACACAATAATAATAAACTCGGGCTGCAACGTTGCGTGTTTATCGAGATTCAAGCAGAGAAATGATGGGAATGATAAAAGCCAGTGAGACAGCAGGATGAGGTTCAACAGGGTGGGGCGCCTGCACAGGACCATGAGGATGGGAGAGCTTTCCACACACAGCTTCTGAACTGCAATGTGTTACCAAATTCAAACACTAAACCTTTGTAAAGCCTAGTGAGGGATTTTATCTTTACCCTTTTTAATGTACCATCAATATTTATGATTTTAAAGCCTTGTTTGATTGTTACTGTCATGAATAGTTAAGCACTTGGAGTTTCCTTGTGAATGAACTGTGCAATACAAATAAACTTACCTTGCTACTTGCTTTCCCCTTTGAAACATGGCGGCTGGATAATAATTCACTATGCGACAAGAACCCTGTGGTCTGCTCCCAGTAGGAACAGGGTCTTTCTGGGGGAAGTTTGCATGTTCTCCCCATGCCTACCATTAAAAACATGCACAATTGGTAAAATCCTCCAGCTCTAGTGGTCCTGACCATGCCAAGCATTAACATCTGGAGATTAACGCCTTCAGGATGGGTCAAATGCAGAGGATGAATTGCCCTATGGGGATTAATGAAGTGCTCCTTACCTAACCATCATAGAATTTGAATTAGTAAAACGGTCTGCGCGTGACAGACTCCCAAATTGTGGTAATTTTCATAGAGAGGTGTGAAGTTCCCATGTAAAGGCATTAATAAACCAAGCTCTTTTCCAATACTTCTTTAACTGATAACAGTCATTCAGCAGAGATATTAAGATCAAGAGATCCTTTATTCGTCCCACAGTGGGGAAATGTCAATGTTGCATCACAAGTTATAGAACAGTAGGACTGAGGAGCACACAGCAAAAGATAAATGAATGATAGCTATACTAATTAAAATGAAACAAAATCTCTGACTAGCATCAAAGAACTTTTTTTTATTTATTTTCGAATTTCAAAATTTGTTTTACAGCCCCTAAATCATGTTATTGTTATCATTTTGATGCCCCGCCCTCCACCGTTTTACCAATCAGAAACTCTGTGATCCGGGTTGCCAGAACTTTTAATCATTATTTAAATCGGGGCCTTTTTGAAAAAGGTGTTGGTTATTGATTTGTTGTTGACCACTCTCTTGTCTGTTTAGATTTGAATAGACAAGATTATGCAGATTTGTCAGCATATCTAGCAACCTGAGTCAGGGAGAGCGGGAGAGGTTACAGTACAACTTTTTGCCAGATTTGTAGATACTGCTTCTTTAAGCAATGATTTAAAGTGCTCAAATGATTGCACCACAGTAGAGAGAGTAAACCACTGCGGTCCTTACCCGGAGCTGGGGCAGGTGTAGTGGAGTGGGCCTTGCTCTGCTCCACAGGTTTGCGCAGCGATGGCAAAGCAGCAGCAGGAGGAGTGTGCTGCTGCTGAGGCGTGGAAGGAGGGCACGTCTCTCTCACCACCAGCGACGTTGGCTTATCTTTACACTCCTGGACGAGTCTCGAGGCCTGGGATGTGGAATATGTTCCACAGAAGGGCACATCAAATGGAGGGAAAAAAATCAAACGTCTTTAAACCAAAAAGGGAAAAAAATATCACTGGAAAGAAAATTGTAGAGCTACCAAAATCAACACCATATTCCAAACTTGCAGTCTTTGCCGCGGAAAAGGCTATTCATCGCAATTCTGTCATTCTGTGGTTTAGATTTACTGAGTCAGACAAAGCCACATACAGACCACCACCAATTTTCCCCAGATAATAGTATTTTTAGTATTAAAACATTAACAGGTGATATTTTTAAGTGAAAGCTGAAGGCATTACACTTTTTGTAACTGCAAAAAGTGATGACAAGTAGGTCAGAAATTGCTCAAATTTGGCAAAATCTATCTTTGAGCACATTTTGACTGTCTTAAAACCAGGTTTGCGACAATGAGCAGAATGATCTTGTTTTAAAAATATATAATATCTTTCTCCCTAGGAATAAGGAAATAATGTAAGAATTAAGCAATTTTGACCTCGTACTTCCCTGTTTTTTGCAGTGTAGCAAAGCCTACAAACTAACGGCTTACATTGGGCTGGATCTGTAAGTTGATGGCGGTGAGCTGGACAGGCTGTGCTTTGTGATTGAGGGGGGAGTGCAGGACGTGGGGGCTGATGGTGGAGTGGAAGATGGTGGCTTGCTGGCTGGGCGTTAAGGCGTGCAAGGCGGGTTTGGGCAGCACTGGGACCGGGTGCGGAGAGGGCTGGATGGAAGCGGTCTGCAGGAGCTGGCCCCCCGCCCTCTGGGATCCTGGGCTTTGATGGACCACAAACTGCTGCTTGTGGGGCTGCACCAGAGAATGAGGCTGGATCGGAGTGTAGGCTGAAGTGACAACAAAAAGAGGAAAAACTGACATTAATACCGTCATTGTTGCAAATCTGAAAAGCCTCTTTTTGTGCTTATCCGGATTGTTTGACGTTTCCAAAGCCAAATGAACCTGAACAGAGGCATGAATCATCTCGTGAAATAGAGGAGATTGCCGCAATGTCCGACAATGAATTGTACAAGGATTCACCCCCCGTCCTCACCAGGCAGAACCAGGCAGAACGATGACCAGGGACTCAAAATGCTGGGGTGAATATGGCAACCATCTGAAGCCCAAATGTTTTTTTGACTTGCTAGAAGTAACATTGTAAATCATCAACATGTATTGTTTAATCACGCATCCGGCTGTTGCTGACTAATCGAGTCGAAGGGAGTGTGGTGTTGTACTGGAAAAAAGCCCTCTGGAGCAACAGGGGGAAACCAATTTCGGTCGGGGGCCAAAATGTATTTAATTTTTTCTTTCCTTAAATGCTTACAAGGCTGTGTCATCGCTGACGGAGCAGCCATCTTCCCGTGGACAGCGAGAGACTAGTGCAATGAGCATTGGGTGGCAGCTCTGATTGCCACCCCCTGAAATGGACTAACAAAGGGGTTGAAAATGAATGAATGAATTTCTGGTAGGTTTGGATTCAACCACAACAGGGCAAAATTTCAAGCTTTATACGTGTTTTGGAAGGTTGAGAGTTAATATAAATAAGTAACTAACTAATTATATTTTAGTGAGAACTTTACAACATATTTCAATTATATGGTTGTTTTCCTGATCTGAGAGTAAAGTAAAAGTCATCTTCAAGTAAAAGAGAAAGAGACAACCATTAATGTCCAACAAAAACACATCTCTTCAGAAGAAGCTTTTATCAGTCCCATCCTCTTATAACTCAGATAAAATATAATATTTTTGGCCGTTAAAGGTTCCATATTTCACTCTTCATGTTTCACAGTCCATCCCAATCGCATGTGTGGATAATAATTTGGGCGATACACCATACAACACTCTAAACCCATGAATTTATAGCCATTTCTTGTATAGATGTGATGTCACGTCAATTGAAACTAGTGGCTCTCTGCTCCTTTGTCTGAAAATTAATCTATAAGCAATACACTATTTGAAACATTTATGTGCTTATTCAAGATATATTGCCTTTTTTCTCATTAAAAAAAGAAATAATTAAAAACAACTCCTGAGGGTAAAATGTTGAAACATGGTTAGAATTAAATTAAAATAGATTTTGCATCATAGGTCTCCTTTAAGACATGAATTATTTCACCAAAATTCAGTCTACACACGTAATACATGTTTGAGGATGTAAGTACGTCTCACATTAGTGTATTGTCGGCTCAAGCCAGAATCCAAATGCTACCCAAGACTAAAAACATGTCCATCTTGTGTGTTCTTGTAACGTTGGTGAGCGGAGAACCCTGGGGCCACTATCATATTGTAGCAGAGAATCAGCCGAGCCCAACAAGACTCGTGGTAATGAGTCATTCTGTGTCCGCTTTCTTTATGTTCACCATGAAATTATACAAATTAATGAGTCAAGCTGCACTGAGGTAAAGCAAGATGTCCCAATTACAGCGTAAATGTGGGTTGTTTACACTCATAACTCTGCAAATTAAACCCAAGCACGAGGGAAGCTTTTGAATTAGCTATTTCTTTATTCCCATTATGTCTGCTACCAAGCCTATGAGAGGAAAATAAATAATAATCTTCCCAGGTTTCTTGCCAGCTTCTCCAAATTTGACAAATGGCACTCTCATTTAAATTATAATAATAAACGTATAATAATAATAATACATTTTATTTAAATGGCGACTTTCTGGGCACTCAAGGTTGCCTTTGTAGCACAAAAGGTACAAAGTTAAAATGGACAGTGGAATGTAGGGTCTCAGTGAAAAGGCCAGTCTGAATAAATGTTTGGAGAGATATCGGTGATAATTGACTGCAACACTGCAAAAAAATTATCTTAATTTGAGTGCATTCTGACCGTCTTCAAATAATATTTCCCAATGAAACATTTGCCATTTGGTCTTACTTCAAGAACTGTTTCTTGACTTTTTTCAAAACAAGATCATTTTGATTTGTCCCATTGACAAATGTTGTTTTAAGGCAGTTTAAATGTGCTCAAATTAAGATAAATTTTTCCAATTTTGAGAATGTTTTGAACTAATTTTTCATCACGTTTGCACTGTAGCTGTGCTGATTCTATAACTTTTTGGTGCCTGTTTCACCATCATCTAATAGGATTTAAGAGTTCCCCAGAGATTTAAATGTTCATTAATTAACATAAAATTGCTATTTTAAACACTATCCCGTCACTTTTAAGAGTTTAGGAAGATTTATCTGGTCTTTTTAGAATTAAAAGTATTGGTTCTTCTATACCATATATCTTGTCTATAGTAGAATTAATTACTTGTACAATTCTGGCACAACCAACAATATCAGCAATATAGATTTCTGAATGGAAAATTAGACGCAATGAAAATTCAATACTTCTAATCACTGCCCTTTGCCACAGGGGAGGTGGTCCAAGTTGATCCTGGCATTGCAAAATAATGTTGCTTCACTTTTGCTAAAATCAAGTAGTTTAGTGATGTCCTTTTGCCAGAAACACCCAGAAACACAAGGGAATATCAGTGGTTGGAGTTAAACTGTGGAATAAACTCAAGTATGAAAAAAAATGTCTGAATTTATCCACATGTACAAAATCAAAGTAACAACAGTGAAATCTTAGAAAAAAACTACACAATGAAAATAAGGAGTGCTGAGGTCCATCTTGATTAATTTTTTTTAATTTAGGTTTTTTCTTCCGCTCCTTTTAATTTGTGTAACAAGACTATAATTATTTAAAATGTATTTGAAATGTGTGATGGATTGTCATGTCCGCAATTGAAATAAATAAACAAACATATACATTAATATCCTCTTGGGTATGATGAGAAGAAACTAGACAAAAAAACGCACATCTTTCCCAAGGCCCAAACGAGGAACAGGAGTGAGGCGGAAGGTAGATTAATGCACTAAAAAAAGCCACTCCCCTCAAGGTCCTGGGATCAGGGCTGCAGTGACTCAGGTCCTGCGCCCCCACATTTGTGTATGTATATATATATATATATATATATATATATATATATATATATATATATATATATATATATAAAAAATACACACAGTGAGCCGCCTCAAGCAGAGCTCCGGCCACTCTCTGCATACTCATGACTTTGAGGATCCATTGGCTCTGCGTGTGCAGCTAACTTCTCATGAGATTGATGACAGCATGCGTTCCTGAGGAGTTGCTAGCACCAGACACTGGAAAATCCCTGACTTTCCATTTTCAACCGAACAAACCTTTGGCTAAATCATGTTCAAGTCTGGAACTATGAATCTACTCAGAGCTGGTTTGAATTACTTGGTATAATTGAACACTTCCTTTTAATGCATCGATTTCCAAACTACAAAAATGAAGAAGATTGAAAACCATCCAAAGAGAGTCACATTGTGTGTTGCTAAACAGCAATGAATCACTTACAGTGCCTTGCGAAAGTATTCGGCCCCCTTGAACCTTTCAACATTTCGCCACATTTCAGGCTTCAAACATATAGATATAAAAATGTAATTTTTTGTCATGAATCAACAACAAGTGGGACACAATCGTGAAGTGGAACGAAATTTATTGGATAATTTAAACTTTTTTAACAAATAAAAAACTGAAAATTGGGGCGTGCAATATTATTCGGCCCCTTTACTTTCAGTGCAGCAAACTCAGTCCAGAAGTTCAGTGAGGATCTTTGAATGATCCAATGTTGTTCTAAATGACTGATGATGATAAATAGAATGCATCTGTGTGTAATCAAGTCTCCGTATAAATGCACCTGCTCTTTGATAGTCTCAGGGTTCTGTTTAAAGCGCAGAGAGAACCATGAAGACAAAGGAACACACCAGGCAGGTCCGAGATACTGTTGTGGAGAAGTTTAAAGCTGGATTTGGATACAAAAAGATTTCACAAGCTTTAAACATCTCAAGGAGCACTGTGCAAGCAATTATATTGAAATGGAAGGAGTATCAGACCACTGCAAATCTACCAAGACCCGGCCGTCCCTCCAAACTTTCATCTCAAACAAGGAGAAGACTGATCAGAGATGCAGCCAAGGGGCCCATGATCGCTCTGGATGAACTGCAGAGTTTGCTGCACTGAAAGTAAAGGGGCCGAATAATATTGCACGCCCCACTTTTCAGTTTTTTATTTGTTAAAAAAGTTTAAATTATCCAATACATTTTGTTTCACTTCACGATTGTGTCCCACTTGTTGTTGATTCATGAAAATGTTTTTAAATTTTATATCTTTATGTTTGAAGCATGAAATGTGGCGAAATGTTGAAAGGTTGAAGGGGGCCGAATACTTTCGCAAGGCACTGTAGAATCCAAACTAGCAGAGGGCAGATGACTTTTTGTACAAAGGGATTATTATTGCGATTCTACTTGGAATGAATCTAAAAGCGATTATACTGCTGTAATCGCTTTTAGATAAAACATGAGGTAATAAATGCTTAAAGTGTTTGTTATCTTAATTAGAGTACATAATGATGGTTCTCAAACAATGGGATATGCCAATGGGACAAAGCCATTGGTTTTTAGTATTTTTCCTCTCATTCCAAGGGAGATATTTCTTGCATCTAAAACAAGATCAATTTGCTTTGTCCCATTGGCAAATCTTGTTTTAAGTCTGAATGTGCTCATGTTAAGTAATGTTTGACTTATTTATCATCACTTTTTGCAGTTTTTGAAGCCACCAGAGGACATCCAAAACATAGTTTTTTTATTTATTTTCTCGACTTGTTCCTTGCCGATTCAGGAGGGTCTAAGGACAGTAGTGATGATCCAGGACACTCATTCATAGACTTTATCAACATTTATGGACATCTGCCCCTTTTGGACCAATGGCTCTATGTGTTTCATTGCATTCATTGTGTTTGAACTGTTTGATTCTCTGATCCGTGTTGGCAAATTCCAAGTCCTCAGAGATAACTACTGTTGTGATTTAGGGCTATACAATTAGGAATTGAATTGAAATGAGACTGATTATTGCCATAAGAATTATAATGAGAAATTAGCAAAACAATATGTCAAAATACAGAGTAAATGGCTTTGAATTGTTACCTAATGTTTCTGCTCCAGACGTGTGTCTGTAGACTTTCCTTAAAGACAAAAGTGTGCGTGACCAGGTCAACTGTGACAAGCCTCAGCTTCTTCTGATCCAATAAGAATTACTTCCAAACATCTCCAGCGCACACCTGTCCCTTGTGACTTGCTGCTATGGCAACGCATTAATTTTTTTTCTAGACAGCAAGCAGCCTGATTTTCAGCTTCTCTTTTATTTGATGTGAATCCATTACTCTAACAAAGCAAGGCACAGTTGTGCACTGCCATGCTCAGATAATCCCCCACCCCCATCAGACTCTAATAAACAGGTCCAAATGCACGCTCTTCACACCAATACAAAAGACAGACATCATTATTTATAATGTAACCAACATTTGTCCAGTTAAAATGTTTATATGATGACAATCTTTCAACAGGTTCCCATTTGATTCCCAATTATTTGTTTATCCCTAAATGACTTTATGTAAGCTGAAAAAGGTATACCCACCCAATGCTGTCAAATTCAGATTAACTTAAATGTTTTATATCAAAAGGCTTAAACTAATACAGCTTCCAAAGAGTTCCTGACACAAGACACTCATTGTTCACACCTTTAGTGTTGTTGAAGCTGCAGGCCTCAACGTGTAACATTAACAGCAAAGAAGTGCAACTTCACCACAGTTGGTGCCCATGACAACAGCTTATGACTAATACAATGAATAATGGCACTAGACTGAAGAAACTTCTGAAAAAGACCAAAGTGTGGTGAGGATCAGGAACATAAAAATATATGAGAAACTGGTAGAACATGGTACAATGCACGGTGACATGTCTATAACAAGTAGATCCAGTTTACAGGGGCCTGAAACATGTTCAGCTCTGCACAGATGTCATAGAAACATTTAATATAAAGAGTCATGTGTAGAAAGGCCTCTCACCAGGAGCGAGGAGCGGTTGTCCACTGACTGTTGTGACGTTGCGACTCATGTTGATAGCTCGTACTTCTGTGACAGGAGCCGCGTCCGCTTTCTTGGACACATCCACAGGAGTGTCTGCAGAGCCCGGCTTACCCCCTGCAGAGGCTTGTGTGCCCAGGGTTGCAGTCTTCTGAGCAGCCGGCTGGATGGACAAGGAGCCCTGCTTTATACTCAGAGCCTGCAGTGTCTGTGTGGTGGAGGAGGCTGCCCCCTGCTGGCCACGGATGGCCAGATTCTGGACCTGGTTCTTGGGAAAACAATTAAGGATTATGTAGGATAAGTGTACATCCTATTTCATCACACACAATCATTTTATAGCACATAAATAATAGTGTGTCTTACACACAAGTCTAAACTACTAAAACAAAGTCACATAATGCAGAGCATCACATTCATGATTAAAGTATGTCAAGTATGATTATTTCCTTAAGTAATACCTGTGTGGAGTTGGCACTCTCAGACTGCACAGCGGTGACAGTAGCAGTGGGAGTGAAGATGAGCTGAGGAACAGCTCGACCCAGACTCCGTGCCACCTGCACCAAGTTACTCTGTTGGGCCTAAAACAACAAACACAATCATTGCATAAAGAGAATTTCACAACATCTGACTGAATGATCAAAGGCCTGTGCTTATCATCTGTGCATGTCTCTTCTTCTTACATATATAATGATGCAAGAAGTTGGTTCTGTAGTAGTTTTGCGTCAGCAGGGGCCTGAATGCCGAAGGATCCCTCTCCAGGAATTGGTGGGATGTGCTGCCACTGTAGTTTAACCCTCAAACCTGTGTCTGACATTGCATATACACCATGTCCCTTTTCTAGAAACACTCTTCATTAAACACTCTCCGTAAAAACTGAACTTGGGGAAACAAACTGCGCTCTGTTCGACAAAGGTGCCCGAGCAAGAAAATTGAGACTAAATCAGTTCTTTTGTGCAGCCAAGTATAATTGATATGTTTTTATGTATTTAACCAAAAATACAGCAATTAATACAATGTTTAACTACTGACAAAAACATTCTGGCAGTTATCCATCTATCCACACCTTCACTGATGTGAGGAAGTGGTGGAAGGTGCACAACCAAAAGAAGCAAAGTAAAGTTACAGTATGTGGATGACCCCGGGAAGCCTCCTGTGCAGCAGTTACAGTGCAGCCGTGTGTACTTTGGCCCGTGGCTGAGCCCAGAGGAGAACAGACTCACCATCTGTGCACGCAGGTACATCTGTGCCTGGCTGGCAGTGAGAGTGGAGCTGGAGGGGCTGCCCAGCAGAACGGCCTGCTGAGAAATACTGGTGGGGGTGGAGCTAATGCTCTGAGCGCGGCTGATCAGCTGTGCTGCAGCTGGAGACGTGGTCAGGTTGATCTAGGTGCAAATATACAGTCATTAGAGGAACATATTTCTTCATGCTTGGCCACATGGAGACACTGCTGTATATGTTTATGTTTATAGGTGTGTATGTGTGTATACAGTGGGATGAAAAAGCTTTTAGTCAGCTACCAATTGTGCAAGTTCTCCCGCTTAAAAGATGAGGGAGGTCATCATAAGCCCTATTCGCACAGGGGATTAAAATTACCTGAAGACCCCTGGTAATTTGCGATAATCACGGAAGACGTCTGAGATCTTGCAGTGCATTCATACGGGATAAGCAATGTCTGTAAATTACTATATTTTCACTGACGTCTCACAAAACGGCCGCACGTGCACTGATCTCTCCGCTTGACGCAGTCCATAAAGTCTTGCATCTGACCACAGCAGCCACAGAGACCATGAAGACAAACACATACATGGATTTTACAGCTACAACTATAGTTGTCTGGCCCGTACTGTCTGCGGTGTTTAACAATACTGTTTGTACGGACTACCCGTGAACGCACCAGATACTCTGCTAACAAACGCCACAAGCAGTAACGGCCCAGTAACGGCTGAATCCACATGTCTGTACTGTATTACCAGAGTGCAAAGTAAACGTACAAACACAACCCATCGGTCTGATCATTTTGTGTCAGTGAACACATTACACTGTCCTCCAAGCTTCAGCATTGACCTCAGAGACAGCAGCAGCCGCGACTCTTCTGCTCATTGACAGAAAACAACACAGAAAGTAGAGAAAGGGGCAATAGCGATCACAATCACTGACATGCAGATACGCACGGGATTAGTATTAACACAGGACGTCTGTGTTTGGACCAATACAGGAGGTCATTTGCGGCAGAATTATTACTTTACAAATTACAGACATGGCGAATTCGCACGGCACTAAGATCTCAGACGTGATTATCACAAATCACCAGGGGTCCTCAGGTGTTACTAATTCTGTGCGAATGGGGCTATGGGTATATCTCAACTTTGAGACAGAATGAGAAAAAAAATCCAGAAAATAAAAAAATTCTGTAAGTCTTCACAAGCTTCACAACACCACAAAGGAGTGGCGTTGTATTTCAAGGTCCTGGAGGGCCTAGCCAGTCTCCAGATCTCAACCCCACAGAAAATCTTTGGAGGGAGATGAAAGTCTGTGTTGCCCAGCGCCAGTCCCAAAACATCACTGCTCTAGGAGATCTGCATGGAGGAATGGGTGTGTAAAAACCTTGTGATGACTTACAGAAATTGTTTGAGCTCTGTAATTGCCAACAAAGGTTATATAACAAAGTATTGAGATTAACTTTTGTTTTTGACCAAACACTTAATTTCCACTATAATTTGAAAATAAATTGTTTAATAATAATTGTGTTTTTTTGTATTTTTTACTCATTCTGTCTCTTACAGTAGAAGTATACCTATACATGATATATGATAAAAATCACAGGCCTTCAACACAGATAGAGGGTTTACCGTGGTCTGAGTGGATCCAGCCTGAGATGATGTTCCATTCTGTGAAGTCTGTCTCCCGGCTGCGATACTGGCCTATCATCAGAGTCACAATTGATGAACATGATCAGAAAGTCTTTATGTAGCTAATGAGAAGTGATGTCACCTGTTGTACTGCAGCCAGACTCTGCAACTGCGCGGTGCTCAGGTTGTGCTGTTGTTGCAGAGCTGCAGTCTGTAACATCAGGTGCTGCTGCTGCGCTGCATACATCTGCTGCAGATACTGAGCCGCGGTGTTCGGCTGCCTGTGCAAGGCCTGCTGGAACACCTGGACAAAAGGAGCCAACCATTTGTTTGATTTGATGTCATATATACATACAATACATAATTTTTTTTTTTTCTCAGGCGTCTTTCTTGACACTCAAAAGTACCTTACATACAAGCAAAAACTGCTTTTTAAAAACAGTTGAAGAACAAAGTAAAAAGCAGTATTAACAGTGGATATGGTGCAAGGGAGTTGGCTTGTCTAAACAGATGAGTTTTGAGGTGGATTTTAAGTGTGTGTGAGTGAGAAATACAAAGCTAGGGAGCAGAGAGGCTGAAGGCTCTATACTTCCCATGGTGACGAGGAAGAGAAGAGGGACCAGGAGGAGGCAGGAGCGGAGGGGGTGGGCAGGTGTGGAGATCTGGAGGAGGTCAGTCAGGTATGAAGGAGCGAGGATGTGGATGGATTTGAATGTGAGGAGCAGGATTTTGTAGTGGATGCTTTGTTTTGGAACAGTTCGAGGTTTGGGCGAGGGATATGCTATGGCCGAATTTAGAATGATCTGAGGCAAACAAGTGTCTTTGTGCGATTTAATAAAGTTCTGAAACACATACATGATAATTGCATAAAGTGAATCCAAGTTGTGGAGAAGAGCTCTGAGGACACCCGCTAAATTCTTCTGCCTAAGAAAACAGCCCCAGTCTCCAGTTTTCCCAGGCTGTGGAGGGGAGAAAGGAGGAAGAGGAAGGGTGGCTATGAGGGTGCAAGTTATAATCTAATTTATGAGCCCCCCTCTAACACACCTGTTTTTTTATCAGTGAAATGGCACTAGTGTGTCTGGATAGACACAAAGACACTGTGTTAAGTTTAATTTGAGTATTTCTACCATTTCTTGAGTTAATATATTTAATAGTAATTTTCCACTACAGAGACTAAACAAGAGGGAGTTACAATAGTCGAGGCGGGAGTTGACGAGGCTGTGAACAAGTATGGTAGTGGTGTGAACAAACAAATATCCAAGATCCTCAAGAGAAAGGCAGAGTGACCTGAAGACTACAGTGTCAGCATCGTAACCTCAAGCTTTGTGTGAGGATTAGCAGCAGACATCACTCAAGTAGGCAGACTCAAAGGAGCATCAGGGTTTGCACTGGGGGCTAAACTGATTGTAATTAGGTTTGGCTTTTAATAGTTTGAGGGCTGAGCAACTGAAAAGACAAAATTCTTCTGGTCAAAGGAACAGTTCTAAATGCCGAGTGGACCTCATTCACACAGAGGGCGAGTCTATGAAAGGATTTCTCCTGTGGTCATAAGGTCAAAACCACTTATGTGCGAGGGGCTTTCACTCAGAAAACTTCACCAGATCCTCATTAACATTCATTAATGTACTTTATTCTGATACAAAAGACATGTCAGTCAGTACAAACAAAGCCATGCAAAACTATCTCACATCTTTTGCCTCTATCTGATGTCTTAATTTAAGGCTCTTAACTCACAGGCTACGTAACCTCAGAATGGGGCTGCATGAAAGTGTCTTTTGGTTATTGCCCTGCTCCATGATTAAGAGCACTTTAAGGATTTAGGCTCCAACTGATTGACGATCACCTTCAGGGTTTCTGGTGACAGTTTCATTCCATCTATTCTGACAGCCAAGTTCCATCAGGTTGACATCAATCCAATCCCAGCCCACCATACATGAACACAGTTTGACTCTGACAGGTTTTGCCTGCAGTTATACAGATGTCTGGGGTTTTTGGTTCCACCTGGACGATTTGTCGTTTTGGACAGGGTTATCACTAGGTTCTCTGATGACCTAATGAGTTTTAGCCAGGACTTTGTAGACTATTCCAGGCTCATAGATTTTAATTACCGGTAATAATTTTTTCATTGACTGCCAGCCATGACTTCACTGATTTTCCAGACTCACAGAATATAGTGTGCTATGATTATGAGAAATATGAAATGAGAGTCTGAAAGACTGGACTGTCTACTTTCAGCAGCACAAAGAAGTTTGTTTCTAGCTTGTTTCGTTCTTCTGTAATCACCAGGGGGGAGTGTGACAGAAACCAGTCTTTAGAAAAAAAGCTGAGAAATTGAGGTGTTTGTGAAAACGGACGAACCATGCGTAAAAGTGATTGTAACACTATTTAGTTTAACTTTAGCTGTAAACGCTTAATTATCAATTGCAGCTTACATTTTATTATCACCATGGTAACGGTTGGTTTTTTGTATCGTTTCAAGTCTCATGATTGAAAGAACCTTTATTAGTTCCACAGTGAGGAAACTTCACGGCGTAAACATGGTATAATATCCAGCGGTATACTCTAAAACAGAATGTTAGAAACTCACAAACTGCCATAGCGCAATCAGTCTAAAATACCTACTGCACTTAGCAGAGTCAACTTCATTCACTTCTTTAATAATAAAATTATATCCATTTGCGACAAACTGGAGGAAACAACTCCTAATATTATTTTAAAAAATAGGCTGAAGCAGTGTACTTTGTGTCCCACTTGGACCCTTCAGTGGGCCTGGACGAGTTCATAGCTGTGAGCCAACCAAGTTGCATTTTAGATCCAATCCCAGCTAGGGATTCCTAGTTCCTTTAATAATAACGCCAATCTTAAATATAATAAATACATCTATACATAGTGGCTATGTCCCACAAGCTTTTAAAACCGTGGAAATCAAACCTCTTCTGAAACAACAAACCTTGCTCCGGAATTAGTTACAAACTACAGACCAATCTCAAACCTTACTTTTATATCTAAAGTCCTTTGACACAATAGACCACAGCATTCTACTGCAGAGGCTGGAATGTGACATAGGTCTCAGAGCCCTTGGCTGGTGTAAATCCTATTTATTGGATCGGTATCAGTTTGTGTTGACTTGCCCCTTTACAACTTTGTGAGGGGCGACAGTGGCTCAGTTGGTAGAGCATTGGCCTTTGAACCTGAAGACCGAGAGTTCGAGCCCACCATGAGACCTTCTCCACCCACTCCCACTGATGTCTGCTGTCATTTTATCCTTGGGCAAGACACTTAGTCCCACTTTGCCTAAAGCCCCCGCTGAAAGATCAAGGCAATGCTCTCACTAACAGAGAAGCCATCCTGTGGACTCACCATCTGCAGGACGCTCAGTGAGGGGCTGATGCTCTGCAGCTGATTGCCACCCCCAAACCAGAAATTTACAAAGGGGAAGAAGATGGATGGATGGTATCAGTTTGTCAATGTGAATCAAAATTTGTCGCCTTATTCTAAAGTAAAATTTGTTGTGCCACAAGGATCAAGATAGAAACGTTTGGTGCCTGCATAAAAGACCTAAAAACGTGGATGACTCTTAACTCTCTGCTCCTTAACCTAGAGAATACAGCAGTGATGCAACTCAGTCCTAAGCGCGTGTGATCACACTTGATAATGTGCTATAGCAACACTATGAGGAATCTTGGTGTCATAAATGACCAACAACGCTCCTTCAAGGCTTAAAATAAATCAAGCAACTAAAACGGCGAATTTCCACCTGCGCAACAATGCTATGATGAAGAATATCCTTCCTAACAAAGAATCCACACTTTTGTCACCTCAAGGCTTGACTACAGTAACGCTTCGCTGACAGCGTGCCCCAAATCCTCTAAAGAACTTCCAGCTGGTTCAAAATATAGCAGCAAGGATCTTAACAGGCACCAAAAGGAGGAAGCACATTACTGTATGTGCTATATGTGCCGTGAAACTATGTGCTGTAACTATATAGAATGTATTTAAAAAAAAATTTTTTTTACAAACAAAGCCATAAATGGCTTGGCTCTTTTCTACCTTCAAGACACGTTAGTGTCAAACCAACCAAACAGAGCACTGCACTTGCAAAACGCCAGACATCTGGTAGTTCCTCAAGTCTCAAAAAGCACTGTCGGCGGCAGAACATTTAGCTACCAAGCTTCTTTACTGTCGAATCAGCTTCCCATCCACGTTAAAGCTGCACTAACTGACTTTGAGAACATTTTGAATCAGAACGCTGAGCTCACCCTCTCTGCTCGCCCTCCCCGCACGGAGCTTTCGCCCCCCACTTCCCTCCCCCCCTCAGCCTCTGCTCATGCTAACTGTATATGGAGCTCACGTCTCACAATATGGACACATTTGATCGTGGATGGCGTGACAACAACAAGACTTTCTTTTGGCTGTTTCACTGTGTAAGCAGTAACCGGTAACGAAACTTCAGGTTAGCCTCCGCCGCTTGTTTACCTCAGCTGTCTGTGCTAACGAGACACCTGTAGCTTTTCTCAAGAAAGTGGGGGCCAGTGGTCTGCTGGCATTGGTCACAATCGGGACCCGAAACACATTCTCTTCCTCGTTTCGAATTACTGTAAATGACACGCCAGAACAAATCAGCGCTACTTTTTCTTCAAAAGGACTTATATCACATTGCATTGCATGGATATGGATTGAATTTTCGTAATGAATACAAAAATAAAGTCAGTTAGGAAGCAGACAGTGTCTCTATATTTAAGGCCAGGCTTAAACGGTCCTCTTTAATTTAGCATATAGTTGGGTAGGTAAGACTCAGGAAAGACTAAATATCTTTAGTCCATTGTGCCATTGTCTGTTTCATGGCACAACGATGGGACCCCTGAACCCGGTCCGCTTCAACTGCACCTGCGGACTGCCCTGCCTTGTGGGCTGCACCCACAAAGGGAGCTGCTTCAGTCCTGCACCGCAACTGTGGTGATAATCCAGGACATACTAATATTCTACAACATTCATGAACATGATAACTACTGTGGAGATTTAGGGCTATACAAGAATACATTGAATTGAAATGTTCAAGGGTCAACAACCCACATTGTAAAAATGTTTTGACTAGATTCAGGCTGTTCTGAGCTTTATAATTAGCAATAATAAAGCTAAACGCTGAAATACAAAATGACCATCTCGTCATAAATGGTGCATTAGCACCATTAACAGAACTTTGTAACACATAAAAAAAAAGTTAACGGCTGAATTCCTGAGGTTGTGAGCTTTTCAAAGAATTATAGCTTGACTATATTGACTGAGCTGAAGTTGGCTAAATCACAATTATGATTTCACTGACTACTTTGGGTTAGCCAGGCAGAGGGCCATATAAAATTACACAGAGGGCTGTATTTGGCCCACGGCCCTTAGTTTGGACATGCCTGATTTATCATAATAAGCTCAACATTTAATAAAAATATGACAAAAATTAAAAAAAATAATCTAATAAAACAAAAACCATAATCTAAATTTTTAGATTATGTGGTGATTTGTGCCCTATTTGACGTGGACTGTGAAGCGCTTTGTGTTGGCCTACGTGGGAAAGGCTCTCTAATATAATAGTATAGTAGTATAAGATCCAAGCTGGTACCTGGACGGTCTGTCGGTCAGGTATCCCACTGTAAACTGATATTTGAGGCACTGCTTGTCTCCCTGCTGTAGTAGTAGTTGCGGTGGTCGTTGTGGTGGCGTTCGTGCTGTTAGTGGAGGAGGTGGCTGCGGAGGGGGCAGTCGTGGTGGTGGTGGTGCTGGTGGCAGTAGAAGGGCTGTTGGGGCTGGGGCCAGCAGACACAGGGGCCCCTGGTTCCATCTCCATGGTGCCCTCGGGTCTTCGGACCTTTGACCCCCGACTCTTCTGAATGGCTCTTCGGTGCCTGAAAGGAAAAGTAACGTTGAAATGTGAGACAACAACTTTTTAACCAATTTTACAACTAAAGTAAAGACTCATGTTTTTATTAAGTGAATATTAATTAATTCTGGTGTAATAATTTACTAGTCACTTTACCTGCTGTTATTATTACTACCGTTTAGCAGCAGAGAATATGACCAGAATAAAGTACAATATTAACATCTGTAAATACCTCATGATGCTGACTACAGTGTATACTCCATAAGTGACTTATCTTTGAACCAAGTGCAATTACAGCTCAAAAGTTGGATTTTATTATCTTGATATTTTAGAAAGGGTGAGGAGCTCAGTCACACGGGAGGAGCTCGGAGTAGAGCCGCTGCTACTCCACGTTGAGAGGAACCGGTTGAGGTGGCTCGGGCATCTGTTCCGGATGCCTCCTGGACGCCTCCCTGGGGAGGTGTTCCGGGCACGTCCCACCCGGAGGAGGCCCCGGGGAAGACCCAGGACACGCTGGAGAGACTATGTCTCTCAGCTGGTCTGGGAACGCCTTGGGGTCCCCTGGACGAGCTGGAGGAAGTGTGTGTGGATAGGGAAGTCTGGGCGTCTCTGCTTAGACTGCTGCCCACGCGACCCAGCAACGGATGAAGCGGAAGAAAATGGATGGATGGATATTTTAGAAATTGTATTATCTTAAATAATAGATCCTGTTTTATGTGTGCAACTTAAATGCTCTTCTTTTCTTTCTCTCCATTCATTCTGCTGTACTAGGTGCAATGATGACATTGAGAAAGAATAAAGGTTTATCTTATAAAATCTTAAAAAACATCTCATTAACAACCTGAAACATGTGTAGAATTACTTTGGCACCTCAGAAGCTGTGACATAAATAAAGTTCAGTTTTTGTTTGTCATTATTTATAAAATTAAGCGTAACAAAATGACATGTTTGAATGTTTAGTCCTGAGCTGTGACTCTGGCCAGGGGGAAACCATGTCAGAGATTATGTCTGAATTCCTGGATCTATAGCCTCAGTCCTCATTCTTGGATCTAAAGCCTGTCCATATGTAGGAGCGGATCCCTCAGTTTCTCACTTTTCTCCCACTGGGATTTTAGAGTTGTTCCTTGCAGATGCAGAAAGTCTAATGACAGTGGTGGTGTTCTGGGACACTCAAAATTCAATAAGATTTATGAACATTGGTTATCTGCCTCTTATGGATTAATACCTCTGTGATTTTATTTCATTTTTGCATTTCCTGTGTTTGAACCGTGATCTTTATTGGCGAATCAACAGCTTTGTAAACTTCTACGAGAAAACAACTCGTGTGATTTGGGGCTGTATAAAATTTTATTTAACTGAACTGAAACCAGAGCACCTGGAGAATACCATATAGAGCATAAAATATACGGCCTGTGATGGGACCTTGCATTTGGTGCAAGTAAGATTTTGAGCCTTGCAGTTGAAGCTAGAGGTCAAAGTGCTTTGCCTGGAACTTGCCTGGTTAAAGGTCTATGTTGCGATTTTAAAGATTGAGGAAATGAGAAGGTAAAAAAACAACCATCAAAAAATATAGGGGTATGCTTTGCAGAATGACATGAAATACTGTACCTGTGAGAAATCAAGTAGGAAAACAATGTGACATTAAAGCACTTGTATGTAGCCTGCACACCCCAATCTTTCGTTCTTTAAGAACTCAAGCGTTTGGACTCGCTGGAACTGAAGTCTAGAGGTTGATCACATAGGTTTTCACAATTGAGGAAGGCCAATTGGCCCAGATCGTTGCCACAGGGGTGTAAAGAAGGCCCGGAGTCAGAAGGGTTTATTTTTTCAACTGTGCCAGACAAATTTGGCTGTATTACAAAGGTCGGTCCAGCTGGTGGCACTAACACTAACTGCAGCGACTACCTTGGGGCCTGAGGTAAGTTCCTGTTTCTCTTCCCGTTTACTCTAGGCTACTGTGTGCCAACCAGCTCAAACATGGATTGCATTCTTTGAAAATCAGAGTAAATGTGAACAAGTGTTGTGAGATGTGTCCTTAGTTGGAGTAAACTGAGAAATGAGAATGAAAGAATGAAAAGTGCGGCGTATGAGCAGAGCAACTGAAGCCAAGCATGATACAAGTGAATGGTGACAAAATAATGTCTTACTCTTGAGCACCGTCCAGAGTGTTATTGAAATAGCACCACACTGTGACAGCAAGGGTCAAAACAGAAGGTAGTTATACCTTGTAGGAAACGCAGTCATCTGCCCTTGGAGCCACAAATCTTCCCTGCGCCGGCTAATATGATGAGACGTGTGCAAATTAATGATGTTTTCTTTCTCTTTTTTCCTATACTGAGTGGCAGTGCGGCTCTTTGACAAAGATGTACGCTGCTGATAACACGTACAGACTTCTGTATGTGTGATCAAAATGACTGTCCTCCAGGACGAGACACGCTCTAAACACTAAAAGACAACCAGAACTTCTGCCAGCTTCATACATCAGGTTGGAAGAATTTAGCCAAAAAATACCAGGCTTCCATCTCCATAAACTTGATCCAAACTTGACCTGTTGAGGGCCTCTTGTTTGTTCACATGGAGATATGGTTCTATGAGATTTAAAATGAGAATATTCCATAGTATGTTTTAACTTCACATTCTGACTTGGTAAAAGGGCAAAAAATACAACTTTGAAAAACATGTATCCAAATTGTGATATCCAAAAAAGGAAAGTCATTAGTTTTCATTTAAACAATACTCATATGAACTTCCTTCAAAATATTTGTTAATAAAGAAATGAGTGCGTATTTCATCTTGTGAAATATTTAATCCCACTAATTTAATAGTCATTAGTCCAACCTAAATTCACTTCATGTTGTGTTTGCACAATAGTTATAGATCCAAGAAAATCTGTCTTATAATTAATGAGTGCATTTCACCGGTCAATTAATTCAAAACACAAAAAATGCAGCGTGTAATACTCACAGAATAAAAAGAACAAATTCAAAATGTAGAAGAAAGCCACACACTGGGTTAAATTGAATTATAATACGGAATTCAGGTCTTTGTTGGGAGCTTGTTCCATCAGCCAGAAGGGCTTGCATTTGTAAACAAAGCAGCAGAGATAGCAAGTGTGCCGCTGTGTCATTAGCCTAGATCCCAGTGAGCTTCTAAAGGGAGGGTGTTCCCTCTGGTCATGATCCCTGTCCCACTCACAGCCAGCCAATCATACATCAGATAGCACCCCCTCTCACATACGGACACATCTACGTCCAAGATGTTTAAAAATGTAATAGTGTCACCTAAATAGACTCAAATCCTAAAACCATATCCTAGGTAGTGATAATAATGTATATGACATTCATATGGAATTCATCAAATTGAGACTTAAACAACCAGGTTCCTATAGTCTGTCAGTTTTGTAAATCGAGCAGAGCCTGGAGGAAGATGACACCTATAGGAGCCTGTCACACAGACCGGCCGGCCCCCAGAACAACATACAAGATACTCTCATACACACACGTTATTGCACCCCGAGACAAAGGCCCCTAACCCTACTGCTCCTACCTCCGGTGCCCCCCCCATCGTGAGGCGGGGGTGCGCTGTCCCATCCCGCTGCAGGATGTGGCTGGTCTTTGTCTGACGCTCTCAGACTGAGCGAGTGCACGCGTCTGAGCAGGTTCTAGCAGCACCTCTCGACTACCCCCCACACACATCAACACCCCACTCCACCAACCAGGCCGCAGCCAGCCTTCTGATTATGTGGTATCCTAGCAACAGCCAACGGGACGCCTCTGGAATCCCTGAGCACAGAGACCGCTGATTGGACAAAGGAATCCCCTCTAATGAAGATGATAATGATTCTGTGCTCTGTCCCCTCCCCCTCCACGGCAGCCGGATTGTTTTAGGAAGTGTCCAGCACCAGCCTCACGTCACCGATGACTGCAAGCTCAAAATGGAATATGGAATTCGGTTTCAGGCCCATTTCAGGCTTGTTTTAGGCTGGTGAAATTCAATTAAAAACCCCTAATAACAATTAATGATACAAATACAGTATATTTGCATTTCAAAAACAAGATATGTAAAAAATAAAACTACATGTAAAGACCTAATCTCCGAGGTTTCATGAGCCTCCAAGGTTTCTCACTTTTTTATTAGAGTTTTCCTTGCAGGAGGGTCTAAGGACATGATGATCCAGGACACTCAACATTCAACATGTATGGACATTGGTCATCTGCCCCTTATAGACAAATGGCTCTAAGTGTTTTTTATCATACATTTCTTGAGTTTGAGCCGTATGATTCTCTGATCTGTGTTGGTGAAGTGAACGGTTTTGTAGTATCCTCCAAGATAACTACTGGCGTGATTTAGGGCAACACAAAAATGTGAATGTGAAAAGAATAATCAGAAAATGTGTGCGTTATCTAAGGGTCCACCTAATTATTGGTTTTGCCAATTAGAATAACCACTTGCTAGGCTTTAAAATCGTCCTTATAGGCAAAGTGGGTAAAAGTGTCTTGCCCAAGAACAAAGACAGAAATCATCAGTGGGAGTTGGTGGAGAAGGTCTCACGGTGGGCTCAAAAGCACAACCTTCAGGCTCAAAGGTCAATGCTTTTGAACGCCCACCAGTAGGGGGCAGGGGTACTTTATAACATGTCACCCACAACCCTCAGCATAATAGTAAAATCACTTCAACAACATCCAACTCAGACCACCGCATGGACGTGAATGCACCAACATCGTTCTAAATTAACAGTAGCTGCAAAAATGGAAACTGAAACTAGCATGATTTCATTTGGACGGACGAAGGAAGGAGTAGAATTCTCCTCTGTGTTTGAGCCATTTTTCTCAACAGGGATTCTCTACACGGAGCAATAGTGGACCCACATTTTTTATTTACCTTAGCGTCACAACAGCAGACAGCTATGCGGCACGTGTTGCCATGGTGATATCCTAAAGTCTGCAGCGAGAAAGCCTTTGCGCTAGATTAGCGGCACAAAGATGTCGGCCGTATCGCAGTTTTTATTAGGTAAACACACTTTAGTTTACACTACACTAGTAACGCTGACTGTACGTTGTGCAAGGCAAAACTGTCACAAGGTGGGCCCAAAACGAACACGTATAACACCAGAAACTTGATCAAACATCTAAAAACTAGCATAGCAGCAAAGTAAGCACTGGCGCTAGCACGGGAGCTAGCACCGGAGGACAAAAACAACCAACTCTTCACCAAACCATTTGTATGAGTGGAATGTGACAGTGGCTCTTGTTGCTAAAATGTTTAATTGTTGAAGCATTTTCTAATTGTTGATATAAGAACTAAAATGTTTTCCATTTCAGTTGTATTTGTTTTATAAATTCTCAGGGACAACATAATGCAGTACTCGTATCGGTACTCGGTATCGGCAAGTACTCAAATTTAGGTACTCGTACCGGTTTTGGAAAAAGTGGTATCGGTGCATCCCTATCCGCCAGTGATTTTGTTTGTTCTCGACTACTACTCCTGTCCCAATGTATGTGTAGGGAAGTGGTGAGGTCGTTGAAGCTAGAAAATTCACACTTTTTTTCACACAGCTGTGAAACAGCCACCCACCGCGCGACATACCTGTTCTGTTTTCTCAACATTAGCATTTTCATCCCCCTGAAACACTGTCTTTGCAAAAATATAAGGCCAATCCGATAGCCAACTATCATATTACTGTCGCAGCATTTCCGTATAAAACAGCACATTCATTTTGTTAGTTAGCATCTTTGGCTAACGCTAATGGGTCAGCTCCAAGCCCCAGCAATCCAAGATGGCACCCTATTCAAATGAATGGCGGCCGAGAGATTAGCGGAACTCGCCAAAATTTGGGCATCATCTGGTCCTCCAAGTTCTGCGCAGTGAACGAGCTCCCATGAGCTCCCAAACATGCGTGTGTGGCTCTCAAGCACGTGCACAGAGGGGCTCGGCCGCGCTTTGACCAATCAGAACTGCTGAACAGAAAGGAGTTAGAGCAGGGCCAGAGTGGGAAGTAAACAGAGTTTATTGCATTAAAGTGTGAATTTAATGAAAAAGGATGATGAGGGACATCAAAATCCCCACAAAATCCGACCTTTATGAAAGCTGTAGGTTCTCTGTCAGTTAACATTAAATTCTATGGGACATTTTCCTGGGTAGCCCAGAATTTATTCTGCAGTACCATAGTCAGCTTAGAGGTCACAGCTTCAAGCTAAAAGCTAGATAGATTTTATAATTGTAGACAGGTGAGATGTTTTCAGTGGTAGGGGAACCCAGAACAACCAGAGGACACGCAGACACAGACAGAACATGCAAACAGAGGGCCCCGCCTGGAGTGGGAATTGAACCCAGGACCTTCTTGCTATGTAGCACGAGCGCTAACCACTGCACAGTATCAGGGACCAGGCATAAGAACTTGTGTCTTTTACTTTTTTCATTGCTGAGAATCAAAAACAGTTCCACGCCCTGTTTGTCCAGTCTCTTAAATATAGCCATCTGAATCATTTCCCGGAACAATGTAGTATTGATTATAGAAATCAATGCAAGGCTCCTTGTTTCTCATCTTCTCATTATCATTTAGATTAGCTCAAGCACGAGACAATGTCACTTAGCTGGATGCCTAAAATCCAAACCAAAAATCATTCTGTAAAAGCATGCATCATTTAAAACTAGAGGTAATTGTTTTGGCCACACTTCCAACAGAAATGACAACATGACAAAAGCATAGTTTTAATTTCGGGTTTCAAGTAAATAATGTATTCCACACCAGCTAGTCAGAGCATAAGCAGACTGGCACAAAACTCTATAAGAGCATCAAAACAGGTCAAACGAGGACACGTGAAGGCAGCCTTGTTAAAATCAGCCTTTAATGTGCCCAAAAAGTGACTTCCTGACGCTGTAATAGAGTCATGGACAGCTCCGTTCTAGTGGCACTGCACAAAGAGCATCTGGCTTCCCTCCAAGTTTAAGTGTGCCGATCCTTGTGTGGCATTCCAGCACACGTCGCCTCATGCTGTGAAGCTACAAAAGCACTTTCCCTTGATTCGCCAGTCCCCAAAGAACCCGAAAGCTCTTTCATTCCCAGGTTTCTCACCTGAGATGGCAAAAAAACAGCACAAATTATGCTAAAAATATCTTCATAAGTTTCTACATCATTCAAGGTATTCATAGAGAAACTTTCAGTTTGTATTAAAATAAAAGGACATAGAGAGACCAGAGAGAGAAACCAGAGCGAGAGAAAGAGAGAGGCCAGACAGTGAGAAAAAGAGAGAGACCTTGGACATAGGCAAAAAAAGCAGAAAAAAAAATCTAAAAATAGCTACATAATATAAAGTATCTACATCGTTTAGGCATTCGAGATTTTTTCACAGTTTGTATGAATATAAAAAGGACAGTGAGACCAGAGAGTGAGACCAGAGAGAGAGAGACCAGAGAGTGAGACCAGAGAGTGAGAGAAAGCAAAATAGATAAACATTTTCCCCATGGCTAGATGCACATGTAGAGCAGTGTTGGGAGTAACAAAAGTAACTATTAAAAGGTAATTACTGTAATAAATGTATTGCCTTTCGCTGTTACACTGTAATGTAAAGCATAAAAAAATCCTGGGTAATATTTTACTTGGTACAAAGGTCAGTAAGTACAATAAATTGCATTTCAACCCAAAATTAAATTGTGTTTTGCTTCTATACAAGGCCTCCGTGAGCTCAGCAAAAGAGAAAAAGTCTGCAGGAATAGTCGTCTAGAAGTGTTATTCCTTTCTGGTAAAAGATGGCTGAAGCTGAAGCAGCTACTACGTCGACCATAGTACATTCTACAGATGGACAGACTAGAGTTTGTTGGAGACTCTGATGTGGAACGTAAACGTTAAGTGCACATTATGTGTGAAACCAAAAGTTCCATCAACCTCACGTAATAAGCTACATTTAGCTTAAACTACATATAGTTTGTACAGTGGGGCAAAAAAGTATTTAGTCAGCCACCGATTGTGCAAGTTATCCCACCTAAAATAAGGACAGGTCTCTAATTTTCATCATACAGTGCCTTGCGAAAGTATTCGGCCCCCTTGAACCTTTCAACATTTTGCCACATTTCAGGCTTCAAACAAAGATATAAAAATTAATTTTTTGTCAAGAATCAACAACAAGTGGGATACAATCGTGAAGTGAAACGAAATTTATTGGATAATTTAAACTTTTTTAACAAATAAAAAACTGAAAAGTGGGGCGTACAATATTATTTGGCCCCCTTGCGCTAATACTTTGTAGCGCCACCTTTTGCTGCAATTACAGCTGCAAGTCGCTTGAGGTATATCTATCAGTTTTGCACATCGAGAGACTGGAATTTTTGCCCATTCTTCCTTGAAAACCAGCTCGAGCTCAGTGAGGTTGGATGGAGAGCGTTTGTGAACAGCAGTCTTCAGCTCTTTCCACAGATTCTCGATTGGATTCAGGTCTGGACTTTGACTTGGCCATTCTAACACCTGGATACGTCTATTTGTGAACCATTCCATTGTAGATTTGGCTTTAGTTTATGTTTTGGATCATTGTCCTGTTGGAAGATAAATCTCCGTCCCAGTCTCAGGTCTTTTGCCGACTCCAACAGGTTTTCTTCCAGAATGGTCCTGTATTTAGCTCCAGCCATCTTCCCTGTCCCTGCTGGAGAAAGGCAGGCCCAAACCATGATGCTGCCACCACCATGTTTGAAAGTGGGGATGGTGTGTTCAGGGTGATGAGCTGTGTCGCTTTTACGTCAAACATATAGTTTTGCATTGTGGCCAAAAAGTTCGATTTTGGTTTCATCTGACCAGAGCACCTTCTTCCACATGTTTGGTGTGTCTCCCAGGTGGCTTGTGGCAAACTTTAAACAAGAGTTTTTATGTATATCTTTGAGAAATGGCTTTCTTCTTGCCACTCTTCCATAAAGACCAGATTTGTGCAGTGCACGACTGATTGTTGTCCTATGGACAGACTCTCCCACCTCGGCTGTAGTTATCTGCAGTTCATCCAGAGTGATCATGGGCCTCTTGGCTGCATCTCTGATCAGTCTTCTCCTTGTTTGAGATGAAAGTCTGGAGGCCGGGTCTTGGTAGATTTGCAGTGGTCTGATACTCCTTCCATTTCAATATAAGTGCTTGCACAGTGCTCCTTGAGATGTTTAAAGCTTGGGAAATCTTTTTGTATCCAAATCCAGCTTTAAACTTCTCCACAACAGTATCTCGGACCTGTCTGGTGTGTTCCTTTGTCTTCATGGTTCTCTCTGGGCTTTAAACAGAACCCTGAGACTATCAAAGAGCAGGTGCATTTATACGGAGACTTGATTACACACAGGTGCATTCTATTTATCATCATCAGTCATTTAGGACAACATTGGATCATTCAAAGATCCTCACTGAACTTCTGGACTGAGTTTGCTGCACAGAAAGTAAAGGGGCCGAATAATATTGCACGCCCCACTTTTCAGTTTATTTGTTGAAAGAGTTTAAATTATCCAATAAATTTCGTTCCACTTCACAATTGTGTCCCACTTGTTGATTCATGACAAAAAATTAAAATGTTATATCTTTATGTTTGAAGCCTGAAATGTGGCGAAATGTTGAAAGGTTCAAGGGGGCCGAATACTTCCGCAAAGGCACTGTAGGTACACTTCAACTGTGAGAGACAGAATGTGAAAAACAAAAAAAACAAATCGAGGAATTCACGTTGTAGGATTTTTAAAGAATTTATTTGGATATTATGGAGGAAAATATGTATTTGGTCACTTCAAACAAGAAAGATCTCTGGCTCTCACAGACCTGTAACTTCTTCTTGAAGAAGCTCTTCTGTCCTCCACTCGTTACCTGTATTAATGGCACCTGTTTGAACTCCTTATCTGTATAAAAGACACCTGTCCACAACCTCAAACAGTCAGACTCCAAACTCAACTATGGCTAAGACCAAAGAGCTGTCGAAAGACACCAGGAAAAGAATTGTAGACCTGCACCAGACTGGGAAGAGTGAACCTACAATAGGCAAGCAGCTTGGTGTGAACAAATCAACTGTGGGAGCAATTATCAGAAAATGGAAGACATACAAGACCACTGATAATTTCCTTCAATCTGGGGCTCCACGCAAGATCTCATCCCGTGGAGTCAAAATGACCATGAGAACGGTGATCAAAAATCCCAGAAGCACACGGGGGGACCTGGTAAATGACCTGCAGAGAGCTGGGACCAAAGTAACAAAGTTTACCATCAGTAACACACTACAACAACAGGGAATCAAATCCTGCAGTGCCAGATGTGTCCCCCTGCTGAAGCCAGTGCATGTCCAGGCCCGTCTGAAGTTTGCCAGAGAGCACATGGATGATGGGCGAATGTCATGTGGTCAGATGAAACCAAAGTAGAACTGTTTGGTATAAACTCCACTCGTCGTGTTTGGAGGAAGAAGAATTGCATCCCAAGAACCATACCCACTGTGAAGCATGGGGGTGGAAACATGCTTTGGGGCTGTTTTTCTGCTAAGGGGACAGGACGACTGATCCGTGTTAAGGAAAGAATGAATGGGGCCATGTATCGTGAGATTTTGAGCCAAAACCTCCTTCCATCAGTGAGAGCTTTGAAGATAAAACGTGGCTGGGTCTTCCAACATGACAATGATCCCGAACACACCGCCCGGGCAACGAAGGAGTGGAAGCATTTGAAAGTCCTGGAGTGGCCTAGCCAGTCTCCAGACCTCAACCCCCTTGAAAATCTGTGGAGGGAGTTGAAAGTCAGTGTTCACTGCTCTCGAGAAGATCTGCATGGAGGAATGGGCCAAAATACCAGCTACTGTGTGTGCAAACCTGGTAAAGACCTATAGTAATCGTTTGACCTCTGTTATTGCCAACAAAGGTTATATTACAAAGTATTGATTTGAATTTTTGTTATTGACCAAATACTTGTTTTCCACCATAATTTACAAATAAATTCTTTTAAAAATCCTAAAATGTGAATTCCTGGATTTTTTTTCACATTCTGTCTCTCACAGTTGAAGTGTACCTATGATGAAAATTACGGACCTCTGTTATTATTTTGAGTGGGAGAACAATCGGTGGCTGACTAAATACTTTTTTGCCCCACTGTATTAGAGTCCAGTTTGTTCAGGTGAACACCCAGGTACTTGTACGAGTCCACTTCCTCAATATCTCTTCCCTGGATGTTTACTGGGGATGGAGTAGTGAACATCAGGGTTTCAGTTGATGAGAACGTGGTTCATCTCCTTGGTCTTCACCGTGTTGGTGAGGAGGTGGTTCTGCTGACACCAGTCCTGTGTTAGTCTGCTGTACTCTGCGTTGTCGTCCTCAGTGATGAGTCTAATGATGGCAGAGTTGTCAGGGAACTTCTGTAGGATACAACCGTTTGTGTTGTCTGAAGTCCGCAGTGTAGAGGGTGAAGAGGAACGGAGCGAGGATGGTCTGCTGCGGAGCACACACACCACACCAGAGACTAGAGAGCGAGAGAGATCAGAGAGAGAAAATATTGAGATCCTCGTTGATTGTTTCAAGAAACTAAAATGGAAAGATGTTTCAGTTGCCGTCCACCACAATATGAAACATCACCCTTTGGAACGTGCTGATGTCACATGATCACAAACTATTAATATATAAACCCCGTCTTTCCAAACCCCACCCGCACCCCTCCTCAGTGCTGAAGAAAAAACGGCCCCGTAGAAAGTCTAAGTGGAGCACTGGAGTCATCCCCAAACCCAAGAAAAAGAAAGTTCCTGCGGCGACCCCTGCTGCCTTGTCTGAGTCCTGCTCCTCGCTTTCCTCCCTATCTGATGCCTCAGAGGATAGTGATGTCATTCACCATGATGTCACACGCACTCGGAACGGTGATGTCATAGCAGAACATCGAGGTCTGACCAACGGCTTCCACAGCAGCTCACCCCGAGGAGGTCTGTGTCCGTGCCAAGAGCGCTAACGTGAGTGCTAACCCTGATCCTAACATGAGTGCTAACCCTGATCATAACCTGAGAACTAACCCTGATGCTAACGAGAGCACTAAGTCTGATGCTAACGTGAGCACTAACCCTGATGCTAACGTGAGTCCTGATGCTAACGTGAGCCCTGATGCTAACGCAAGCACTTAGCCTAATGCTAACACGAGCTCTAACTCTGCTGCTAACGCGAGCACTAACCCTGATGCTAACGTAAGCACTAACCCTGATGCCAACGCGAGCACTAAGCCTGATTCTAACATGAGCAGAAATCTTGAGCTTATTTGAGCTAACTAATCCTCATGGAGCCTCTGAGTTAGCTCTAATCCTCTACAGTCTGTGCTAACTTTTGTAGTTCAACACAGTTCTTAATGTTAGTGCTTGAACCAATCAGTGAGTTCCGCCGCACAGGTGGGCTCTAATGCTTCTGTTGTGACGCAGATTCCAAGGAAAGTTTATTCATACTCAAAGCATACACAAGGAAAACATTAGAATATAACTGTGTGTCTCTAACCCCCAATGTGTGTATCCAACTCCCTGTGTGTGCATTTAACTCCCTCTGTGTGTCTCAGAGCGTCAGAAGAAACTGGCAGAGAGAGTGATGACCGAACAGATGCAGCTGCTCGGCGGAGATGATAACGAGAGAACCACACTGCCCCTAGTGGTGGATCGCAGCAAGCTCAGGGTGAGTGGCCCTAGAAGATGATGCCAACCCAGACTGTATACAAATGGTTTACGTTAACACAGACTGTATACATATGGACAATGCTAACCCGTGAGCTGAAAGAAGCCCATTAAGGAAGCGCTCAGTGAGGTTTTGTTCCAACGCTCTGGCTCCGACTGACTCCAAAACTCTTCTAGCTCAGTAATCATTTGTGTCACACTCACCAAATATCTGTGGTTTAGCCAGTGGGGGCGGGTCCCGGCTCCAAAAGGTCCATGAGCATGTGTGCTGACATGCTTGCAATGTCACTATAGCCGGTGGGGAAGGAGAAGGAAAGAGAATTACGGCAGCACAGACTGATAACAGCAAAGAAAAACACTGAATATGTATAAATGGAAGAGTACTAGGTAACATGAGGGTTATTAAGCACCGTCTTGATGAACTGAATTAAATCCAAATCAAGCTTAAACCTAGTTATCTAGTATGTGTGTGTGACCAGTTATGTCAGCCACATGTCCTTCTACATACGCTATTTGTGAAGAGCAAAAAAGTAAAAAAGACTAGACATGTAAGGCAACTAATTGAATACAAAATTGCAAAAGAATTGTGTTGAAATACATATTGAGAAAACCTTGTGATAGAGCTATATTAGTTTGTCCAAAGCAATTTTGGAATTTAGTCTGCAGTACCGCTGGCGCCCCCTGTGCCCATTGGTGGGACAGCTATTAACTAGTAATACCCTATGCAAATTTTATTATAGATCCATGGCCAGGAGTAGGGCGCACAGTTGTGATGTCACAGGTTGGGTCACATGGCACACAGGTTGTTGTGTAAAATTATTTTATTTCTATATTCATCATTTATTCCGCATGTGTTTACACTTTCATTTGTTGAAAGGAATTATTATTATTATTTTTTTAATTTTTTTAATTGGTTTGGGGGGAGGAGCTTCAGGGTATAAGGGAGGGCTGTCAGAGCCACAATGTGTATGGAAGTTGGATGAGGAGGATGCTGTGCACCTGCTGACACAATCGCCAGACTATGTCCAGGATACCCCTGCTGGTCAGTTACTGTATATATCTTTGTCATGTGTGACAGAGGGCATACCCGCATTCGGCACAACATCCAATCGAACCACATTGTTTTGATTAGACAGAGGCCAACCTCACGGAACAAGCTATAAATCCATGGGCCAGACAACAAACATGAATGCACTAGCGAAATTATTTCTAATGGGTTGTTCAGACCGACGACGCTGGAACGCAACTTCCATGCGGACTGGATGCACTAAATTTCAGACGCAGAATGAAGTGCTGCTCTGGGGAGGAATAGAACGGTGCATTGAGGAAGTGGAGAGTTCCGGTCCGGCGTGTATAGGCTCATGAGTTTGTATCTTGGTTGCAGTGTGCCCTGTTAAGGAAGTTTCTACCCAATGAAGGAGAAAACTCAAAAGGTCTTTGTCTTATCAAAAGCGTAAGTTTATTATATACACACGTGTGGAGAGTCAGCACATACAGACACGAAGGCAGCATGTACTAGCTCTGAAGCAGAGCTCCGAGTTTCCTGTATACAGACACACACGAAAGACAGTCCCGCCCACAACAGAATGGGAGGGGGGCCACCGGTGAGGAGGCGCCTGGGGAGCGTTGGCGCCGTCTGGGGATGTAGGTGCGAACAGACAGACAATGGTAGAAAATGCAGGTCATACAGATGCAGACGCGAAAGACACAAGGGTGTGACGAGAAGCAGGATGTAGAAAATGCACACATACAGACCGATAGATATGCAAGAGGCGAAAGGGGGGCGAGAGTGAGACAGTGATTTACGCCATTGTCTGTAGGTGTCGGGGGGCCCGGTTCCTTCCTGAAGCAGGGACATATGAATAGAACCAGGCAGAGTTGCTCCTTCCTGGAGCAGGGAGATATGAATACTAGTCGCTTGCCATCACACTCCTTTCCCGTGATAATGTAAAAACCCCAGTTTTACAGAGATCACATTCAGGTGGGTGAGTATTGACCTTGGCCCCTGAGTAAAAGAAGAGTTGTTGATGGGCAGGTTACGCCGCCGTCACCCAAGCCTCTTGTATTACGGGGGTGTGGTCAAAGCTCTTCGCTGTGATACCCTCCCCCTAAATTGTGGGCGGAACAAGTGGAAAAATAAAAACAAAGTAAACAAGAAAGAAAAACGTTAGACAAAGTCGTCGTCCGAATCGCTGATATAATCAGGATCGGAGTTCAGTGGGACCGCGGCCAGGTCCGCCTCAGGGTCTCTGTGTTGAATGGACACAAAGTGAGTGGATATCATTTTACCAACGGCCCGAAACACCATGGGTAATACACATGAAAATAAAATCATAACAGTCAATAGGGCTAAACCAAGATTAATGAGCACACTTCGCCAGGAGGACAGGAGCCAGTCCAGACCGTGAGGAGTGTCCGTGACATTGTCCGCTTGCATGGCGTCCCGGAGTCTAGTCAGATTGGCTATGCCCTGTTGGATAAGACCTCCGTCCTCATCGTTGGCCGGAATATATGTACAGCAGGACGACCCAATGATCGTGCATACGCCTCCCACAGACGCGGTCAGGTGGTCCAGGACCAGCCGGTCCTGAAGAACAACGGCACGCAGGTCGTGAAGTTCAACTCTCTGTGATTCAAGTATGGCCACTGTGGTATTGACAAAACCTGAGAACCTATAGCTCAGGGTCTCCGTCCTTAGCATTAGTTTACCTACACCCAGGCTGGGGAATAATGCTAACATTATTTTCTGGCCTGTGGTCCATAATTTGTGGTCATGGCGATGTTTGGTCTTGGAGCGGCAAGACTCTATTTGCGTTGAAGCCTTGGCCTCAGCACTCGGTTGGGCAGAGTGCTCGGGGTTTGGGGTGTGGCCTTGGGGTCCGGGGGCTGGGGAGTTGGGCAAAGGGGGGTTGCCTCGGCAACGCTGGGATTCTCTGGGTGTTGTTGTTGGCCTGCTTCACCGATGGTGGCCGCACGCCGGCCGACCTCTTCAGCGTAGGGAGCCGCGGATGGGCCTGGTCCGTCCGCGCCCTCGGTGTCCTCGTCTATGGCCCTCAGTGGCAGCACCGCACGACAGTGGTTGGCGTGGATCCACGTTGTCCTCTCCGCGACCTTAACGGCAGTGTCCGTCACCAGGAGGACGAGGAATGGGCCGAGCCAGCGCTTGGACCGCCAGTGCTTTCGTCTCGTTTCCTTCACCAGGACCCAGTCGCCTGGCTTGATCCTGTGCAGAGCCGCCTGCGCAGCCTGTGGCAGGGCGCTCCTGACCTGGGCAGAAATAGAGGACAAAAGTGCATTAATTTCCTTACAATAGGACAGCATGTCGTCATCACACAAAGAGGTGCTTGGCAGATCTCTGGTCGGGGGTCCCGCGCCCAAGTTGGGTGGTCTGGCGAAGAGGATTTCGAATGGGCTTAGGTTTGACCTTGACCTGACTCTCATGCGCATGTACATGAGGGCTAGCGGCAGAGCTTTGATCCAAGACAGGTCTGTCTGTTCGCAGATTTTAGCAAGTTTGTTTTTCAGAGTGCCATTCTCTCGCTCGCACGCGCCTCCGCTCCAGGGGGCGTAACTGCAATGTTTACGTATATCAATGCCCAGAAATTCACCTACTTCCTCAATGACTTTTGCTACAAAGTGACTGCCATTGTCACTAGAGATTTTTTCCGGGACACCCCATCGTGGTACAATTTCTGTGAGCAGAGCTTTCACCACCGCATTGCTCGTGGCGTGTTTACATGCAAATACTTCAGTCCATTTGGACCAGAGATCGACAAGAACCAGACAGTATTTCTTACCTTGGCATGGTGTGAGTTCAACAAAGTCCATTTGGACATGTTGAAATGGGCGCAGGGGCGGGGGATGAGCAGCCTGTTGGATAATTTGAGACTTACCTGGGTTGTGCGCGAGGCAGATAGCGCATGTTTGGCAGAATCTCTGTGCAAATGCCGTAAACCCCTTTGTATACCAATTTTGTGTGATTAAATCACACATCCCTCCTTTCGAAGCATGGTCTCGGCCATGTGCTAAAATTGCAAACTGTCTGAAGAAATGCCGTGGTAGGCACGGTTTGCTGTCTGGTCCCAGCCACACACCATGCCGTCGTTGCGCCCCATTTCCTTCCCACAGCACTGTCTCTGCTGGAGTTGCCAGCGCCTGCATTGCTGACAGAGAGGAGAAAATATCAACGTCTTGAGTGAGGTAGTGTGTGTGTGTGTGTAGAGGTGCGTATGCCGCTGCCTTCGCTGCTTTGTCCGCGCGCCGATTCCCTGCAGAGATGGGATCAGTGGCATTAGTGTGGGCCTGGCATTTGCATACAGCGATCTCTAAGGGCAACATTACCGCTTTCAGCAGACGTTCAACCTGTGTGGAATTAAGAATTGGTTTACCATCAGATTTCATGAAATTGCGGTGTTTCCACAGTGCCCCCCAGTCGTGCACCACAGAGAAACCATAGCGCGTATCACAGAATATGTTGACAGTTTTGCCCGCTGCCAGCTCACAAGCCCTGGTGAGGGCAACCAGCTCAGCGGTTTGTGCTGAATGGTGGTGGGGCAAACTACCAGAGTCTATAGTATCAAAATCAGAACACACAGCATAGCCGACTCGGTTCTTCCCAGTGTTGTCACGTGACGCGGATCCGTCTGTATAAAAAATCAAATCCGGATTAGTCAGAGGCACCTCTTTCAGGTCTGGCCTGGGAGTGCATATCTGTTCTATTGTGGCGATACAGCAGTGTGCCTCCCCTTCCTCTGGCGTGGGCAGCAGTGAGGAGGGGTTCAGCTGTGTGCATCTCTTTACCGTGACATTTGGGAGTTCAAGGAGCACCGTGTTGTATTTCAGCCAGCGAGCCGCAGAAAGGTGAGAGGTTTTCTGCTCTAGCAGGATCAGGGAAACAGCATGAGGCACAAGCAAAGTTAGTTCAGTGTATCCCACAAGGTCACGTGATGCTAGGACCGCTTTCTCAGCAGCAGCCACAGCCCGCAGGCAGCGAGGCAACCCTGCTGCCACGGGATCGAGTTTTGCTGAGAAGTAAGCAGTGGGTCTCAGTGGCCCTCCGTGAGACTGCAAAAGTACCGACACCATGCACCCACATCGCTCATCCACAGTCTGAGTGAATGGGCGGGTTGGATCAGGGAGACCTAGTGTGGGTGGGCTTTGTAGGGCAATTTTCAGATCACAGAAAGATTTTTCAGCTTCTGGGGTCCATGTGATCCTGTCACATGTGCGCAGACCCTTACCATGTATGAGTGCACCGAGCGGAGTTTCCAATACTGAATAGTTGGGAATAAACTGTCGACAGTAGGAGCACATCCCTAAGAATGACATTAATTGTTTTTTTGTTTGGGGTTTTGGAAGGTTTTGGATTGCCGCCACTCTGTTGGTGGAAAGGCTTTTGCCGTGTTCAGAAATCACGTGGCCAAGGAAGACAACTTCCTTCTTCACAAACTGTAATTTGGACAAACTGGCTCTGTGACATTCTGCATGCAGATGCTGAAGTAAGGTCACAGTGTCGGTTTCGCATGTTTTCTCGTCCAAAGCACAGAGTAAGAGGTCGTCTACGTACTGGAGGAGCGCCGTGCCTGGCGACAGAACCAACGGGGCCAAGGATTCACGTAAGGCCGCATTGAATATTGTGGGTGCATCGCGGAAACCCTGGCAGAGGCGGGTGAAATTATATATGCGCCCATCAAACGAAAACGCGAACCAGAATTGGGAATCTCCGTGCACTGGAACAGAGAAAAACGCATTAGCCAAATCAACAACAGAGAAAAATTTAGCTTCAGGCGGAACCTGACTCAGGATCGTGTATGGATTTGGTACCACTGCCACCATGGGAGCCACAGCATCATTTACAGCTTTAAGATCATTAGTAAACCGCCACTTTTCAGGCGCTCCTGGATCAGTGTGTTTTTTAACTGGGAGGATGGGGCTGCAAACACCCCCGGACTTGCAAGGGACGATTACACCATTCTCCCGTAGCGCTTCGAAGACTGGTGTAATTCCCCTGATAGCCTCCTCACGCAAGGGATACTGCTTCCTGCACGGACGGAAATCAGATTTAGGCACAATTATAACCGGCTCACAATTTTTGATGAGGCCCACGTCGGTTGGGCCTTTTGCCCACAGTCCCTCTGGGACCGCGCGAAGTGCAGGCGTGGCCTCTGCATCCGCTGCTGACAGCATGAGCTCTGTCCCCTGTGGGACTGAAGTCATGCTGTCATGATCAAAACACACATGTCGGCTTGCTGCGAGAGAAGACTTAAAAGGACTTCTCCAGGCGTTAGCATTTTCAGAGAACCATGTGTCCTCATCTTGGACCTGTGTCCAGTCCCCAGCATTGCTACACTTATTAATAAGGACAGAGGCCTCACTCCACGCTGCAGTCGTGGGTTTGGACAAAGCTATGTGCAAAGTGGGACATAGTGGGTCGATAAAATGTTTTTGTTGCTCATTAAGTAACACAGATACCATAGTGTAGTTTCTATCCCAATAAACATACTCCGTTAGTAGCCTATCGTCACTACACTGAAGCCATGAATTTTCAAACTCTAAGTTATTGTCTGGGAACGACCGGAGAGAGCAGCTTAGGTCGTTCGCGTGGTTGACCTCCAAATTTTGTGCGGGCGTAACTCTATCCACTGTCGTGGCTAATAACTTAGCAATCTCAGGGTTTGGTGTCAATTTCCAGTGGTAGTTAACTTTTGGGACCGGTGTCTCCTCATGCATGCCGGTGAAACATGGAGCATTTGCTAGCTCCCTAGCGTGTACCACCCGTAGGCCGCTTGGTGTTGAGAGCAGATTTAAATTGAGTCTGCACATAAGGTCTCGGCCTAGTAGATTAACCGGGCACAATGGGGAATATAGAAAAGAATGTTTAAGCTGGTTGCCCTGAGAATCAAAACACGTTAGCGGTGACGTAAATTGCTCTTTGGTCGTCTCTCCCGACGCTGCTAGTGAGAATGTGAAGCGACCACTCATTTTAGGGGAGACAGAAAGGCTGTCACTTTTTAGGACAGAGTTTGTTGCCCCGGAATCAACTAGAAAAGTAACATTTTCGCCACAGATTGTTAGCGTATGTTCTGGGAATTTAGCATGAATTTTCTCAAAAAATGTGTACGTGCCGATTGCAGTTGGTTCAAACTTACGTGAAAATGAGTGATCGCTTCGGTGACGTGTATGTGTGCGTTACCCGGTAGATGAGTCTCCCGTACGGTTTCCTTCGTGGCTCCGCCGTGTTCACCGCCAGCCCGCTGTCTGTCCCCGCCTAGTCAGTCCGCCTCGTGACGCATCTGGTGGTTGCCGTGTTGTGGGCCTTCATAGCGGTGCTGTTGTGCCTGGTGCCAGTGGTGTTGCTGCTGGTACTGGTCCGGCTCGCGGTTCTGGTTCTGCTGCCATTGCTGCTGGCCGCCCTGCCGCGGCTGCCACTGGCCGCTCTGCTGCTGGTACTGGTACTGCTGGCCGCCCTGCTGCTGGCCGCCCTGCCGCGGCTGCCACTGGCCGCTCTGCTGCCGCCGCTCTGCTGCTGGTACTGGTACTGCTGGCCGCCCTGCTGCTGGCCGCCCTGCCGCCGCCTGCGACAGTCTCTTGCCCTGTGGCCAACTTTTCCACAGTTCCAGCATGTCCACGTTCCGTTGTTTTTCTCCCATCCCTTTTTGTCCTTTTTGGAAATGTCATTGGGGTTTACGGAGTTAGGGGTTTGGACCGACAGCAGTGTAGCCTGGCTTTTCAATGTTTCCAAACAAAAAATTGCATGTTTCGCGTGCATAAGTAATTCCTTTATCTGTGGTCCGTCATCAAATGCGACATACGAGTCCCGCACCTTTAAAGCCACCTCTGGTAAAAGTCCTTCGACAAATCTGGAGCATAAATAACCGTTGTAAACGGGATTGTCCTTCTCCTCCCCGTCCGTTTGCAGCTGGGAGCTTCGGGGGTACACCAGAGTGCTCATTGAACACAGACAGCAGGCGGCTATAGTACTCCTCGACCCTTTCGCCTTTTTCCTGCTTGCATTTAGACAGGATGGTTAGGTCGTATTTGCGTGGGAAAACTGCTGCTAGCCCGTCACACATTTTCTTTATGGCAGTCAAATATGCTCCGGAGTCTGACTCCACAATGTCTTTAGCCCGTAGTCCTGGCTCTGGCAAATATGGCTTGAATTTCCCAAAGTCCGCAGGCGACATCTTGTAAACGAGAACCCGAGCGCACTCCGCTCCTGAGGGCTTGTATTCGCGACAGAAAGCGAGCAGGTCTTCGCAGAATTTAGAGCAGTTTGTCTCTGGCCGTGTAGATAGCAGTTGTGAAGCGGATAGAAACTCGCTCGGCCCCCAGGGTCTGAAAACCAGCGCCGGTCCTTCTCGGCCCACCATCTCTATCATGGGGAAAGTGGCGGTGAAGTGATTTGTGGGCCTCGGTTCCCGCCGGAGCGTTGCCCTGCTCCATCGCGGCTCTGCTTCTGGTGCTTCTTCTTCTGCTGCCGACAGCGCGGGGGCCACTTCCTGTGGGGCGTCAGCAGATGCGAGAGGCTTTGGGAGGCACTGACGTGGTTGGCTCTGGCGCGGCGGTGTTTCGGGAGGACAGGGGCCGGTTTCACACAGCGGGGCCACGGAGGAAAGCGTAGACAAATCTGGGTAGAGGGAGAGAGAGGGGACAACAGTAGTCTGTACATTTTTTAAAACAGCGCTCTGCTTGGGCGCGTACTTAGCATGGAGTTCTGCTCCTTCTGTGAATGGGTTAGTAGGTGAGAAGGGGCGGTATGGTGGGGGGTGTGGGGGGGTGGGGTGTGTGTGTGTGTGTGTGTCCTGCCTGTGTGCCTGCCCGTGCGTCCCCCCCTTCCGTGGAAGGTGGAGCAGCTATGGCTTTATTGGTCTTTTTGCGGTCCCGTTCTGTAGCTAAATCCTCCCACATGGCAAGACAGGTCTGGTGTTTCAGTATAGCCCTAACATCTTCTGCTGTAATTTTCTTAAAACCAAGTATTTTTTCCTTTTCTTCTTCAAAATTATCACGCAAAATGCGTAATTGATTTAGAGACATGCTCCCTCCGTCGGGAAAACCGAATGAACTACACCATATAGGCAAGCATTCATTAGCTTTAGCTCCGAATCGTTTTTCCATAGCCATAGTAACGGGGGACGTCAACATTCCCCGCGGCGTGGCATCTCTAGATTGATTTTTCCCCATTTTCACGTATGGAACAATGGACCTAACCCGTGTAGTCTCTTCCCTGCTCTGTACTCGCTTTGGAGCGGTTCGTTCCCCCCTCGCTGGTTCAACCAACGAGCGCGCGTTCTTAGAACAAACCGGGCCTGGCTGAAGGCACTCAGAGAAATTTTCAGGGTCGCTTACAGAGCGATTTACTACCACGCAGCCGCTAGTTTCAATCTAGAACACAATACAAATCCCGCACACAGACTATGCTGTGGCAATGAATGAAATACCCCAAAAATACGTAAATAAACAAATCCCCGTGTCGACTTAAGGGCTGCCCTGGGCTCGTTACGCAGATGAAAAGACAAAAACTCACCAGATTAGGTTCTTTTATGGTCCTGTAGTCGAATAGTTTTTCCAGCGCGAGCCGAGCCGTGTCCCTCCTGCTTCTCGTCAAACACTAAGTGAGGTAGGAGGCTGGTCCTTTGTCCCAGGTTTGGCCAAAACAACACGAGTCGTCTCCACGCCGAAAAAAAAAATCCAACAAGAACGTGTCAGCAACGCCAAATTGTTAAGGAAGTTTCTACCCAATGAAGGAGAAAACTCAAAAGGTCTTTGTCTTATCAAAAGCGTAAGTTTATTATATACACACGTGTGGAGAGTCAGCACATACAGACACGAAGGCAGCATGTACTAGCTCTGAAGCAGAGCTCCGAGTTTCCTGTATACAGACACACACGAAAGACAGTCCCGCCCACAACAGAATGGGAGGGGGGCCACCCGTGAGGAGGCGCCTGGGGATGTAGGTGCGAACAGACAGACAATGGTAGAAAATGCAGGTCATACAGATGCAGACGCGAAAGACACAAGGGTGTGACGAGAAGCAGGATGTAGAAAATGCACACATACAGACCGATAGATATGCAAGAGGCGAAAGGGGGGCGAGAGTGAGACAGTGATTTACGCCATTGTCTGTAGGTGTCGGGGGACCCGGTTCCTTCCTGAAGCAGGGACATATGAATAGAACCAGGCAGAGTTGCTCCTTCCTGGAGCAGGGAGATATGAATACTAGTCGCTTGCCATCACACCTGACCCCGCCCCCCTCTGACAGCCACATTGGACGGCAGCCGGATGGCTGCTCATCCCGAGGAAAAAAATCCGTGTTTTACAAAGCACAATGTTTTCTTTCCAACTGTCCTGTTTGTAACCTAGAATGTTATTTCTCTCTTGCTGTTATTCTTACTGTTTGTCGCAGCATGGCCGGAAAAGATGGCGCCGTGGCAAGAAGCTCTGGTGTGTGTCGCCTTCTCTGGTCAGGCGCACACCGGGGGGGTAGTCTTGCCACAGTTTTTCCAATTGGTTTTTACTGCAAATATGGCAAATAAATGAAAATAAATAAATGAATCGAATCTATAAAGAACCTCCAGAACAGGAAGCTCACAGCCCCGGATCCTCTTTGCAGAGCGGGAGCACCTTGTTTAACGCTCTTTTTCTCTTATCGGTGATGGTTTCCAAAACACACAGACACAGAACCAACAAGTAAAACTCTCATGGTTGCAGCGATAACGTTAAGGCAGAATCTTAGAGTTAGTTGGTAAATTCTCTAAGTTTCCTCAAAAAGGAGTGCCCGCTGATCGTGCTTTCTTAAACAACGGTTAGTATTTTTGTCCCATTTCAGGTCGTTAGCACAGAGTTAAACCCAGGGAACTTGCACTCCTCTACGATCTGCTACCTGGGACGTAGTTGTCATAACTACAGGTAGGTGTGAGAACTTGCTACGGACTGAAGATCAAAGACAAGTTCACATGTTTTTGCAGTGTTAGCCTGGAGGATTGTTTACTTTAATCCACTGGAAAAAAATGTTCGATCTGCTGCTTATAAGAGGGATTCATCAGGTGGCACTGATGAGACCAATGCTGGTGGTATCATCTGCATATTTGTTGATAAACCGTTGAGTTCCGAGGGAGGAACCAATCGTGGTGTACACAAGTAAAAAGCAGAGGCACTCAAAAATAAATCCTGAGGAGAAACCCAGTTGCTCACAGAATACAAATCAGAAAAAAAAAGTTATTGATTTTTACTCCTGGATTGTCACGTTAAAAAGCTAAAAATCCATTTACACATGGCAAACATTCAGACCAAGGGACATAGTTTTTCAAACCAATATAGCTGGAACAGACGATTTAATGCAGTGCTATAATCAATGAACGCATTCTTGCGACAGGATTTACTAGTGTCAATGTGAGTGTCACAAAAGTTCAGAGCAAAGGAGATGCATCCTCCACACTCTCTGTTTTGCTGTACGCAAACTGGAGCGGGATCCAACACTCTCAGAGATCTGGGCTCTAATTGAAGGCCAGCATGGAGCGCTCAAAAGTCTTCATTATGAACAGCAGTGAGAGCCACAGGGCGGTAGTAACACACTACAACAACAGGGAATCAAATCCTGCAGTGCCAGATGTGTCCCCCTGCTGAAGCCAGTGCATGTCCAGGCCCGTCTGAAGTTTGCCAGAGAGCACATGGATGATGGGCGAATGTCATGTGGCATGAAACCAAAGTAGAACTGTTTGGTATAAACTCCACTCGTCGTGTTTGGAGGAAGAAGAATTGCATCCCAAGAACCATACCCACTGTGAAGGGGGTGGAAACATGCTTTGGGGCTGTTTTTCTGCTAAGGGGACCAGGACGACTGATCCGTGTTAAGGAAAGAATGAATGGGGCCATGTATCGTGAGATTTTGAGCCAAAACCTCCTTCCATCAGTGAGAGCTTTGAAGATAAAAACGTGGCTGGGTCTTCCAACATGACAATGATCCCGAACACACCGCCCGGGCAACGAAGGAGTGGAAGCATTTGAAAGTCCTGGAGTGGCCTAGCCAGTCTCCAGACCTCAACCCCCTTGAAAATCTGTGGAGGGAGTTGAATGTCCGTGTTGCTCGGCGACAGCCCAAAAACATCACTGCTCTCGAGAAAATGCATGGAGGAATGGGCCAAAATACCAGCTACTGTGTGTGCAAACCTGGTAAAGACCTATAGTAATCGTTTGACCTCTGTTATTGCCAACAAAGGTTATATTACAAAGTATTGAGTTGAATTTGTTATTGACCAAATACTTATTTTCCACC